GAGGACACATGGCGCCAGGTCCGCTAGCAGACAGGAAGTTATGCTACTGTTGTTCGACAAGCTGTTGTTGAACCAAGATCAAGAAGGGTTGCTTCCTCGCTTTTCCAGGGAAGCCGAACAGGTTCACCTTGTTGATCGACGTGTCTTATCGAGTACCAAGCCAGCAGGGCAGCCAATTTCATGCTTCCTTCGCCTGACAAAATAAGGGGCACTGCAGTCTGTGTTCACTGCAGGGGGCTCCAAGACCCAGACACCGGGGCACAAATGGACAGTCACTGCAGCCTGCCGCCATCGTACGTCCACCTGATGGCCGGTGCCTGCAACAACTCAGCAGGTGAAGCAGCGTTGATCCCTGCGGCACATCCGTGAGCCGGTCCGTGTTGACTTCTCTCAGAATTTTGACTCTCTCAGTGACGGACTGGCGGTCTCCAACTTCGATCGAACCCCCGCGCTCGACTCGACTCAGCAACCTGCCAACCCGACTTGCCCTGGTCAACAACAATACCACAGCAAGACAAGAATAATCTCGGGGCCCCGTTGCCCGACGATGGCGCCGTGTTTGGCCGTGAGCTTCCCGCTGCGAGGCTAAACTCTCGCTCGTCCAGTGGGAGATCCCCCTCCTCCAAAACCTAGCGCACCTTAACTTGGCACCGCAGCATACACAGTATTGTCAGACCTTGGCACTCTAGGGGGTCTAGGTATCTCCTGCTCGCATGCGTTGCTCGCGAAGAACCCGCCAACTCTGTATGCCACACTAAATTCCTGCATCTACACTCGCTATGAGGCCATGTGCGCGCGCGCATAATGAAGGAGTAAGCAGTGCTGCGCCCGGCAATGCAGCAGCAGATGTGCTTTCTCAGCGGCTTCAAGACTCGCAACCATCTGTTTGGTCCAGCGCGTCTCCGGATTCTTGGATTGTCCTTCGTGCTCATTTCGGGGCTACCAATGATCAATCTTCGAGATTCACAAAGTCCTCATCCCACCTCCTGAGATATATCGAGCCCCGCGGCCACCGTCGGCCAACCACGACCACTCGATCTCCAAACTCCAGTAGCAAATTGTTGCAGCGCCCCGGTTATCTTACAGAGTCCATAATCCTAGCGCTCCAAGAACCAAGCCACATCGCCAGTTCTGACCTATCGCGAACCGGAACCTGCTGTCCAGAGGTTGAAACAGGAGTTATCCTTCCAGGAATCCCTTGGTTTCTTCTTCTTGTGGTTTGCGAAGCTCCGAACTGACTTAAGAAGTTCAGCCCGACGGTTCGAAACAAAGGGCGGCCCGGGGGGACAGGAGTTTCTTTGCCCTGTCACAGTGCAGCCCGCCCCTTTTCCCACCGTCATTTCTAATACCTATCCGTTCGATACGGATACTCTCAGTCTCATTTCATCTTTCAGAGATCTTATTGTCTTGCCATTTGCCGACTAATAGCTCCCCCCTTGTCTCTCCACCATCGGCGCGAGTGCTCTTACTGTGAGGTAAGGGCAAATTCAAATTTCTCTTAGCCACTTCAGAAGTTCAGACTGCGTGCCGATGCCCCGAAAATACTCCAGAGATCTTCATAATTCTCCGCTGTACGGCCAGGGGCCAAGGCCAACACGGGGCTACCACTCATCACGCGCCATTTCACAACACGGAAGAAGGGTGAAGAGGGCGACCCTGGTCACGCAAAAGGCTTTACTGTTCAACTTTCACCTCGGTACTGGGCCGAAGGGAAGCGACAATGAGTCGAGGCAAGCGCGCTGCCGCATAACAGTAGCAAGATACGGCGGCCCCGTGCCACAGCCGCAACGTTCCATAGCCTCGAGTCGTCTGATCGGCTTGTTCTGGCAGTGTGCAGCCGACGACTAAACGGCGGCTCGGAGTATCCCGGATTCTTCCACGTTCTACGCGCTGTGCAGCGGCCTACTTTCGAGGGCAGTGGGCACTCGTATCCAGCTGGCCGGGTTGCCTCAAACCACCCTCCCAGGCTGTCAGGCGGTGGCTGTGCGAGCCAACATCGGCAATAGGCTGTGGTCTCTGCTCGTCAACCTGGCATTGAACCGCATCTCAGCCCTTTCGGTAGACCACTCTGTTGCTCCGAACCCACATAACAACACCATGCGATCATCGATGTAAATCCTTTTCAGCCTGCTGATGGAATCGAAAGGAGCTCGGGCTTCCCCTTGCTCAGAGAGAGCGAGGAAGGCTGTTCTCAAGTCCGAAACGTCACTGGGCCCATGTTATTTTACGTTCTCCATCATATTGACTGGGCCACTGCTGTGTATCTTACCAGACTTTTGTGATGCTGGTCTCCGTGGATGCTATCCAGGGCTTGCCTTAACAAGTGCGCTTATCGACATGGTGAGCTATGTGCAGTTTGATATCTCTCCATATTGTGCATGAGGAGGCGCAGGGCTTGCAGCAAAGGCTTGCAGACCATGCTGTCAGGTATACTGACAGGTATCACAGCAGACAGGGACAGATGGGTGGAAGGTTAGTCACCGGGTTCCAACCGCAAACTCGCTTCTGTACGACCAGTAGCCCCTCGCCACACATGTACCTTATCCGATGACATATCCAAGCCGATCCTGCAAGATCCAACTCTACAAGCCTCGAGGACCAGCTTCTACGACTACCGGCATCGAAAGGTAACCAAAATAAACTCCCCTCCCGACCTAAACCATCGCATCCATTATCCCGGAATAAAGGCTGGCAGGCTGGCACAACGGGCCAACATTCCCAAAGAAACACCGAGGCGCCCCCTGAAGAAACGAGTTAAAAGCGCGCCACTAGCGCCAGTAGCATCTCTAAATTTAACTCCACGAAGAACCCGAGCCCGCCGCCCCATCCCGTCCACAGTCACCCCCCCAGTAACAGTTGTCGCCGCTGCCCGCCCGTCTCCGAAGAGGGAAAAGCGCTTCATCAAGCGTACCATGCTGGTATGGAGCATCTGCCACCCCTTCGCTAATCTCGAGCGAAACCTCGTAAAAGTTGTCTATCTGCGGGAACGACGCTGTCAATTGCCCCCCAGGTTCGCAACCTGAAAAGTCCACTGACGTCTAGCTGCATTCCTGGGCCTTTCGCTCAGCCTTATGACTCTTGAACTTTGATTCTTTTACGCGCTCCAACCGGGTCTTGACTGGAGAAAGAACGGCGGTCAAGGTTTCCATCGGACCCGACTTCTCTTGAAGTCACGGCGTCTCCGACCGTCCCTCCTCTGAACCCCTGGACCATGGGTCGTGTGCCGCTCAATTTGGATGGGCAGCCAATGGTCTTGCACATAGTTGTCCGACCAAATGTTGCCCTTCTTTGGATTACTCACTCCTGCTGAAGTGTAGGTGCTGAGTTGAGCTTCCGATCCTTCATTTACAATCCCACATACGAACGACCAAGAAGAAGCGCCAGTCAGAACGCTGATTTAAAACAATGCAGTCATCTTTATGCGAGGATTGACTGGCCGTTCCTTTGCTTACTCTGACCCCTCAAAACCGTACAGGATTCCCGTGCCGCTTCTAGGAGGATGAGCCAAAGATGTGCCTGTCATTATAGGTTCTGACTGTCGCTGGCTATCGTGATATAGATCTGACGGTGCATGGGGCAGTATCTGTATGCCTCGTCTCACTGGCTGACACTCGGTTCATTTATCACACTCCTTTATTGGCTGAGCGGCGGCTGCCTATACACACGGAGCATCTAGGATTTGAGGCCATTCATGGACGACGGCACAGTTGCCAGCACACAAGGTAGATATAATTGGATTACTGTATACTTCTAAGCGCTGGGGTTCGGAATTCACTGAGCATCGATCGAACTGGGTACGTGTTAACCGCAGTGCAGTCTGCTTCGCCATTGAAACATTGTAGCACGGCGCCGAGGGTCGCTTAGAATCGCAGGTGATCGAGATCAAAGTCTTTCTGGTGAAAACAGAAGGAGGGGGTCTTAGCTCTGGCTACGCTCTATTCTTTCACAATACCCCCGTAATATGGTGGTTTTCCAACTTTCATCGTTGAGGTCATGGGTCACGCCGGCGAGATTCTCTCCGGACCTGAACCCATGTCCAACATTTTGACAAGTATACAGATCAGTTCCGCCTCAGACAACATCGTTTCCAATCGGGTCAGCGCTGTGCTTCTCAAAGTTGTGAGGCCCGTTGCGCCAGCTTGCCCATGTAAGACACTCCTAAGGCTATTGCGTCCAGCTGAGTTGCCGGTAAATGTGCCGTGGAGTGCCCTCTCTCCCTCGGCAAGTGAGGGATGGTCTCGAATCCCATCGAGAGGAAGCTATGACCGTTGATAGAACTCATTTGCTTGAGAAATCCGAGAACGAAGCGGCCTCTCGATAAGTTGCAAGTTCATAACGGTGCTCGACGTTTGTCTGGCAAAGCAGTGGCTCCACCGACAAAGCATTTCTCTGTGTAACTATTTCTCGGCCTGCGCGTGTTTCTGCTGGGTGAAAAGAGGGCAACGACTTCTATTAAGGTGCCTAACGAACGTGACGTTCGATTATTAGCCGTACTCATCTCAGGCATGCCTTTACGCCTTGGTGGTTGTTCTTCTTGATACCCTCAAAAGGACAACAAGGTTAGGAGTATACCGTGACGGGGTTGCTTAGACATACGATAGAGACTAGTACATGCCTCAAATCCCTTCACCAGGCTATGATATACCTGTCGCTGTGCCGGACTTAGAGCTTGGCTTTTTGGAAACGTTAGCGATGCATTTGGAACCACTGCCCCGGCATAACCTTCACATCTGCTTCGTCGAGAATAAAAGCGTGTCTACATCAGATGAAAGGACAAAATAACATTTACAATGATAATGCGCGGTTGCTACACCATCGAATACAATCACTGAGCAGATTCCGTCGTCTCAAAGCCGCACCGGTCGGCCGGCCGCGGGAAGCACTCCGGCCTTGGTGGATACTTTCCGGCCCCATCGCCGAACGTCATCTCAACCCGCCCGTTCTCCCCACCTCCCTCGCCGACCAGCCCCAAGACAACTTGACCTGTCAACACATCACCAATGGCCGAGGCTGTAGACACGGAAGAAGCCCCAGGCATCATCTCTGAGCCCCGATTGCCATTACATACCTTCCCTCCGCCCATGATCATACCGCCGCTGAGACAGCCGCACCAGCAGACCATCATCCTCCTTCACGGCCGCGGCTCCAGTGCTAAACTCTTTGCACCGGGGCTTCTGTCTGTCCCACTCGATGATTCAACCACACCACCGGGCTTAAATCCTTGTACTTTTCGAGATCTTCTACCGCATACGCGCTTCATTTTCCCGACCGCCCCGCGGTCGCGGGCAACCATTTACAGACGGACCATTATAAACCAATGGTACGACGGGAGCGGCGACTGGGAGGATACACTACTGGGCCACGCAAAGGAAACGGTTCTGTTCATACATTCTCTACTAGAAGAGGAAGCTGCCCGAGTGGGCGGGACAGGTAGGGTAGTGCTCGGCGGCTTCAGCCAAGGCTGTGCTGCGGCGCTTGTTTGCCTGTTGATGTGGCGCGGGACGCCACTGGGCGGCATACTGGGCATGTGTGGGATGTTACCCATGGCTGGCGTGATGGCCGAGGCCATGGCGGAAGGAGATTGTCGACTAGGTGGACGATATGATGAGGCGCCGGAATACTCTGATGACGATCCCTTTGAGCACTCTGATGGCGATTCGACTACTAGCTGGGAGGGTAATCGGTCTGAACACGACCCGGTGGAGCGAACATTGCGTATTCTGGGGGACGAGATTGGCATCACCATCCCGGAGCTTACGACGCGTCCATCGTTCCTGGACACACCCGTGTTGCTCGGACATGGGACCGTGGACGATAACGTTCCAGTACGTTACGGTGAGGAGGCGTCGAGAGTCTTGTGGGCGATGGGCTGTGAGGTCGAGTTCAAGACCTACGATGGGCTAGACCATTGCTATTCCAAGGACATGCTGAAGGACATGATAGATTTCCTTGGCAACAGAGCACCGAATTCATGATGAGCTTGAGGCCGCGGGGACAACAGAGCTAGTTTTGGTGGGTTCGTATGGATACGGAACAGCTTTGGGGGTACATCTAATACCCAGTCTTAATCTGCACGTCCGGAGATGAACAACACTTGGTGAATGAGGAAGATATGGCAGCTACGAATCTACACATAATTTCCTGCGAAAAGACATTTCATCAGTGGGTCGATTGTCAAGCGACTTGCCCAGGTAGTTGAAGTATGGACAGCCAAGATCATTATATATTCAAGAGGCGCTTTAGGACTTTCAGATTGACAACAGTGGCAAGCCTCCCATACACAGTTCTCCGAAGCTTGCTGGAAGTTACCTATTCTAGTCGCAAGCAGGTGACTCTGGCCTGAATTTGAGTATAGGACTATCATATATATATATTTGCATGTATGCGCCTATGGCGTTGGACGGTGCTTCGCCCACCGTTCATGTCGAATGCTACGCCGCATTAGGTTTTCAACAGGTTCAGTCCTTCTTTCTCGTGGAGGTGATTCAAATCTTGCCGGGACTTCGCTTTTTGTTCTCTTTATCCTAGGTACGCGGGCATGTAGAAAAGCTCACCGTTTGCAAATACCTCCGTATGGAAAGCCGTGACTTTGCAAAGCTTCACCTCAGACGGCTTTTCGGATCTGGAAGCATACTTGACTTATCACTGAACACAAGGAGAAAACCCCGGGGAATAGACTTATCCTCCATCATCATCATTCCCAGCTAATGAAGGTCGAAGCGAAGGGGGGAATACAGTACGCTTCAACTAACAGAAACATACCATGTGAGCTCTCATGCTCCTCGACTCTCAAAACTCGTGACAAGAACTCGCATGTATCGCAGAGAGCCTTCAAAGAGTAAAGCGCACAGCTCAACAGACTGGAGGAGGTGAAAAGGCACGCATTCAAGTCAGGAGAGCCATTTAGCCAGACAGTACAAGTCGAGGGTAGGCAATCGTTTCAAGCTTTCCCCAGGTTTAACCCGGCCTCATATCTCACGTTACCCTTGATCGCTGTATATTGGAATTTCAAGAATAATGAGCCAGTATATCTAGAGGAACACGTCCTACCTTGCGTGCAACACTCGTAGCAACCTCATAGCACAGAGGCACAAACAAATCACATGACCGCAAACCAACCATCATCGCCACTCACTCCCAAATCTCACGCAACTACCTACCATACTACTCAACTTTCACCCACCTCACTCCAAGCTTATCATCGACTTACACCAACTCACCAAAGCCTCACACAACTCACACAACACCAACCAAAACTCATAAACCCACAAACCCAAACTTCATCGACGATGACGGTCCTCACGATCTGCCCCCCAACACCCTCCGAAACCCCTCAAATCGCCTCCATCCACATCTCATCAATGTCCTCCAACCCCTTACTTCCGCTGCAATTCCCCACGACCGCCTCCCTCGCCGACCTCCACGACCACCTCGCGAAAGACGCCCTGCATCACCTCCGTGATCACAACACGCCACGGATCCTCGTGGCGCGCGTCAGCTCCGACACCGACGAAATGGATGAGGCGGATGCCGATGCCGACGCCGACGCCGATGATGCTACCGGCACCGGGGGGAACGGCGGACGTGTCATTGCCTTTGTGAAATGGGACATCGTCCGACGTCGAGGTCAAGGTGGAAGTCGAAGCCATGTCATTGAAACACCCACCGCATCCGCCAGCGGCTCACGACGCTTAGAGCCGGGCAATATACTGCCAACAACGGCAGAGGCGGGTGCGGTGGATGACGGGAGTAAAGAACAACCTCCTCGGAACCAACAACACCACCAAAACTCCAAGGCGGAGGAAGCAGCGGCAGCAGAAGGAGAGGAGGAGGAGGACAACGAAGAAAGCGAAGACGAAGAAGAGTGGCCCGCTTCAGCGAACCGAGACTACCTCACCGCCTACGCGACCGCCGCATCAAAAGCACGTCGGGAAGCCATGGGCTCCCGGCCTTTTCTCCGTGAGTGCCCTACACCTTTCAAATATCTTGTTTATCACTACTCGTCCACTCTTGCCTTTCGGTCCTTTCTTTTTCTCTGACAATCTGATTGTTGTTATTTTGAAACCCCAATCCCTTTCGCCGCTCCATTCATGATTCAACTGCCATTTTTAGCCCAACATCTTCAACGCACTCCACCATCCCGGTATTTCCCATTACGTGAAAATTTCGGGAAATGTCGCGCGAGGGGGGTGCGGTCAACTCCTCATCCACCTACCTGTATCGGCAGTTTCTCCCCATCCCAGTTGCCTGTTCCCGGCTTTCCGCCGACTATGTTAGCTGCGCCGGTGCCGTATTTCCTTATCCGCAAACCTCACACTTCCTTGCTGGCGCTGTTTGAGTCGGCTCCGAGGTCGGTGTTTGCCCGGTGGGGGGTTTGGCCCGGTGGGGAAACGCATCAGACAGCGAAGACCCTCAAAGACTCGGAGTCTCTCTCCCCCCGGGGTTGCTCCTCCCCAAGAGACGCTGATCCCAGACAGTTCTCGGCGGGTTTCCTGCTCCCTCGGCATCGCATTTCGTCGAATTCCAGAATGTCATTTCGGTGACATCTCTCCACGGAACGGCGGGGCCAGCGCCGCAGCGGGAACCACAGTTTTCCCTTTCATTCCCATCGCGGTGTCCACGTTACACCTGTTACCCGTGTCCACTTTGCCAACGACGCTGGCGTTGAACGTTCAAAGCCCCAAACTTTCTAGTTGCTGACATCTCATGGGCGTTCTCTCCCCGCCGGCACCGGCCACCACCGACGGCGGCGGACCCGGGCCCGGCGGAGATGCCCGGCTCTTGTAGATTTGACGTTCTTGTGCACTGACTACCGCTTCCGAGGCCGCGGCGCGGGGAAAGCTTTGGTGCATGCCGCTACGGAGGCCGCCAGAGCTGAGGGGCTCCCGGTATTCCTCGAAAGCACGACGGACGCTGTGCCGTTCTATGAAACCTTGGGTTTCGTAACGATTGGGGGATTTCACATGAGTCTGCCAGGCGGGGCTCCGTCGACGGATAGAGTGACGATCTACGAGGAGATCCTCATGATTCTTGAGAATACGCAAGGCTCGTGCAAGACCAGTAAGTACGACTGGCTTTGTGTGCCTAAACCGCGATGATCTGACGAGTGCATTCGGTGCAAAGGACGGATAAATCCATGACAAACGTACAATGTCGAACCGTCATGCTTTGAGTTGTAGGAAAGACGGCCCAACATCCGTACCCAAGACTGTTTTCCATCGGTTCGAGATCGTCGGGCCGCGACCTTCTGACCTATAATGATCAGCAAGTATGTCATCACAGTTTGATGTCGGAAAGTGGAGGGCGGAGGGCGGAAAACCGTCAATCAACACCCAGAACCACACTCTCCTCTGCAGTGGCCGGGCGATACAGCTCTAGGCCATTCGAGGCAGAACAGAGTCGGTCAACTATGCCCAGCCTGCCTTCGTCGCATCACAGGAATCAATGACCAATCGAATTCCCAAGTTGAACTAGACGCATGCTGTCTCGAATGTTGCGGTTGACCGGTTTGGTTCGGCTTTGGTGCTTTTCGGGAGAGCGGTGAAACTCGTTCAGTTTGCCGCCGTTGCCTCGCCCGACGCTTGCGAACATCTAGGCGTGACATCCTCTTTCAATCGGTCGATCCAGCATGTTTGTTTCTAAAAGACTGTGTATGAGAACCTGTAGACTTCTACATAGTGACAGAACTACCGCAACTTTGCGTTTTCGTCCCCGCGGGGTAATAGGACTTTTCGGCTCATAGCACGTGAAGAATGTGGAGTCTATGAATGCAGCAGGTCGTGAGGATCGCGGAGAAATCACGAGAATAAGGTACAGATATATCACAAACGCCGTTTCACATGCAATCGAGCCGTTGCGGACGTGGAGGTGTGTCACTGTTCCATCATGGCCTCGGACCGAAATACAGACTTCGGGTACATCTTCACCGGGCAAGGTTCGCCACTTGCATCAAATAGGTAGTTGTCGATTCAATTTATACCTGGTGGTCGGAGCCGACGGCCACCGGAAACGCTAGCGATAGAGCCGCCGGGCTGGCATCGTGAAACTAGCGGGATTAGGAACTCAATGACGTAAGTAGTAGCTGGGCGATTATATGAACCCCTGTTTGGTTCTTGGCTATGTTAGGTCAAGGGTGTGTGAGTGGTGCCTGTGTGCGTTCACGATGTCGCACAACACATGAAGTTTACCCCCCACGAGGGATGTGTCTCTCGGGAAGGTTTATGGCTTGCTGATTGTTGAGGCGAGGCGGTCGGAAGGCGTGACATGCAGGGATTCGTGGGGGTCTCCCGCAGGAGAAGGCGGGAAGAAGAGTCGATCAAGTTGTTGAGTTTCAAGGTCATTTGTCGAAGAACGTCAGAAGATGGTAGAGTCTTTGGGGGCCTTTTTTTCGGCAGGTGAGCCGACGTGGCATTTCGATATTTGACAAGGAGGGTATTGCGGTTAAAGGTGTCCTCTCAAGTAGCGAGTTGCTTGGAGGTGTCAGTTTGGCTGACTGCTGGCGGCGGCAAGATGACAGTGGAACGCATGCAATGGGTTGGGCCAAGATGATAGAAATTCGGTCGTGGTGGTGTGTGGGTTTTTCTCTGGCCCTGATTTCTCAAATGGTGGTTTCTTTCGTGCCGAGGGTGGGATAAAATCGACGTCCATTTGAGATTGGCATGGTTGGTATGATGAGCAGCCAAACAGGGACGATGATTCGCAGGAGACCAACTGCCCCGCAACCCCGCGTTACCAGGAATTGAGGCTGGTCCACGGTCCACCAGATCTGGACTTTGGCTTATTTGAAGAGTGGTGAGTTGTGAGGTCTTTGGTTGGAGTATCCAAGTTCTTCGATGCCGGTTGGAAATCGGGGCCGTGACATAACAGTAGAAGGCGCACTTCAGTTCAGGGACTGGCAAGGTCCCTTGCTCATCGGGCGCGACCGGAACAGGCGCGGATGGTCTTTCACATCGACTCCTCCTACCTAGCATGCCGGAGGGAGGAGACCGTCGTCTAGACCGGCGGCATGGAGATTGAAATCGATGGAGACAGTGACAAAGAGTCCCAACGGGGAAAGGGTGACATGACAGGGGCGGGATGGGTTGAAAGGACCCTGAAGCGCAACGGCGGAACGGCGGTGATTCGGGGCGGCACACGACAGCCCGTGATTTGTGTCATCGTTGGACGATCGATCCCTTGGCCGTGGGTTGAGTTGTAGGTAATAATTTGAATCCGTGTCATGACATGGGCTGGTCCGCTTGATGGCTGGCGTGGTGGCTTGACTTGATGGTTCCGAACAACGGCAGGCTAAAAATGACTTGGTGGTGAGTGGGAGAATAGAGTGGGAGGAGGTGAATCCGCTTCTTTGCCCGCTCAAACTTGATGATGGGCTGCATATCTTAGCAGCTTCCGGATTCTAGGATGAGGGATGATGCTGTTGATGGTGGTCCCCTGGTAGATGCTGCGTCGCAGGTTTATCCCTCTTCCAGATAGAGCAGCGGGTCTCCTGAGGTGTTGCTGGTTGTGCAGTTGCGTGCAGCCGGGCTGCATGCGACTCGACATCTGGCTGCGGTCAGCGCCGTGCAGGTATAGGGAGTACTGCGGTGCCGCATAGCTAGGTGGTGAATAGGCGTTGCTTGCGCGCGCGAGATGCTGGTTGAAGAGGAGGTTGAAGTTGGGACGATGGGCCAAAGAGACCTTGGTCGTCGAGTTCTGACTCGGCAATATTCGAGAATTACGTTATGGGTATTGCTGCGCTAGTCCCGAAACGGGCGGTACCGGACTTTCTATAAGGTAATGGGAGCCACTTCGCTAAAGGGGTGGGTCCCCACGTCTTCCTAGGGCACTTCACTCCAGTCTCCAGTTCTACCTCACGCAGGAAGGAATGTACGTCTGCGCTACAAGCGCCGGTCGAGGCAAGAAGCGGCGAGTGAGCTGCAGAATGGCAGTAGTCAATGGTGGGGCCCCATGTTCCGCCCGAGTACCGCCGACTCGGATCGTGCAGCAACCACCACCACCTTGGACTCCTTGGAGTTCCTTACCTTACCTTCCATACTTTACGGAGTGTTGGGAAGCATGTACCCTCCAACCCTGTACTGTAGGCACGGGTACGGAGTACGGAGTGACGGAGTTACACTATGGAGCTGAAGCTTGAGGAGACCCCAAAGGGCCCCAAAGGGCCCCAAAAGACAAGATGAAATATATGAGCCGTGATTTGCCCATTTGCCATTATGTATTTCTGTCTCGTAGCATCTTTCTAGAACGCCTGCCCCGGAATGGACAGAGATAAGGCGGCGCCCATCTCCCCTCCCAAATGTCTCGTGCTTTATCTTTCCGTCCCTCCATTGACACCATCACTTCCCTTCCCCCATGCCATTCCCAGCAACGACGACCCAGTCATCGTGCCAGACAGGGCCGAAGGGTCGACAAGTCGCACACTTTGCCATGTGCTTTTGTGGAGAATTCCCCTTCAAAGTTCCCATCCGGCCACCAAACTGTGACCATCACCAAAGTCACCATGACCAAAGTCTGTGAGTCGGAGAGTCCTCCATAACTATTCTCCATTGTCAACCTTTCTTCTTTCTACGCGGAATGCAACGAAAACGGTCCTGGCGGCCTTTTTAGCCTCGCGCCTTCAAGCACACTTCCCTGTTCCTATTCAAATCCCCGGTGGCCTCTACGGAGTACTGATGCTCCTGGTACGACACAACGCAATCGCTATCAAACGTTCAATATGTCACCTACCTTAGGCCTACTGCGTAGAAGCTAGACCTGCTCGGCTAACATGCCTTGACGTCTCCAAGTGCTTCACCGTACCCTGATCTCTTCTTTGAGCGATAGATCACTTGGTCACTTTCCTATTATTCACCCGACGTCTATTTCTCTTACCACACTTTCTTACCTTTTGCGCCCTCTTGTCTACCTTACTATCGAGCGCCGCATCGACGCGCGCCTCGTCGTTCGATTCCCGGCGAGCCGCAAGGTAATTCATTCCTCCGTAATTGGGCGGTTTCTGGCTTGGCTTTGTTCAACAACCGATCCGACACTTACACCCCCCGCGTAGCCTGGGCGTGGATGTTCGAAAAGCACAGCCCCGGGCCTATCTACCCTGTTCTCTTTATGTTTTTCCCTTTTGCCCTGTTTTCTTGACTTTGGTTCGTTAGCCGGTAGTTCCCCATGTCATTTGTCACTGACACGGACAAAGTCTCTCGCTCTCTCTCTCCTGCTCGTCTCATTGAGACTTTTCTTTTATGCCAAGCCATGCCTATGCCTGTCTCCTCAGGTATTGCATTTGCAGCTGCCGCTTTGCACATCTTTTCGTGTCGGTGAGGGCAAGGCAGGCACCAGGCTGCAGAAGAAGACTGCACTGCGGTGCGGTAAGAGAGTTAGAGGCAAAAGGGACGCCAGGAGGGTGTCCGTCCCATTCCATCCCATGCCATGCCGTCCCGTCCCATCTCAGTCGACATGTCCTTGCCCATGCGCTCGTCTCCATCTTGATCCCCATACTCCATCAAACCAAGGTTTGGACCATTCTTTCTCGATGTCTTTTTCGGCCGCTTGGTCCGTCAGTCGGACCATTGAGACCAACGCCCGCCGGCCAGTCAGATACTGCCGCGCCTCCTCTTCCAATACACCCTCCTGCTTCTTCCTCCACCGACGCGAGACGTGCCATTCATAGTGAAGGGGTAGAGTAAGAGACTTTGGCCGGGCCTGCCTGACATCTTTGCAGTAGGCCGCCGGCGGTCAGGAACTTTGACCCTTCCTGGTTGGAGCCCCATCCAATCCTGACTGTGCTCTTCTCACGGCAGATCCTGTGTCAAGCGTCGTTCTGTTTTAGTATGTCTCTGTCTGTCTGTCCTTGCGGGTTTAGAGGAACCGCAACACTGTCGATCAAATATTGATCGAAAAAAGTGAACCACTGTACGAGGGGCAGCGGCAGTGTAAAAAAAGAACAGCAAAAAGGAAGAAAAAAAACCTTCACCCGGCATTTGAACTCCCCTGGGCGTGTCAGTGTTTGGGTACCATATCTCTCTCACCTACATTCTGTTATTCATTTTTTACGTGGTTGGGCTGATAATAAGGTAGAGTGAGTATTCGTAAAGGTGGGAGGAGAAAGAGAGAAGGAGAAGGAGCTTGCACATCCCATCTTGTCAGGTTCCTCCTTCTTACTGTGGTTTTTCTCTCTCTCCCCTTGCGCATCCATCCATCCATCCTTACCTTACCTTACCTTTCTTTACCTTACGGAGCAGTGGACTGGAACTGGAGTAGGTGTGCTCTTTACCTTAACCACCTTGGCTTTTTCTTTTCCTTCTCTCACTTACTCTCTCTTCCCTCTCTCTTCTTTTCCCTCTTCCTACTCTCTCCCTCCCTTCCTCTCCTGTTCTATCCTCATCCTCCTCCTCATCTGCTCACCCCATCCATCCATCGTTCTCGCCACCCAATCCCCATAAAATTTAATTATTTCTCCGTCTCCAACAAAAACGGCCAAATCCCAAACTGGACGCTCTCCAAGGAACCCAGGGATAAGAACGAATATCCAAGACCAAGGACGTCCTGGTGCACCGGCACATCCATTAATGGATACTTGAAGCGCCATTAGAGACATTGGACATTGCTCTCTTACATATACTTTTCTCCTCCGCCTCTGGGACCCAATGTCACTGATAAGCAAGGCTTATCTCATCCTTGCCGCCATCGTCACTTGAGAGTCCACCGATATCGATCCATCAAAACCCCCATTCATCCAATCCATCCAATCCCAAGTTTGGATTACTTCCCAGTCCCGGGCCCCAAATCCGGCCCTGCATCCGCACCGCACCCCCCCAAAAAAGTACAACCACCATTACATTTCCATCACCAAAAACGGGCGCAAATCATTCCGCCTTGGCCACTCCTGTCCTGCGGCGCACACTACCTTATCTTTGCCTTTCCCCAAAGAAACTCGAAGCCGCGACCGCACCGCGCCCCCTCGGACTTTCTACATCCCACCCCAGATCTTGACGAGGAACCACACAAACTCAACACATACCTACCTTGGACAAGTACCTCTTCTCGAGTCTCTGGACCTTGGAACGCCTACCTTTTCCAGAGTATCCCGTTCCTAATTCCCGTCGTCGCCTTATCTTGTACCCCCTCGCACGCACGCGACACAACGCGCCTCACTACTCGGACGGATACCTATCAGCCTCTTGCTAGGTAGCTCTTGGGAACACAATCTTCTCGTGTCTTTGTTCCACTGGGCCCCGTTCATCTCACGCCAAACCTCGCAATCGCTACCGGCCGTTGTCCGTCTGCTGGCGTACCTGATCATCTTTGCCCGCTGCCGCCTCCCAGGTTTCCAACAAGCCCGTCTTATCTCAACCGGCCTCGGCGCACCGTAGCGTTATCAGTCCAGTCCCTGTGGTGGCCCGTCTGCTGTTTCGTGTTACAACACAGGCTCACCCATAGGAATTCATCAAGATCGAATTACCGCTCGCCAGCCAATCTCATTTGGCGGATCCTGCATTGGTGCTACGCACACAATTCTCAAATCTCACGTCAACTCGACCACAGATATTCTTATTCCTCTGCCGTCGATCTCGAGTGGCGGCCCAGACCTAGGACCAGCACCAGGATCAAGCCAACGAGCAACATTGCATCACTTGCTTCGCATCCCATCCCATCTGCTGCACGTCGTGGGGCTCCTTTGAACCAGCTTCCTTCCCCGGGAGTGTGCCAGCCTCTCCCGTCTGCTTCCTTGGCCTTTGGCGAAGCCTATCGTCCTATCACCGTTGTCATATCTCCGGTCAACCCTAGGGAGTAAATTCACGCCCGCTTCATTCCCCCAATCTCCAGACAAGGGCCCCGGGACCTCGACTTGACGAACCGGGTCCGTCCGCTCGTCTGCTTCCCCTGCGTCGGCCCAGCCCTGCCTGTATATACATAGCATTGTCTCTACTGCCGCGCATTACCTATCCATCATGTCCAACCCAAGTGCCGTCACCAGGACGGCTCCCATCGCCATTGCACCAAAACCTCCCCGCCGCCAAAACTCTTATCTGCAAGAGGCATTCACGAACCTCGAACTTTTCCGCGGCGGCAGCATGCCTGGACGGGAAATCGCAGAGTCGGTTGGCTCATATACCACACGTTCACTCAGCCCATGTGAATCCTGCCAACGATCCAGGGTCAAGTGTATCGTGAGCGAAGACGAAGATAGCTGCATACCTTGCCAGGCTAGCGGATCCGATTGTTCCTTGCTCAACAGCCCCCAGCCAAGGAAACGCAAGTTGAACGGTGACTTTGACGACAGTGGTAAAAGAAGGTCAGTCTGCTCAATTTTCCCCTCTTCTCATGCTTTCATTCTCACTCCCCTCTCCTACCAATACTCACTCTCACATTACTACTACTCCCCGCCTATTCCCCCCTCCTCCCTCCTTAACCACCACATTGGCGAGTCCGTCCCCCTACTGCTCCCTCCCCGCCAGCCTGGCTCGCCTCCGCTTGAGCTTGCATTTTGCGCCCGTTTGATGTTTCTTGGGCAGCCATGGGGGCACGCCGCGGTCAGGGGGGCACGTCTGATAACGAACCTTAATCTCTGACACGTGATTGGTCTATTAGTTCACCAGCTAGAGCCGATATCAGAAGGCGAAGGCAACATCAACCCAGCCTCTCCAGCACCACAGGAAGCAGCTCTTTTCTTGAAGACATGGCGAATGTCGGAGGCCCGACTCTGCTCAAGCGGACGCTGGGTCTCCAAAATGATCGCTACAGCCAGTACATAGGCCCGACGACCGACTTCGAGCCTTCTCTCATCAACCTCTCACCATTCAACCCTCAGGATGAGAGTCTACTGGCGCGCGGCACTCTGCGCAAGGTCAGTGACGATGACACGTTCCTACTACTACCAGATTCCAACACCCCCGGCCACGAGCACATCCTCGAGGATATCGAAGAGATTGAGGGTCTCGTGCGGCCATATGGCCGCAAGCTAGTAGATTTGTACTTCCGCATCGTCCACCCCGCCTTCCCGATTATTCAGAAGACCGTCTTCCTGGAAAAGTACGAGCGCAGCTACCGCGAATTTTCGCCTTGTCTACTAGCTGCTGTTTACCTGTTTGCCATCAACTGGTGGGAGCACGATGAAGAGCTCGCGCAAGTCCCTCGACCCAACATTCCCAACCTCGAGCGGATGATCCGGACAACCCTTGCCGACGCAATTTATCGTCCGAAACTGTCCACCATCCAGGCTGGTCTCCTTCTCTCCCAGCGACCCGAAGGCGATCAGTGGGCTCCGACTGCTCAGCTCGTCGCCACCGCCCAGGAACTTGGCCTTCACCTCGACTGTACGCACTGGAAGATCCCACCTTGGGAGAAGGGATTGCGGAAACGCCTCGCCTGGGCTTTGTACATGCAGGACAAATGGGGTTCGCTCGTTCATGGGCGACCCTCGCACATTTTCTCGACCAACTGGGGGGTTCAACCGCTTACGGATCATGACTTTCCCGATGTCGAGTGGGACGAGAAGGACGTGGAGGAGAAGCTGGATATCGAGCGCGGTCGTACATTGTTTGGTCAAATGGTACAATTGTCGCAGATTCTTGCCGAGATTCTCGATACCTTCTACTCATTGCAGGCCATGCAAAACGTCACCAACGCCGGTGGGCAAGGCACGCATCTGGTTTTGGGCATGGCAAAGCCCATACAACTGAAGCTCAAGGAATGGTATGCCAGTTTGCCCGCAGCCATTCGTATGGACAGCACGTATTCGTCAATCTCTGCCCCGCCGGGTCGTTTGTCAAGCATCGGATACCTCCACCTTGCCTACTTCGCCGCCGAAATCACACTACATCGCCGTATCATTCGTTCGCTCGAAGCCACCGGATCGGCTGTCGATTCCTATGTTCAGCACATCTGCCGAAGCGCGGCCAAGGCTCGTCTTATTTCCGCAATGGACTTTGTCAACCGTTTGAACACCTCGCACCTTCGCTCCTTCTGGTACTTTGCGTCCAAGACCAACTTCGCCCTCATCGGCACATTTGGTTCTCTTCTGTGGGCGACATCCCCAGGACGAGAGGAAGCCGATTGGTACCGTAGGCGCTTGGGCGAATACCGCTGGACGTTATCCGTGAGCTCGAAGCCTGGCGAAGGCAAAGGTCTCACCATGTTTGCCATGACGATGCTCGATATTTCGACCGGCCTGCTCAAGAAACTTCCTGAGAAGCCCTCAATGAGCCGCAGCGGAAGTGTGGTGGATATCGGACTTGGAAGCATTAGCAGCAGCTTTGCTAACAATGGCTTGCTTTCTCTTGGGCAGAGCGCGCCAGCAACCATGAGTCTTGGAGGATTTAGCGGACTGCCCAGCGCCGACGTGAGCAACGCACAGAGCCCCCTCAGTGTGGACAGCAGCGATGACGAGATGTACGAGACATTCGCCCCAACGTCGGGTATGGCAGGCTTGGCCGAATGAAGAGCGTTGAGTGCAGCGGCGATGAATGGATCATCGCTAAAGCTGTGAAGGGGAGAATAATGACAACACGAAGAGACGAAGACTCGCTCAAGCGGGAGATGCCCTCCAAGAGAACGGAGCTTTTCTTTTGAAGGATTTTGGGATTGCATCATGATCTGCAGGATACCACTGGTTGATGGGCGGCGGGCCTCGCAAAGGCTGTGTCAGAGAGTTGGGAAGAGAGCGATGCCCGCCGTCCACGACCTCATATTGATGATATTTCGGACTTTTTTTGCTTTTTGGTCGGGATCGATGATGCGAGAAGGAAAACCCAACGCGTTTCACTCGGTGTCGGCGCAAAACTCTCGGGAGGGATATATACCATCCGTTATCTTTGAGCGGGACGAAAGTCGTAGCATCGGTTTTTGGAGGTTGAGCGATCCATACCTTGCCTTACATATTAGCATAGATTGCAGAGCTTTTTTGATGAGATTATATATACCTTGATGTCTTGCGATGGTCTTAGCCTACGCCCCTTGAGTGCTTGCGTATCGTGTTACGGTACCTTGATGTCTCGCCTAGTCGGTTAGGCTAAGAGATGGTCAATTTAACCTGTTTAGTGACATTTGGTAACGCCTGTTGAAGACAGATGGAGATGAAATGGCACGAGCCGCATTCATCAGGCCGCTGAGAGAAAGCATGGGATTCCATGAGCCTCAAACGGCGGAACCAGCACACTCAAGTATCCAGACACGCACTCGACCGAAATCACGCAATCGATGGTGACATGGTAGCCATCAGCCTCGCCTTAACGACTGGCAACGAAAAGTCACACATCTCACGTCGTCAGCATTCAATTATCAGTACCTGAGTTTGGGATCGGTAACTATCGGCCTAAGGCAAGATTTCGAAACAAGAAAGAGGCCAATATCGCGGTTTGCAGCCTGCGTGGTTCTGACCCTCAAATCACGACTATAATGACCACTTTGAGTGTGAGGTGCAGCTGGCAGTGCGTGATGATGCGGGTGATGCTACTTGAGACGGCTAACCGGCACACGTAGGTCCATTTTGTACATTTGTCAACAGAAACGAGTTCACAAACTACCGGTAGAGAATTTGAGAACATATAGCATAGATCTCGACGTAAAAGTCAAAGTGAGGCCAACGATGGCATTTTGTAAAGGTACTATGGAATTCCTGGGTAGGCCTCATTACATAATCCCGCTGCTCCCCCAGTGCCCCACTACAACCGGCGCCAAATGTCCAAGGTAGCGGCGCAACAAGAACCCCCACCATCTCCGAAATCCCACCTTTCCATTCCTACCAATCTGGGGCAACTATCCCGTCCCGCCGGAACCCATCTCCGCCGCGACTTTTCAAAAAACCACCCCCGCGGGGCCGTCTACGAGCACGATTTCGGCATCGATCACAACCAACCCACGACCAGCCAAACCTCCCACAAACCTCTCCCTCCCTCCGAACTCCTATCGCAAAACCCCCCTCAACCTCGCCCAACATGCAAGGCTTCAACATGGGACGCTACGTCCCGCCCGAACACGAAGGCACGACAACAGGCAACGCCCTCGCCCGCAAACACCCCCTCGGCGCCCGCGCCTCCAAACCGGGCATCCTCGTCGTCCGCTTCGAGATGCCCTTTGCCATCTGGTGCGCCACCTGCCCGAAACCCACCATCATCGGCCAGGGCGTCCGCTTCAACGCCGAGAAGAAGCGCATCGGGTCCTACTTCTCGACGGCGATATGGCAGTTCCGCATGAAGCACGCCGACTGCGGCGGCTGGATCGAGATCCACACGGACCCCAAGAACACGGCCTACGTCGTCGTCTCGGGCGCCAAGAAGCGCGACACGGGCGAGGAAGGGAGGGTTCCGGCCGAGGGGGAGATGGCCATCCTCACGGAAGAAGAACGCGAGAAGCTCCGCAGCAACGCCTTCGCCTCCCTGGAGAAGACGATTGAGGACCGGCAACACCTCGCGCAGGCGACGGAGCGCATCGACGAGTTGCAGGACGCTGCGAAACGGGACTGGGACGATCCGTACACGCGCAACAAGGCGCTTCGCGCGACGTTCCGCGCGGGACGGCACCAGCGCGAGAAGGAGGCCGCCGTGGGCGAGGCGCTGAAGGATAAGATGAGTTTGGGGATCGAGCTCGTGCCTGCGACGGAGGAGGATGCGCGGCGGGCGAGGTTGGTTGAGTTTGGGGGTGTTGGGGACGGGGTTGACGAGGCGGGGCTGAAGGCTTTTGCGAAGCCGCTTTTTGCGCCGCCTTCTTCTTCTTCTTCTTCTACTACTTCTTCCGCTGCGGCTTCTACTTCGGCTAGGGACTGCAAGTCTACAAAGACGACGGCTGGTAAGGCGGCGCTGCTGCCCAAGGGAACACCCAAAGCCGAAGTCCTCGCTTCCAAGAGGAGGGAGACCATCGTCTCCGAAATTGTCGGGAACACGCGCATGGCGAGGGATCCGTTCCTGGTCGAGACCAAGGGGGCGACGGAGAGGTCTTCGGCGCCGAGGATCCCGGGGCTGAAGAGGAAGCGTGATGAGGGTGGTGGTGATGGTGCTGGTGTTGGTGCGCAGCAGAAACAGGAGTTGTCAAAGACCACTGAGCCCGAGCAGGACACACCATCGTCAAAGTCGCTTGTGGCGTACGACTCTGATTCGGATTGAGAAGGAATTCCTCTACACTTTGAATTCGCAAGGAGCGTTGCATGGGTTGTTTGTACGGCGTTTAGCGGATATGATTTAGAGCAGAGATACCCCAGGAATTTCCCAAGGCGTTGGTGTTGTGTATCTACAGACGCTTTTTCTCGTTTACGTAGACCAAGTCGAGGGTGCGTTCTCGAGTGACGAATACTAAAATATGATGATTCAATAACCCGCCCTACGCCATCACTCGCCATATCCCAGACCCAGTTTGGCATATGCTCTTAAGGATGCGCCCTTACATCGTACTCAGGACACATCCATAACACGCCACATGGATTCACGGAGGGCAGTTGTTGCTGTTTGCATGACTGTTACTGACTAACTGATAGCTTCTAGAGCCACTGGTCCGAGTTGATCGAACAAATTGGAATCCAATCTGGGGTGGTATGTATGCTGTGCACGCCCACGTCGTCCCCATCGGCCTTTAATAGCACTCCTCTTGAGCAATGGTCATCATCATAATCAAGCCCCCATCCTATCCGCGATTGTCTCATGTGAAAACTCCAAAGCTGATTCCCATAAAAATGCCCTTGCCTAGTCCCTAAAACACAAAGATGGAAGAATCCCGGCCTCGATGCTGGTCGCTGTTGAGGGTGAGTGCCACTCAGCAGGACCACGTTGAGTAGGGTTCAAGAATGCCAAGTCCAATCACAACCCGGGGGATATAAGTCTCCTGCGACGCCATTTCCATGAATGCTCTCTCTAGCCGTGTTTCCCTCAAAGTTCCCGACTGCGCTTCATACGTCATCGAGGCGGCCGGCGGGTTCCTCGTCATCGTCGCCGAAACTGCCAACGGATGACATGTCGTCATCATCTTCGCTCTCGGCGCCGGCTTCGTCGGCGGCATCTTTGCTTGCGTACTTTTGGACATACTCTGAGCCCTTGTTAGCAATATATCTTGACCCCTTTCTGCCTTCTATTGCGTCTACGCACCCTTGACCTTGGCGTCGTAGCTCTTGGGTTCTCTTATCATCAGAGCAGCCGCCTCGCCGTTCAGGGGGTCCGTCGGGTTCGGGTATCGGAGAAGTTGAGGCAAGAAGACCTCGAAGATGTTGATCATGTCGAACATGGGCGACCAAGTCTGGTTGATGACATCCAGGCAGACGGAGCCCGACCTATGCATTTCCCTGGATCAGCTCCTTGCTCTGTTTTGTTCCCTCTCAAACCACTCGTTCGTTCATATGCATCTCGGTCGAATGTTGTCTACTCACAGCTCGTCGATATTGGGGTGGAAAATGCGATTCACGAATCCGATACTCGGTGACTTATAAGGGTACTGGTCAGGAAGCTCGACATGGACCTTCCAGACGCCGCCTTCGAATGGAGCTGCAGAGAATCAGCATAATTAACTGATGCATAGGTATTGATTGGGCTTACTCTCGGTAGGGCCCTTAAATCTAACGTAAAACTCTTGCCTGGGTGGGTGGTGTTAGGATCGGAGGATGTCGTCGAATGGGTCTAAGTCTTACACTGCATGGGGTGTTAGTCGCAACAGCTCTAAATATGGGCTGGGAGCAGGGGGTAACGTACTGTTGTCGTTCACCAGAGTAACCTCATAGTCACTCATCAACCTACAAAGGTCAGTATATCAAGCAGGAGGTGGTCGGTCGGCAAATCGCACATCCTGCGTCAGGTTAGCGAGCTTTCAAAGGTATGGTGTGACTCGGGGCGAGGTTACTTCATGACCTAAACAAAAGACAAAGGCGTGAGCTTGCTGCACCATTATCATACAAAGACTCCAGTAGAATCGTAGACTTACATCAGTCTCGATTCTTCTGCGTGGGCTGCTCATCTTGTCGGTTGCGCGCGGGGTGTTCGGACGACTATTCGATTGGGGTAGAGTTGTTGTAAGCCGAGTGCGGGGGAGGATGGATTGATATTGGTGTGGAAGTTCCCCTATATATGAGGTCTCGCCGCGGGGTCTTGAGAGACGGTGTCCTATACGTGAGTGTCGCTTGTTGTTGGTCTTGAAATCGTGAGGAGTGCAGTGGGTGGTTACAGAGAGGAGGAGAAGGTCGGATCGGGTTCCTGACGCCAAGTCACGCGCAATGATGATGTGGGCGATCCCGGACCATGAGTGATAAGTGCGACGATAAGGAAAGGTGGGCCCGAGGATTAGGCGGCTAGGCGCGGATCTTGCCAGCCATACAGGTTCCCTTATTGTGTGTTAGAGCCTACTACCCACCTGTCTTGGGCTCCTATTCCTACATGACTAAGGCCATGCGGGACAATGCAAGCCTTAATCGTCTCGCAGGAACAATGTCGAAACTGAAGGTCGATGTTGGAGAGACAAAATGTTCCTCCAGTATCGAAGGATTACATACAAAGCCGCAGGTACTTTCAGAAAAACTTTACCTGAATTCAATCGTCATTTCCTCAGGTTATGAGGCGACATTCAGTCTTGCTTCAGGTCGCAAGTATACAGCTCCAGCTGAACTCAACTCACCTTAGACATCCAGAGCCGGATCAGCCAACAAACACCGGCAGTCCCGACTAGTAAAGTTCGCAAGAATGATGTAAGTCCTTGAGGCTGTACGAAAGACCAGTACCATAAGGGCCGTTCCGTCCAACGACATCATCTGCTTGCGAGATCTCTTGAGACATTTCTACAAGGAACAACCCATCATCCCACGCAAGTACGAATCGGATGGACTGCAGTCGTGGGCAAGGTTGTACGCTGTCACGAGCCAGGAAGGAAACGCCGTCTTCTGATGGGAGGGGGGACTATCCGTGATACCGGCCGTCCGTCACTTCCTTCTACCCAGGTATGCGGGGACTTATACGCAGTGAAAGCGGTGTCGGTTGGCCATATTGAAGACCAAGCCAGTAAGAATAGACTTCAAAAGGTCAAGTCACGCGAGCGCCATCATCTCAAGCTTCGGGTTCGCTAGTCAGCTTGCTCCAAGCCGATCTGGGCCAAGGGAAACTTTGGGCATCCCAATGCTCGTCCTTGCGGAGGGCCGAGATCAGAAACCGCCGGGCCCGAGGCAGAGTTGCCTCGGTCTTAGCTCACTTACCTCAGCAACGGGCCTCGAAGAGGATCAGCGTTGTACTGGCGCCCTATGGGACAAGGACCATAGAGCGCAGCACGGCTCACTACCTAATCCCTTCCCAGAACAAAAGGTACGTATCCGTTAAGAGACGGCGATGGACTCTGGAGGGGGGAACCACCGAACGTGCCTCGGCGCCTTGTCCAATCACGGAGGTTGGTCGCAGGTGGACCGGACACCGTTCCCTGGACCTTGGGAGGGACTTTCCCAGCGAAGCGTCCAGCACGGCACCTGTATGGTCAGCTTTGTGAGATCGGCCCGCTTTTACCATCTCTAACCCCCAGCCCAGCGAAGCGGCGGGAACGAAACACCACCGGTAATTTTGGAGATACTCAATTCTACGCAGCAAAAACCATCATGACTTGGATAATAAAAGATTGCGCTTCGCCCTTCAACGCAAACTTTTCTTAATCTTTCTCTCTCCACACTGACAACACCAGCATCATCACGACCAAATTTGCATCTTTGCATTCTCATTTTTTTCTGCACTTGCCTATCCCTTCCATACGTTTACTTCATATTCAAGACAAAAAGGTACTTGTCTGCCCATATGTCTCTTCCTACAATCCGAAGTACCTGTCTGAGGTCGTGTGCCTCTCTTCTGAGAAGCACGCGACCCTCGACAGCAGCGTCTCTGATGCGACCCATGTATTCCGCTGTTACGCAACCGTTGCAGATACGACACAGCTCGCATTCCCCCATGGGTACAACTTCTGCAAACCAAAGAAAGAAAGTCACACTTGGTTCTTTGCGTAGTCTGTACAAGAAGCGCGAGCCAATCACAGTCATGACTGCGCACGACTTCCCCAGTGCCCACGTTGCCGACCATGCTGGCATGGATATTATCCTTGTAGGCGACAGCCTGGCCATGGTTGCGCTTGGTATGGAAGACACGAGCGAAGTTGTGGTAGAAGAAATGCTGCTTCATTGCCGTTCTGTCGCAAGAGCCACCAAGTCCGCATTTACTGTAAGTCTACTCTAGTTCTAATTTGCAAATATCGTACTGATCCAAACTCAGGTTGGCGATTTACCCATGGGCAGCTATGAAATAGCTCCGGAACAGGCTCTGGAAACTGCCATCCGCTTCGTCAAAGAGGGCCGCGTGCAAGGCGTGAAGCTCGAGGGTGGCAAGGAGATGGCCCCCACAATCCAGAAGATCACGTCCGCAGGCATCCCGGTTCTCGCGCACGTGGGACTGACACCACAACGGCAGAACGCCCTTGGCGGCTTCAGAGTGCAAGGCAAGACTTCCGACGGGGCCTTGAGGCTCCTTGAGGATGCACTCGCTGTACAAGAGGCCGGTGCTTTCGCCATGGTCATCGAGGCTGTTCCCGCTGAAGTCGCAGCACTTGTTACGGAAAAGCTTTCTGTCCCAACCATTGGCATCGGCGCCGGCAATGGCTGCTCCGGCCAGGTCTTGGTGCAGGTCGACATGACCGGAAACTTCCCTCCCGGCCGATTCCTGCCAAAGTTCGTCAAGAAGTACGGCGACGTCTGGAGCGAAAGTCTTCGTGCTATCGAGACCTATCGGGACGAGGTGAAGAGCCGACAGTATCCTGCACCCGAGCACACCTATCCCATTTCCAAGGAGGCGCTTGACGAATTTACCAGCGCTTTGGAAAAGTTGTGAGGAGCTGACCGGGTTCGGTGGCTAATAGATCGTTGCTTTGCGTCACTTTCGTGCTGCATTACCGGTGTTTGGGAGTCTAGAGGGCGGAGGCATTTTCATCGTTATTCAGCCATAGGATACCATGTAATAGCGTACTTAATCTCAGCCGAAGGCTGGATTCATAGCATAAGAAATCACAAGCTGACCGCTTGAATCTTTGAAGCACTATTGCAAGCATGTTAGCATTTGCATCTGCCATTAGTAATAGCTGCTCCATGGACGCACACTATGCAAGTTACCGACAATCTCGTCGAGGGAGGGGGCGAAAGAGTCATTGACGTAACAAAAGACGCTGTCTGTTTCTTGAAGCTTGAGCCTCTTGCGCAGATACCAGATGACAGTGTGGAATGTCTGGGTAGATGAGATCTTGGCCACCCCTCGAGCGAGCGAGGGTGCACTTCCGACAGCCTTGAATTTGACGACGACCTTGTCTGAAGGATACTCGCCTGCGCTGCTCAGAGCAGAGGCCACATCGCGAGGTTGAGCTATGAGGATGGCTGAGGCGGACATGGTGAGTGGCACTTCCGGAGAGGCTGGACGATCTGGAATGGTGGCAGGCGGAGGTGAGGCCGAGTCTGACCTCGGGATGCCAGGCGACGATGGGGTAGCCATTTTTGGATGCTGCGTTGCTACCTAGAGTGGATGCGTGGTTGGAGAAGTGTTAAGATGAGTGAGATAGGATAAGAATAGAAAGCGGTGTTGAGCTAGCCGAGTCATCAGACACAGGGAGGTCGTTCAGATGAATAGATCGTAATGAAAGGAAGGAGGTGAGGTTGGAGATGAAAGAGTGAGACTGGCCATTCATTGTGTGCTAGGTTTGGCAGGTGGTTGACCGGGGCCCCGTGAGTGGTTACTGCCTGAGTGCGCCCTGGGCGGGCTTGCCAGGCACCTCAAGCACCTCAAGAACCTTCCATTCTCCAGATTCAACTACACACCCACCATCAATTACGGAGTACATACATATCTAACGGAACTATCTAGACCAATTTCGAACCCTCACTTCATCAGGGCCTCGCGATGCTACAGGCGACTGAGATTAAGAGCACAAGATCCGATACTCTCGTAGGCCAAAAAGTTTGGAAAATAGGCTATCTGGCACCATGCATGCACGATGATCACAGAGTACCGTACTTGGAGAGAAAGATGCAGGGAATCGATGCAACGACCCTCGGCTTCAGGCGCCTAGCCCTGAATCGACGTCTATCACTCTCACCGCATAAGCCACGTTCATTACCTTACAGAGCGCACAATATGCCGTGAGCAACACTCGAGCGAGCGAGTGATTCGCGACCACGCCTTCTGCCGCGGAGAACCAACTCGTAGCCGGGCTACTAGTAGCAATTCACTTCTTCTCACTTCTTCTCCATGCCTACGTAGTGTTGGAGAGGCATGCGGACGTGACACAACCGTAAGAAGTCATCTCTAATTCACCTCACCTTCCTTATTCCTACGCCACACAATCACGAACGAGATGCTGCTTGCCATTATGGTCATGAGCATATTTATAAGGCGCATTTTGTGCACTTTGGATTGTTTCCTTTCCGAAACATTCTTCTAATCAAGCAAAACTCAATTTCTAACCTTGCCTGCAGAACTTCGAACCCCTTTTAAGATCTTGATCTCGTCGTACCCCAGGGTCACCCAAATCCACTGAAATGGCAACAACACATGCTACGCTCGTGCGCAAGCAAACGCGGGATGTCAAAGACTTGGGAAGCTTAGCTTTCGTCTTTCCCTTAGACGGCTTGTATCTCGACGTTCCCGCCGTCATTGCTGTAGCGCGTCACGGGCTCGTTCCTCGCGTGAAGGATGACCAACTGATTCGAGACCGAATACGCCAGAGTATCAACGTCCTCGACCACCATATTGAAAACGGCTGGGTCGTGTATGGCGTCAACACGGGCTTCGGCGGCAGCGCCGACTCACGGACGGAACAGCTCAAGAAACTACAAATTTCTCTGCTCCAGCACACCCAAAGCGCCATCATCGCCTCCTCTGACATGACCAATAGTCAGGTTGATCAAGATGGACAGTCTCACGTCATTCCCACAGCTTGGGTGAAGGCCGCTATCGTAATCAGAGCGAACCAAAGTCTCCGCGGCCATAGTGCCGTCAGGCTGGAGGTTATCGAGACCCTTCTCAGCCTGCTCCGTCACGACATCACGCCGTTGATTCCTTTGCGAGGCACCATCTCGGCATCCGGGGACTTGATGCCCCTATCTTACATCGCGGGGACTCTGATTGGGGATCCCAACATTTCCGTCACCATTGGATCAGGCCCCAGCAGAAAAGTCATATCTGCCCGTGATGCATTGAAACAATATGACATACAGCCTGTTGAGCTACAGCCAAAGGAAGGCTTGGGCCTGATTAACGGGACTGCACCCTCTGCTGCCTTGGCTGCGTTGGTAATTCACGAAGCGAACCAACTCGCAGTCCTCGCCCAAGGGCTTACTGCTTTCACATCTGAGTGTCTACTGGGTAACGTCGAGTGGACCAATGAGTTCATTCACAGAATTCGACCTCACGACGGACAGAAAGAAGTGGCCAACAATATTCGAAACTTCCTCAAGTCATCCAAGTATGTGACTGGTCTGGAAGGTAAGAAGCGGACGGGCCAAGGTCTATGGCAGGACAGATACTCAACACGAACCGCGCCACAGTGGATGGGTCCGTACCTCGAGGACCTTCAACTGGCGTATAGGCAAATCCGAACCGAGCTCAACTCAACGTCCGACAACCCAGTCATCGACATAGGCGTTGGCGGCGATGTGGCCGCAGGTGACGTGTACTCTGGAGGCAACTTCCAAGCGACCGCCATCACCTCCGCCATGGACAAGACCAGAACGGCGCTGCAGATGATCGGGCGCATGCTCTTCTCGCAGTGCTCCGAGTTGATCAATCCGGCCACGAACAACGGTCTCGACCCGAACCTGGTCTTTGGAGACCCTGATCAGTCCTATACCATGAAGGGCATCGACGTCAACATGAGTGCCTACATGTCGGAGCTGGCTGCGCTCGCGCATCCTGTCTCGTCTCACGTCCAGTCGGCCGAGATGCACAACCAGGGCATCAACTCCCTTGCGTTCCTCTCAGGCCGCCGTACCATGGAGGCCGTCGATATCCTATCGCACATGTGTGCTGCTCACCTCCTTGTGTGTTGCCAGGCGGCCGACTTGAGAGCCTACCACGAGAAATTCCTCACCTCTGTGTCCTCGTCAACGTCCATGGCGAAGTTGGCCTCCTTATTGTCAGCAGATAATTACATCAAGAGCGAGGGTCAGACGACTGAGACAGCGACGACAGCCACTGCTCTGGACGAGCTGGTCAGAGTGTGGTGGTACGGGGCAAACAAGTACAGCCACACCCAGCGCTGCTCGGTTGTTGCGTCCAAAGCCGCCTCCCACATCATGGACTCCTTAGCCCACGATGGATCTAGCTGCGTCTCGTTGATACAAGTCCTGGCCGTCCGAGACGAGTTCCGGCAAACCATGGAAGCGTGGGTCGCCGACCCGTCCAACAACCCCAACTCGAACTACACGTACCCTGAAGGCCTAGGCCGAGGCGCTGCCGCGCTCCATGATTTCGTGCGCCAGGAATTGCAAGTTCAGTTTCACCAGGGCCTTAGAGAAGAGCAGTCCAGTACGATTGGTACCAGCGTTTCAAAGATTTACGAGGCAATTCGCCAGGCCGCCGTCGTTGAGAGACTACTGCCCTGTCTATTTCAAGAGGACGGAGGGTTTGAAAGATATATTTCCGAAACCCCGGCTGACGGCGGATCGTGGCCTCGTGGCTTTTTGAGCCATGCCTCGTTTGATGACCGGTACCTGCCGATGTCGCTGGTAAATGCGCGAGAACAAGAAAGACTGAAAAGGAAGCGGGAGGAATAAGTCTCGCGGTGACTTTGGCTCGTCACCTCTAGATATAGGATAGACATTGGCTAAACCCAGCTCCATTGAAATAAGAAGAAGTAGAATAGTATTGAGTACTTGACACTGAATCCTGAGCACTGAAATGAGCTGCCAAGTTTTTACGGATAGTCCATGTGTGCATTTCAGTATAATACATCGCACTCGAAAGTGGCAATGAGCCGTCTTAATCTCAACTCAAGGTGAAATTGAGCCAACCCCCAAGCATTTGATCACCATGTTCTTCTTCCTTGTCGACTCGACTATTTAAGAATCATATTCTAATTAGTCACACGATTACATATGGACTGATTTTGGCCGTGAAATAATGCGTTCTTCGAAAGAACACAAGCATGGCATGATATGGTGTGTATCTGTTAGAGTTGAACGGGATGAGCGGTCGTGCTTCAAAAAGACAGACGCAACCAACGAGTCATAGACAAAAAGACGAATTATACCCGACCAACCACATAAACTACATCAAACCATCAAAAAACAACGAGATAACACAAAACCGACTTCACAAACACCCCAAAAAGCAAAAGAAACTGTCCCTAGCAAGGCTCGAACTTGCGACCTTTGGATATCTCTAGATGATCTAGAGTCATATGTATGGATATGAGACCAACGCTCTACCGACTGAGCCATAGAGACTAGTTGATATCTTTCTCCGCCTGAAAGCGTACCATGACCCCCGCCATTGAGGGCCCCGCTGGACAAAAGTCGATCCCACCCCACTGAACGAGGCCCGTGGGATGGGTGGTGGGGCAAGCCAGCGCGCGGTGCGGCACGCGGAATGCGCAGCACTAGGCTACGCAGATGCATGGAAGCTTTCTCGCCTGACGTGTAACCGAGAAAACGAACGCGTGGGAAAAGAGAACCGTCCGGTTCAAAGAGCTATGTAGCTTGCGCATCGTCGAAACCTAATTCGCATGACAAGCCCCATCGCTATGGAATTCCCATTGCTTCACCTCATTTCGGAGACGATGATTTTCAGGAACCAAAGTGGTCCTCAAATAAGTAACTTTGTGTTGTTCTACCTACCTAACCTCCCTATCTAGACCAAGCTCGGGCCGCTTGCGAGACCGCTGGTACGCAGACCGGTGCCTTTCTCGTGACGAGACTAGAATGAATACACAATAGCTTCTTGAACTTCGAGATCGTGGCTGTCAATGCACCCCCGGAATCCGGAGATTTGATGTACTTGTTAGTTTCGTTGCGTGCTCGAAGGATCTGACACTTAATAGATCTTGGTCCCCAAACTGACCCGGTGACATAATCAAAGCCTGGAATGCACGATGACATTCATCTAGGATACGAGGGGGTGTATGAAATGCTTGAATTATCCTCAACGCCTTGTTCTGAATAACACAAACACTCGGGCTGCTTCACGACACCCGCAGCATCCTACTTTCCCAAACCATGCAGCTTTTTTTCGTGTTCAACGTACAGTATACACAAGCATAGACTGTTCAATGTGATATCTACACCGTGGTTCATTAAGACGCGCCGTCCTACTTTCTCCTCCTATCGCATATACGGCCTCTGGTGATAATGATGCTGATGGCCGACAATGTGCCGCCGCCCTGCCCGCGCCAAAAAAGAAAATGGAAAATTGAGCCGTCGTGGTATAAGATAATCCATGCCAAACGCCACTGTGCATGCAATGATATCAATGCGAGCCGACCTATTAGTGAAAGACGAAGTGAAGAGAAAATAAACATGACCGGAAACCAAACATGGTTTCATGTTGGACAGTCTACTGGTATCATTGATTCCACAACGGTGGAACGTATCCGTAGCTTTATGATGACAATGCGCCGTGCATTGCAACGGCAAGTGGGGGATCGAGAAGAACATTGGGAAGCAGGGCAGAGTCGGTGTCAAAGTGTTGGGCGACATGACGAGGAGTCCATGGGTTGGCCTGGTCTACAAGGAGTCGTCCGTGTATTCGTCGTCGCGTGAGTGTTTAGATCGGTATCTGGGAACCCGGCCTAGTTGGCTGAGAAGGTCGTCCAGCTCGGCCCAGTTGTCAGTGTTTTCGGCAAACTTGCGATGCTTGCGTGTGAGAATGTGCTTCGAGCTGTTAGCGTGACAGTATTATTATTCAAGTCCCACTCTCCACATACCTCGTCAAAATCCTTAAATTTGTCCTGGCAGTTCTCACAGTAGCCAGGCTTCAGGTCGCGCTTGCTCTTAGCAGGCGGAGCCTGGGTCTTGGAGCTGGTTCTTGAGAGCTTGGAGCTCTGCTTCTCGGCGTCCTCTTCAATGAGCTCCATACGCCTGCTGGTGGTTCGAGAAACACTAGTAGATCTAGTAGATGTCGCTTCCAGAGACATCTCCGTGAGCCGCCGGGAGCTGGCGTCTTGGGGAACGGGCGCACCCCGCTGCAACACCTTGCGTTGCAAACCATGCACCTCCTTACTCGTACCGGCCTTGGCCCCGTTGATACCAGAGGTAGACGAGATCATATTCGATCGGATAGCTGAAGTCACATTCGAAGGCTGCAATCCAGAGGCGACGGGCTCGCCGGCCAAGAATCGCCCGTTCCCGGTCCGTCCAGTGAAAGCATGTTGAGTCCGCCCGAAATCAATCGGGGTTGATACCACGGCCTTGGGAGGGTTGAACACATCCATTGGCTTCATGGCAGCCCGCAACTTGTTCTGGCCCTCTTGCATCTCAGAAAGCGAGCGCTTGCCAATGGCTGCCTTTGGCGCAGGCACTTCGGGAGGCTGAAGAGACGGGCTCTCCTCGGCCGCAGGTTTGGCGACACGCTCCTTGTGTTCCTTCGGATCCTTTTGCTGCGTTGACGGTTTCCTACTGGGCCGTTCAACGGGTTCTGGCTCTTCGACAAATGGGCATCGGCCCTCGGTAACAGTCCTGAACTGGGGCCACTCGCCGTGGTACTTGTTGTTGACCTTGGGATACTCCCGCACCATGATAGGCTTCTGCTTCTCGTCGATGTCGTAGATGTAGATATATGGCCCCTTGAAGTTGATCATTTCCCGGCTCGTGACAGCATCCGAGGGACCGTTCAGCCGCTCATGCTGCAAGAGCTGCAGCAGACCGGGCTCCTCCGTAGCCTTCTTTGTTCCAACGTTTCTTGCAGAATCGCGGTTGGCGCCATATGCCGCGACGACATGCGGGTCGGGCTCCAGCAGAAACTGCAATATCCTCTGGAACTTCTCCACCGACCAAATCTTCTTCCCCATGTCCCGAGCCTTGTGAAGAACATCGTTGCTCTGGGTTGACCTCGTCCTCCGGGTTCTGTCATCGTGAGCTTGAGCTCGCCTCGAGGTCGTCTCTAGCAGGAGACGTCTTCGTGCGTCGGTAGACCGGTCGAGAAGGGAAGGGTTGATGGTTTGAGGCTGCTCCTCGAGCTCGGCGTCGTGTGCAGCAGCTTGCACGTCTTCCTGCGCAGGTATCGGTCGGGCGGTCACAATGTGGGTGATGCTACTGGAGAAGAATCGTTCGTCTCTCTACACAAGAAGTTGTCAGTGGATAGGAGCCAACAACATGATGACTGGCAAGCTTTGCACATACGGCTCCAAGAGACTGGGCTTGACGGGTAAGCTTGGCCCTCTGGTCTTCCGGGACACTATCAAAGTAAAAGACCATTTTGGGAAACCTCCCGCGGTACTCTGCCTGCCATTGGCGGATCCTCTCGACATTACTAGAGTCATCGTGGTGTGTTGATCGTTCCTTTGTTATGGGACGGCCGACTCGCTGGGGAAGTTGGGAAGCCTTTGTGACTTTTGAGGGCGACCGAAGCTGACGCGAGCCGACATTTTCGACAACCTGCTTCTTGAACGGGGGCGGCTGGGCGTAGAGCTCCTCCCGTTGGATGTTGGCATGAGAGCGCTTCTGTTTGGCGTGGGCCAGAGCAGAAGCGGCTCTCAAGGGTGAATTGACCACATTGGGGTTGCTAGACAAAGGCGTTCGTCTGGTGGACATGGCCGAAGGAGGGATGGGATTCGGTGATAGGGATATGGCTGCCATAAAAATGCCCAATCAATATGTTTGATGTGAGAAGGCTGTTGAAATATTATCGGTCGGGTCTGAGTGGATCGGAGGCGCTGCAAATGAGAGAGAGGACGAGACAGAACGTGAGTATCTGTGGTGGTGGTTGTGGTGGCTGCGAGAGGCGGGGGGGTTGCTGCTCTGTGGACAAGCACGCGACGTGGGAGGCTACTACACGTCGCTCACGCGTTCCAACAGAGACCGTGTCGACAAGTTCACCAAGACATTGAAGACAGAATTTGAGCCTAGAAGAAGTTGCAAAAGACCACACGAGCGGAAGAGAAAGGAGGAGGAGGGGAGGGTATCGTCGTCGGAGTCGTCGTGAAGGGCAGCACCTGAGAGGTGTGTGGTGAATGTGCAGAGGAAAGAGCTTTCTTAATCAAGAGAGTGGTTGGTGTTGTGTGCGTGTGTGTGCGTGTGTGGTGGGAACACTGGGAAGAGAGGCTGCACCCCCGTCGTCCACTCTTACCAGACCGTGGCCCCCCGGGCTTACCCAAGGACCCATGGCAGGACCCAAGTCGCGCTTGACGAGTTTGGGAGGGGAACAACAGCGCTAATCCCAGTTGGATTCGCCCAAAAACACGCACGGGCCAGACCTCTCTCCAGCAACCGGCCAAATTTGCTTGGCCCAGCGCGTCTTGCCAGTCAGCGGTCACAGTGGATGCAGCCGCTGTAGTACAGGCATAGCTCGCTATAATTCGGGTAAGGTCCCCAACTTTAGTGAACCTCTCTACCTTACCTTACCTTACGATCCTTACCTAATCTAGGTACCTCAGGTAAGGTAGGTAAGAGAACCCAAGGCCCACCTCCCGTCAACAATAACAACCTCTCGGGCAAGGCACCTGGGTGCTAGGCGACAGGCTGTCTGCGGGTGGATAAAGGTGACAGGCGTGCAGACGATGGAAATTGGATGGAGCTGCCAGTGTGGGAAAACAATAAGAAAATCTTGCTGCTTCTGGGGCCATGTTGGGGTCCATTCCCCGGTGCATCTTGCATCTTGCCTACGCAATGTGTTCGACAGTGACCATTATAACCATGTGTTGACGGGCGGGCATCCGCATCTTGTCAGGTATCTTTTCACGCTTCAGAGAACCTTGAAAAGTTGACATAATACACTACAAGTACTACGCAGTATGTACTCCTTACACAGATACAGGTAGTATACGTGCTACCATGTCCATACAGATTCGCAGCAGGGTGGCTGGACGGAATAAGCTATGGGATGTATAATAATACGCATGCAGATGCAAAACATGGCCTGCATGCCTTCACTAAATACATAAAAATAACTTATACACAAGCTCTCATTTTCACTGCAAATTCTCATCCACTCGTCATTGTGGCACGATACCTAAAAGGGGGGGAGCATCTAGGTTACCCCGTCTCACAAAATCCGCTTGCGCTCGCCATTGACGAGTCAGCAGTGAGCAGGCACCTTCACAAATTCTCCTGCACCGTATCCGTCCGTACCTTGTGGTTAGCACCTCCGGTCATGACCTCATCCGAACCGTAGAGCCCGTCCGTTTTCCGCATCCACCTCAAACCTCCCTTGTCTGACTCTCTCTCTCATCTCACGCCCACCACTCACATCACAAGTGACAATACCCGGTCATGAACGTCTCACGGCCGGTGAGCCGCGCCCTCCGTGCCGTCCCGCGGTTACGCCCGGCATCGCCATGGCGGCGGCCTTTACCACCCTCCGCCTCCGGTGCCGTCGCCGGCCGTCAGTTCCGGCCCTACTCCGACGTCTCTGCCGCCGATCTGCAGTTCGGCCAGCCGGTACATGAGACTCACCCTCACATTCTCAAAGCTGGAGAGAGTAAGTCCACTCTCACCATTCTCACTCATATACAATTCCATCTCATGCTTGCCCTACCTCCTTCAAGTGAATCTCAGAGGAATGGCCCATGAGAACAAAGAAACCTTACATCCTCAACCTATACCTTAAACTAACACCCGCCTCCAGTCACACCAGGCATAACAGCCCAAGAATACCACGACCGCCGCGCCCGCCTCGCCGAGCGCCTCCCGGACAACGCCGTCGCCGTCCTCGCCGCCGCGGACCTCAAATACCGCTCCGGCGCCGTCTTCTTCCCCTACCGCCAAGACTCCAACTTCCTCTACCTCACCGGCTGGAACGAGGGCGACTCGGTCGCCGTCATCCGCAAGACGGGCAAGGACTACGGCGACTACGAGTTCCACCTCTTCGCCAGGCCAAAGGAGCCCGTCGCGGAACAATGGATGGGCGCCCGCAACGGCGTCCAGGCCGCCATCGACATCTTCAACGCCGACAAGGCCGACGACATTGCCCGCATCGACCGCTGCCTGCCCGAGATCCTCAAGGGCGCGAGTCGGGTCTATACCGACATCCCGAAGCCCGGTAACGAACAGAACTCGGCCAGCAACGGCAGCAGCAAGCTCGTAGCCAGCCTCATGAACTCGGACAAGTCCTGGTTCCCCTCCGTCCGGATCCCGCTCTACCCCGTCATCAATCAGCTCCGCGCCATCAAATCCCCCGCCGAGATCGCCAACATGCGCCGCGCGGGCCAAATTTCCGGCCGCGTCATCACGGACGCCATGCGCCGGTCCTGGACGAAGGAAAAAGACCTCCACGCCTTCCTAGACTATCGCTTCACCGCCGACGGCTGCGACGGCCCGGCCTACGTCCCCGTCGTCGCGGGCGGGCGCAACGGCCTCTGCATCCACTACGTCGTCAACAACAACACCATCCCCCAAGACGAGATGCTCCTCGTCGACGCGGGCGGCGAGTACGGCACCTACATCACAGACATCTCCCGCACCTGGCCCGCGTCCGGCAAATTCTCCCCCGCGCAGCGCGACCTCTACGAGGCCGTCCTCACGGTCCAGCGGTCCAGCGTCGCGCTCTGCCGCGAGGACGCCGACCTTTCACTCGACGAGATCCACGAGCACACCTCGGCGGGCCTGCTCGAGCAGCTGAAGAGCCTCGGCTTCGAGGGCGTCACGTCGCGCGACGTCGACGTGCTCTTCCCCCATCACGTCGGGCACTACGTCGGGCTGGACGTGCACGACGTACCCGGCTACGGACGGCGGACGCCTCTGAGGAAGGGCCACTGCGTGACGATCGAGCCGGGCATCTACGTCCCGGACACGGACCGGTGGCCGCAGCATTTCAGGGGTATGGGCGTGCGGATCGAGGATAGCATCTGCGTGGACGAGACGTCGCCGTATATCCTGACGACGGAGGCCGTGAAGGAGGTTGCTGATATTGAGGCTCTGAGAGACTAGAGCAGAAGAAGAGGGTGGGTTGTGCAGACGGGTTGTGTGGTGTGGTGTACCAACATTTGTGAAACCCTGTAAACCTCCGTGTATCCATCGCTGTAACAACAAAGTAACGATACCAAAGTGGCACCATAGAATGGTGCCGTTACACAAAGAGAAGCCATTCCGCTTTTGCTGGTTGACCATCGCCCCATTTCGTCCACCTGAGCAGTCGTAAGAGATAGGACACTTATATTGTTGGAGCGTAGTCTCTTGTCAGGCCGACATCCCGTATGGGCATTCTCTCCACCAGATGGTATCAGATCCCTTGCTTCCTACCGGAGCTTCAATGGCCAAAGGGGAAAGTTCGTCAAGGCACGTACCTGGCACAGGCCTGGTGGGGCCTGCTCCTTGTCATAGCACTGTCCCTGTTTGCCTCGGAACCGACTCACCGAGTCTACTTGCAGGATTTGATCAAAGGCCATGTTGGTCGGCTGATCCAGAAGAACATGATATCATCATCATCGCGGTGTAGATGGCCAGTGTGAAACGTTCGGCAGGTAGCCGTCTATTTCAGTGACGGTTGAACGTTCACCATCCGCCTGGAGCAACTAGTATTGATTGACTAAAGTGAGGTTGAGCATTGAGATAGGTTTTGAATTCTTGGATTAGCCGTCACTGGCGATTTCTTTGCCGGGTGGTAATGTCATCAGCTTCAAGAGTGGCTAGGGACTATAACACGTAAAGACGGGAAGAATTCAGGAGGTTCCGCATCCTCATTCAGGACTGCAGCAACGGTAGCTTGGAAGACTATCCTAAAACCAACGAGAAGTTTGTGTTTTCCCCTTGACTGACACTTCTTGTTTCGAGGGGGCCACTGCCTTCGAGCCTGGACTCATTCACACCAAAGTTCATCTGAACTCGAAAAGCCTCAGACCCCACACATCACCAGGCATATGAATCACTCTAGTGGTCAATAACCCCATATTCTCATTCCCCAAAGAGCTCCATTCGATTCCGAACGCAGTAAAACATTTCATTGCAGGTCTGATAACCTGTGATTATTCTTAACATGCCTACTCATTCCTCGTAGATTGACCACAATCGTATATTTTGGGGGGCAAATCGCAGCCCATGACAAACGTAATATGTACAGTTCGCAATCGTAATGCGTCATGTGATGAGAGGGGGGAAGATTCTTTTAACAGAAACCTCTTGGATCGAACAGCGTCCTGCTGTAGTTCGGCATGGGGAAGGGCTGCCGAGCCTGCGCGCTCAAGAGCTGCTCAAAGGCCTGCAGGCGCCTCGCGAGTTCCTGGTGCTCACGCATAATGGCCTTATTCCTTCGTTCTAGATAGTGTATATATTCAGTCGCCTTCGTGAGGACGGTGCCCTACCGATGAGTGTAAGTAAATGATTTCGCGATTGTCAAATAGGGGAAAACACTCCAGCTTACCTTGCTAACTTTGGGGCCGCGCTGCGATTGGCTGTCAACCTCAGCATCTTCACCACCTCCTTCCTCAGGTATTGACCTCAGGGACGGCACCGCGTCGCGCAGCTCCGAGATTCTGTCTTTGAGATTGGTACGGTACTTTCTCTCAATGTCGTTGTGTGCCGTTCGATCACCAGCCTTGACTTTGTCTTTCGACTTTTCGGATACGCCAGTGGCATTAGTGGTGCTCCGTGACACTGGCGGCCTTTGGGTGCCGGGCTCCTCCTTAATGGGAGCCTTTTCCTTTTGCTTGCCCTTGTGAGGAGCCGATTGCTCGGGGTCGTTGGCCGGGTCGTTCATGCTGCCTGACGCCATAGTAGCATCGAAGTTCTCCAAGCTCGCAAATTCCGGACCAAGATCTGCTCCGACACCAAACCCCATGCCGGATCCCAGACTGGTTGAAGATCGCCCCGTGTTGAGCGCTATTGCTAGCAAGCGTCGCTGTTCAGGGTCAAGCATAGGCGCACCCATGGCACCCATTCCCCCCATCCCAAAAAGGGGGTTCATCCTTAGCCCAGGCGCAGGCTTTTCCCAGCTCAAGGGTGTTGAGTAAAGGCCCTCCCTAGGTGGTACTTCCTGAGGCGGCTGGGAATCAATCTTCCCGAGCTGGTCGCCGAGGTTCATTGATTCCAAAAAGTCCTCGTCATCCGAAAGGGCATTGTCGAGGGCAGCGTCATCCATGAAGTCCTCTGGCTTGAACACAGGGTTGGTGTATAAACCTGCACCCAGGCCAGGTGTAGTCGACATGGGATTCAGGCGATTCGCAGCAGGCCTAGCAAATGTCACTTCATTAGCTATTTTTTTATGATCAGTAATTTGTCCTTGGCTCAAACTAGCTTACCTAGGCCGGTAATTCGGGGTAGGGTTGCTACGCCTTGAAAAGTCGATCTCAAAGCTTCCACCAAGCTTCTGTTCCTCATCATCGTCGAATTGGATCCAGTAGTCGACCGATTCCAATGCAGCAGCCTCCGAATCGACCTTGGTCCGTTTCCGTGCATGGCCATCTCTCCGCCGGGGATCTTGGTTCGGCGCAGCGCGGCTCGGTAAGCCTGGATTCCTTTGTTGACCACCATGGTTGAACTGCATTTGAGCTGGCATGGAGCCGAGCCCAAAGTTCGTGCTGGCAGGCGATGCCTGAGCAAAGGAAGGCAACGAACCAGAGGGGCCATTGGACGTCGACTCAGAGTTTGCAGGGTCGCCGCCTAAGGACTCCCACAAGGAGTTGTCTGGCGCATTTCTAGCAGCACCTGCGGCGGACGACTCGGCAGTCTGCTCGGCCGAGTTTGTTGTTTGGTTGTTGGGGACAGCAAAGTAGTCGAGGTTTTTGAGAAAGTTGGGGTCCATCACAACGCCAGCATTTCGGCCCCCGAAACGTCGGCGGTCGTCGATCTAGAAATCGATATATGCAATGTAGAGTGGATGTACAGCGGCTCGATCGCTTGCCGAATAATCCTTAAGCAGTTGAGGCCCGGGCCTCGTACGCTTCTTGGTCGGTGAAAGAGTTTGGCGACTCAAGATGGTCAGTCGTACGACCTCGTGTAGCCAATCAAGGCAATGTAGTCGTTCAATGGCAGCGAAGGCGATGGGGACAAGCAGCGAGCAACAGTCGTCGGGGTCGGCTTTGGCAGGGGAGGCAGGGCAGGACGCAGTGGATGAGCAGAGACGGTCGTTCGCGTTCGTGTACCGTCAAAAGTGTGTCGCTTGCGCAATAGACAGCAGTCAAGGCGGGAGTTTCGCTTATTAAGATCAGCAAAGGTTCGAATCGTTCAAAGAATTGTTTGGCCTTTGCGAGTAGGCTTGTGAGGGCGTAGGAGGCAAACGAGAAGCACGGGGACGGACAATAACAAGATCCATCAAACACGGGGAAGGACGAGAAAAGAGTTGAGGGTTGGGGGAGAGGAATATGTGGAGGCAAGGACGAAAATGACTGGTCACACCTTACGTATCCAACAGGGGATCTGTGGGAGACTGCAGGAGGTTTACGGAGGCGGGAGGAAAAAGTTGAGCGGTTCAGGTGATTTGATAGTGGTGGTGGTGCTGTTGGAAACGGCGGCAGTTCGTAGGAGAGCAGTCCGAGAATCGCGACTCGCAGGAGACAGCTTGAGCTCTGTAGCGGAAGGACGAAGACAAAAGTCGGCTGATATTCAAAGACAGGAAAAGTGACCCGCGCCGGATTCCGTGAGGGAGGGGGGGATTGACTCGAATTGACTCGGGCCAGGGCGGCCGAGTAGGCAAAAAAACTACTCCGGCAGAAAAGTGTGCAAAGGTTTGGCAATTGGGCGGGAAAGAACGATGCAGGATCGGGAGGAATGGCCTGACATCGAATTTGCCAGTGGCCGGGGCACACTGGCTGAGCGTATCAAAAATCGACCACTTCATCTTGACAATCGTATGATGAACGAGGCTGCTGGAGGGGAGTCGTGCGATGGGCGCCGAGCTCCAGTACAGGGGTCATTCATTGGATGTGCGTCAATCCGGCCCCACCACACCGCGCCCTCGTTGTCAGCCTTGCAAGCTGGCCCGAGCGTCGGCCCCAGAATAGACTTCCCGCTCCGTTAGGGTCCGGCTGCTTCTGGCTTGGTCTCCCCCGTGCCCCCCTAAAAATTCCCCTACCACGTAGACATCTTTCCCGAATTGGTGTCGGTCCAGTCAAAACTGTCCACCACCTCTCGTCCCTCCTTTGACATTTTTGTCCCATTTCTGAATTGAAGCAGGACCGTGATTCGCCGTTCCCCAAATCCATACATACTTGCCGTGCTCTTCGGGGCGGGACCGGCGCGGAAGTTCTCAAACGTCAGGAACTCTACGGAGTACTCTCCGCTCCTCCCCTTCGCCGTCGCATTCATCGCCCTGTTCCGCCCCCTGCCAAAATACTTCAGGCTGCCTCGAACAGACAGGCGCAACGGTTATGCCGCAATTCTAATGAAGACTTGGTGGTAGAACCGTTTGTGGCGGCGGCACCCACGTGGAACGGTCGAGACAAAATGCCCCAAACATCGTTGGCGCCGTTGAGTCAACAATGCGCAAAGACGTCTAGAACTTCTCCTAATACATCTTTTAATTGTTTTTCCTCCCTTGCGTTCCCCATGACCCCGACTTGCGTCCCGTCGTCGGTCGACAGGCTTTCTATCATATAAGTTTGTTCGATTTGATGCTGCCCCAATCAAGTTTGCTGCAAGTGCAGAAGCTCTCATGCTCGTATCTGCATTTAATTGTCGGCCATCGCTGGACAATGCGAACTTCTGTCAAAGAGCATTAGGAGCGGCAGAGTCGCTGGTATCACGGTAGTGAATGAGAGCATCGGTTCCCGTCCCTCAGACATCAGTCCTTCAGAGTGTATAAATACACCCTCCTCAACTTCTCGATAGTGTCAAAGAGAATCACACAACCCATCCTCTTCTTTGCCTTACCTCCCGAGTCATTAATCCGCCCTCGTTTTACGGTCAACATGAAGTTCATCACGAGTATCGCCACCATCCTCCTAGTTTCGACCTCGGTTGTTGCTATCCCAGCCAGCCCCATCTCCACCCCAAACCCTCACCTCGAGCCAATGTGGCCAAAATGCGTCAAATTCTACAAAGCTACAGGTGGTGAGACGTGCGACTCCATCGCCTCCAAAAATAACATCACCAAAGCCGATGTTATTGGCCTGAACCAGGCCATTGGCGGCCTCCGTGGTTGCTCAATGAACAACATCTTCGAGGGTTACTGGTACTGTGTCAAGCCAGATGGCTGGTAATGGTTCTGTAAGAGAGGCGTGATCGGTCTCGCAGGATGGGCAAACTTCACACGGGCGAAAGACGGAGGACTACCTAGGTGGCGGATCAAGTGCGGCTTCACATCGTGGCGAGCTACTTTGGCATGGTGCTGCTCATCTTACCAAGAGTTGCTAGTTACAATCAACAATACCCACGAATGATCAGTAACCGCTACATTCATTCTCCCTGCGCAACTAACTTTCTCCTTATCCAAGCTTGGTTCTGATGGTGACTCGAGTCAAAAAATCACTCGGAGAGTACTCTTCAGCGCTGTTGAGGATTGGGGTCAGCTGCTCGACTGACGCAATCACTACAAACGCTGGTCTCAACAAGCGTCTCGTGTTTGGCACTCGGTCCCTTACAGCCCTTGCCTACTTTCTCGCAATACACGATGTTATGAAAGCCCTTATGGCCGCAGGCCCACTCCTTGTCATACAGCGTGCACATCTTTTGGATCTTGACTCTCGACACTGTGGCCTGCTACTTGCTCCCTCGTTCCCGTGGGTGTTGGTTTTTGCTACTTTTGCCGGTCAGCGTGATCAATTTACTTGGATGCCCGCAGTTTTGGTTCCAGTGCAATTTGCATACAAACTGAAAGGTGTATATTCAAGATGACTCGACTCTCTCAGACAGTTGTTGTCTCACACCGTGACTCTAGAGTCAGTTATTTGGATGAATTGCTCTGTTGCCTTCTCGTGTACTCTGCTTCGGACTCTGAGGTCGCGGGCTGTCTAATAACAGCAGGAAGCTTCGGCTGAAAAGGCACTCCGAGATAGAGCTTCAAGGCATTGGATCCGTGGGGGAGAGGCTCAGAGGAGTTTCTCTGACAGGGTAATAAAGCAACACAACGATCGTGTTGGGAGTGGAAAGAAGAATTCAGCGAGTTCTTGTTGAACACCAGTAATGCTGGCTCTTGAACCGAAAGTGGTAGTTTCAGACAAGTGAGGACTCAACAGGATCAACGGGAAGTCAATATATGCCTCTCTCGGCGAAGGAAAATATTTGACGTTTTCCGATGTGCAACCAATACCGTGTGGTCCAGACCCCGTCGGACGCCTTGCCGCGTTCCGCGGTACTGGAAATGACGAATCGAGATGCAGGTAGCAATGGAAGAGCAAAAGCCCCTCGGTACATCACATTTCAGAATTCTGCAGGGTGACTTGACAGCTTGGAAGGGGAGGGGGAAAGGGGGGAGGAGACCGGGAGTCGGGACTTGGACTTTCTCGTCAGCTTCTTTGGGAGCATGCCACCGATGTCCGTCGTTCCCAGTGGGCCACGACCGACGTCACTTCGGCGAAGAACTACGGGATTGGTGGGCCCTTCGATGTGTAACCTATCAAACGGTCGGTTGTTGGGGTCTTTACCCGGCTAAGTGCAGAAGAATATTGTCTACGGTTATGGTTTCACGAAAAGGCGGTGGGTAAGGATACGGGCATCTTTGTCATCTCTTGGCTGTAAGCACATCAAGATTTACCTCAGGCGCTCTCCCATGTTACGCGCGCGCTCTCTCTATCTCTCTGCTCCCTGAAGAGGAGAGTCTTTCTGGTAAGGATGAATGTGCGGACCAAGGCAGTGAGCAGTAAAGATTGTTGTCAAAAGGTGGGGGCGGACTGGGCTCCTGATGATGCTTAAAGACCCTAGATCCCTGTTGACTCCTCCGGGGTACCATAAGCCCCCCATCCTGGCCCTATCACGCACTGTCACTCTTTGATATGTGATCTGCTCAGGGTGTCAAACGTCGAAAGTCACCTCGGTGTTCTGTTTTGTTTCTTTCCAACCACAAGAAAGGAGGGAAGTATGTATGTCCCTCTGCAAATCTCGCAGGTTCCATGCGAGAACGCGCTTCGGGATACAACCTTGAACACTTCCCCGAGGAGGTCCATGTTGTCGCGATGTTTGGTACGCTTGTGGCTTGCCGGTCGACGTCCCCCCCTTTCCCCCCTTCAAGTTTTCTCCAAGAACCCCGCTACTGCGAGCTTCTGCGCGAATGGGCTGATGTGGATGGCCGTTTGCTTACACCATTTGTCAGACGCACATTCGTAGACATGCATGGCAGCGCACGACAGGCTTCCTTATGCAGCGAGTAGTCTCTGGAGTGAGAAAATCCATCCGAGCGGAGGGAGGTCGACGCACTACTTCCTGCAGGGTCGCTAGAGGGAAGCCGTTTATCCATGTAAAGATGCTTCTTTGGACTCGGGTCTTAGACGTAGGCACCCGGATTGGGTCTCTTTCGGTCACAGTTGTTCGGCGTAGTCATCGAGATGTCGGACCTTGTTGTCGGTCGAGAATAACCCCAGCTTACAGCCTCCAAAGTTTTTGAGCGTATAACTCTCAAGGCCAACAGCCGTTATAATTCCTTGTCTCGGCGCTCAGTTTTCTGGGACAATTGGGACACAATATTTATACGGTCCGTCCTTGACTGAAGACCAAATGATAACACCAGGCAATGCGATGTCAATGAGGCGAAAGACTTCGGAGTGGATAGCAATATGATCTCGTCATACTCATGAGCTAAATTCGCTGTTTTCTAGAGCTACCCTGGTTCTTCATGCTGTTCCTGACGGCAGCCCGGAACGAGGCACTGAAGAATACGCGCCCCGGATGACGGATAGTGATTTTCTTATATAGACTGTGTTGGTGGTGATGTCGACTGAAAGGCCTTTCGTATAGTACGACTAAGGTCACCCTTAGACTATTTCTGAAGCAAGCTTCTTAGAGGGCACACTGACCCTGCCTTTTCTCTTGAAAATCTAGTGAATAAGACGCCGATTTGACTACTGGTCATATCTTTCGTTATATACCACTCCCTGGCCTATTTCATGTAGCGGACTAGCCTAGATTTGTGTTGTTTCTTCAGGATCTCTGTTCGAATGTCATTCAATGCTGCCGACTGCTTGATCATGTTCATATTACATTAAGGATCCTAGATGATCAATTCCTCATAGATCCTCATTCACCAAATCATCTTAACAGGTAAAATTCTCAATCGTATTCTTAAGAGTGCGCATTGCTGTATTCAGACGACTTCCAATTCATGAATTCAGGTTCATTCCGAGGTCACCAATGGATCTGATGTAGCTCAAACACTTCCTCCCTTGAACGCCCGGTTCCGTCCCTTCCCACCTATTCTCACCATGACTCAAGTTCATTACGCCTTTTTGTACCAAGAACAATCTTTTAAGAATACCTACTTATGTATAAGACTGAAGGCAGCAAGTTAGGTAATCTACCTTCCTGCAGGAACGGACAGTGGTGAAATGGAAGGCACCATGGTTCTGCCTCGTCATGGGGTACACGGTCAATGGGAAGGCGCGAACTGGTAGTTGGCTCTTTCCGCTTTTGAACCAGAGAACCACAGGTTGAGGAAGGCACCTTCCCGGTGACCAAACACCAGATCCCACGGTCCATTCCTTCCTCTCTCTATTTTCAATCCCATGTCAAGTCCCTTCCCAACTCTAGAAGTTGCCTCATTTCGTTCCACTGTCTTTGTCCAACAACTTACGGCCGAAACTCGCAACCTTCTTTCACACCCACTCATCTCCTCCCCTCACATATCCTTGCATCTGACCCGGCGTCGCCTCGCCATATCCCACTGGCTGCAACATAACTCTGTCTGTTCCCGTCCCTAGTCCCTCTACTTCCCTCTACTCACTTCAACCCGGGACAAACAACGCTAAGGCGGCGGAGGCGACAAAATGTGGTGCAGCGTGCCGAAAATCCTTTTGGGATTGCTGTCAATTGGGGCATGGATCGACGGTGTCGAAGCCTTCTCTTGGGGAGGTGTCGAAAGGAGAGCAGACACCCCCCGGTCTGTGGAGGAACATTTGGTCAACCCCTCGGTTGTAGTTCACGACGCATCACGCTTGCCGAATGTCTACGCCGTCGCCATGCAGGAGCTCCAAGAACTCGAGTCGGAACCTCTCTGCCATCGAATCGCTGCTCGACTCCTGGTCAACAATTGCCAGCTGTTGGAAGGCAAAGACGACGCCACCGTTCTCACCGACAGCGGCAGACAAATTCGTGACTTTGTGGACTCCTATGCCGCCAGTCTTGCTATCTGTGATCTGGAGAGAGGCAGTTTCGTCATTCCGTCTGGATGTGCGCCGTTCAGAGAACGTGCTCTAGCTAATCTACCGACCTCCAAAGTTGCTCAGCTTCACGTCTCACCTCGGCAGATAGATTCGTGTCTCTCGGGGTTAGCCAAGTCCGACTCTGCGTGGAACACTTGGGTGAGCTACCGTCATAAGGCTCTCAGATTCTGCGAGGCTGCTCGCGTAGATAATGACAAAGGTAAACACTATCCTCCGTACATAGGGAATATTTCTAATCTTGCTGCAGCACAGAGCATTCGTCTATATCAACGTCTCACCGAAGTACTCTCCAAACTGTCTGAGGGAGTTGAACAAGAGCTTGAAGCCCACCTACATGCGATCAATCTGAGAGCAGCCGAGACTACAGAGCAGCTCCGCCAAATGAACCCAGACATCGATCAGTTGCGAAACAGCTTACAAGACCTGGACAGATTTGTTTCTCAGGACGTGATGCAGATAGTACAGGTCGGTTCACCATACTCATTCCCGAGCACTGCAACTCAACTGACTGAAAAGGCATCTAATTCTGCGATGCGAGGCGGCCTCGAGGATGCCCAGAACCTGCAACAGCTGCTGACGGTGCTCCTCAAAACGGTCCTTAGCAGCAACGCCGAGGTTGCAGCATCGCATGATCTGGCACTGACAGACTTCAAAGAACGAACTGGGAATGAGGTCGCGGCGGTCATGGCTGCTCTCGCAACAGCTATAGCATCGTCTACATCCCTTCATGGCCAGTTGGTAAGCAAGTTGAGACCGACCACTTGCTTTCTGGACTGACTTCGAATAGGAACTATCCCACATTCGAGCTATTGAATTATCTGATCGGCAAGATAGTCTTGAGAAGGTTGGTGAAGAAAGCCTTCTGACAGAATCAAACCTGCCGCTGACCATCTTTCAGGGATTGGAGAAACTATTAGACATTACCGATGACATTTCCTCGAAATACGAATCCCACTCTGATAAGCTTTCACACGTGAACCAGATTTCAGAAGACCTGCTGGATACACTTGACAATATGGCTTCATCGACATCAGAAGTTCGCGGTTCTTTCCATCGACCGGGTTGGACAAGTTGGATGCCATATGTGGCGTGCCCAGCCGCGTCTTTGCTCATGGGATCTTACGGTCTTCCGCCATCAGCAGTGAGAAACCTCGGGCTCATTGCGCTCGGTATGGATATGACACATTACTCTGCATGAAAAGGATACTGACTATTACGTGCTCTGTAGGCGAACTCGCTGGCTTTGTCGTATCTTATGCCAAATATCTTTCGCCGGGTATCCTCGAGGCTGATCGGCATACATCCCCGATTGTTGACGCCATGAACAAGACCTCCATTTCCACGGCGACCCCAAATCATCTTTCCAGAGACCTGCCGCTAGATCTACGCAATATCCGAGGATCGACACCGACTTGAGAGCTGCTAACCGATAGCGACATTCGACATAAATCTCCACATCGAAACACATACAAAGTTATGACATCTGGGCAGGGCGAAATTGTTTCTGGCGTTTGTGATTTTATCTTTTACCTTCCTTCTTGCTTTTCGTTGTTTTTTCGGATGGGTTACTGGATTATGGTCCTTGCAATCGGTGGGAATTAGTACTGGGAAACGGTTGCCTCTGACATCATTTCTCGCATATGAACTTAGCAAATCGCCTATTCGGGTACTATGCACTTTTAACCGGAGTTTGATCATTCTCATCCATTCATCTCCCCTTTTGCTATCTTGTGTGCCTATATCCCGGTGCAAGGCAGACTGACTGCGGGGAAGTGCATGAAGGCGTATTACTGTCTTTCCTCATAGCCTGACCCCGACCGCTAGCCAAACTTTGCCGTTGTCTCCAAACACCCGACCGTCTTGAAGCTGCGGGATTAACTCAAGACGAGACGAAGACAGCGGCGATGGCGGACAAGGTCAAGATCGCGCTCATTCAAATGCACCCTAAGGTCAGTAAGTCTAGGACTACCCCTCATCGAAAATGCTTAGCCCAGTCTAGCTCCCGCGCTTCCTTTTTCATGCGCCATGGCTCACGAGGTTTCCCTGCGGCTGCGGCGGGGGGAACTTCTGCCTCTTACCAGCGGGAAGAAACAGAGTTCTGATGAGCATCACAGGTCGTCGCGCCAGAGGAGAACTTCACCAAGGCAGAGACTTACATCCGCACTGCCGTTTCCAAGGGCTGTTCGCTAGCCGTGCTGCCCGAGTACCATCTTACATCATGGGTCCCCGACCACCCTCAGTTCGTATCCGCCTGCGCGCAGTCCTGGACGTACCTTGAACGATATCAGGCCCTGGCCAAGGAACTAGGCGTGTCCATCGTGCCGGGGACCATTGTGGAGCCGGACGGCGAGGAGGGGGCAGACGACCTGGACCTTTTGAACGTTGCATATTTCATCGGTCCCGACGGCGCCGTGCTGGGGCGGTACCAGAAGAAGAACCTGTGGCACAACGAGAGGCCACACCTGACAAAGGGCCCCGAACCGCACGGCGCTTTTGATACGCCGCTGGGGCGGGCAGGCATGCTGGTGTGCTGGGACCTGGCGTTCCCCGAGGCATTTAGGGAGCTCATCCGCGACGGGGCGAGGATCATTGTCTGTCCCGCCTTTTGGCTCGCCGACGAGTACAAGCGCGACAACGGGGCGGGGAACGGCGCGACAGAGGTGGTGAACCGGGACTCGGAGCGGGTTTTCTTGGAGAACGTCATGGTGACGAGGGCGTTTGAGAACACGGCGGCCGTGGTCCTCGTCAACGCGGGCGGGCCCGCGGGCGGAGGCGGGGTGGAGGTTCGGGAGGAGGGCGGGGCCAGGGTCCGGTACTGCGGCGTCAGTCAGGTTGCGATGCCGCTTGTCGGCGCGCTTGGAAAGCTGGGTGCCGAGGAGGCGATGGAGATTGTCGAGGTCGACTTGGGGCTGTTGGATGTTGCTGAGGGGGCGTATAAGGTGAGGGAGGATATGAGGAAAGAAGGGTGGCATTATGGGTACTCGATTGTGAAGGAATAAGGCGACGATCTCAAGACGACAGTGTACGGTTCACAGGACATTTAATATAGATGGCAGAGATATATTGGCTCAAGATGTGGTCATGATGAATGGTTTTGGTTGCAAAAAGTCTGGTACTAATGGCACACTACTCGCTATCAATATGCCTTGGATCTGTAGGCGGATGAAGAGACATATCCCGGCCGTTACTTCATTGAGAGCTCTGCCCGGTCTCATCTAGATAAGCAAGAAACTTCCTTCTCTGCGCGATACGGATCCGCGTGTGCTTCGACTCGAGGTAATCCCAATACTTCTGGATCTTGGCATCCACCGGGCCACCCTCTGAGCCAGCAGCATCGATACGTCTCAGCCGTTTGTCATCGTTGATCGTCCACACTCCTTCCCAATGATTGGGAAGGTCTTTGTGCACCTTCAAGTACTTCACCAGATCTGTGGCTAGCGGTGTGCATAGCGAAGTAGCCATCAGCGCCAAGACGATATCCTTGCGCGGATAGCCAAACGAGACGAACCGGTCCATGAGGTCCTGGAGCTCGACGGTCTTATCTGTCGATTCTTGAGAGTCGGTCATGGTTTGGTCTGTGGCATCGTTCGGGGCTTCGCCTGCTTCTTCTGCTCCTTTCTCCTCCGCCTCCTCTTCCTCTTCCTCCTCTTCTCCCCCCTCTTCTTCCCCCCCTTCGGCGGGCGACTCCTGAACTGGTGTAAGAGTGGGTGATTGGTTCCGGTCGACCCCCTTTCCTTTATCTCTCTTGTAGGACAAAGGCACAGGGGTCACGGATTCTTCCTCGCCCAAAAGCTGTTGTGACGGTGAAATATCGAACTCGATACTGTCTTGAGATTTGTCAGGTGCGTTGAAGGCATCATCGAAGCCAAAGTCCTGTGTTTCAGGCTCCAAACGACGGGGTTTGCCAGCTGGATTCTGTTCGGGCTCTTCTTCCTCCACGTCTCTCTCTGTGGCCCCCTCAACTTGCTCCTTGCTGGCCGTCCACTGTTTGACACTGAGCGAGGGGCTAGGGCCAAGGTTGTCAAAGCTTGCGAGGCCTAGCTTGTCGTCGGGAGTCGATGGGATCTCGTCGTCTGGGCCTAGGCGCTGTCGCTTCTTCCGGCTGTTTGGTGTCGACGGAAAGCTAGACGTCTCGACAACGATTGCCTGCCTCTTTCTAGAAGCACCGGGGGTGACCGCTTGTTGTACCTGTGGAGGTTCCAGCGGCACATCTGGTACGAGGTCTTCATCCTCGGCCTGTGAGACCTCATCGTCCTCGGATTCTACGTCAGGTTCGTCTAACACACCGCTGGCGGCGAAGCCGGCGACGTGGTCTGCAAAGCATTGTTGTATCAACTGAGCGTTTTCAACGTGGAAGCCCAATCTATCTGCGACTGCTGCCCAGTCGGTTTCGACCGCACCTTTCTGGTACTGGTCTCCAACAGCTTGCCATAATAGCCACAAGTCGATAGATTGATCATTGATCTCGGGATTGGTTTGGGTATCGATATGGTGGAATGTGCGGTAGGCCCACAGTTGGTCGTAGAAATCCTGTCTCGTGACAGCTTGGGGCTCTTCGACTTTTGGCTCTCGTGACTGTTCCGCTTCGTCGATTTCTTCTCTGGCGGGACTTGCACCAGATGAGACGGCCTTGGGTTCAGAAGTCTCCGTTGGCTGGCTGTTAGATTCGGTTGGCCTCTCGTCCTGTGGGCGTTCCATCTGTCGACTTGGCTCGCCGGTGTGAGCTGTGTCCGGTCGGGTCTTTATTTTGACTGTAGAGGATTCTTCAGGCAAGAGTCCGCTCTCGTCAAGGCTTTCCTTAGAGCTCTCCCGAAGTCGCGGCTCCAATATCTGTGTCCAGTGCCGTTTCCATGCACCCTCTGAATGACTGGAATGCTACTCAGGTTTAGTCTAGAGTCGTTATCACTACGGGGAAAATCAGACGTACCTTTTCTGAGAATTTCTTGAAGAATTTGGTGTCGGGTGTACCTCCAAACCTGCCTGCCTCGCGTATCAACAAGTCGTCCTCTGCGTCTGTGAACTTGGCTCTGTTCGCTGGAGTCAATGGCGCTTTGACGGCTGGCTGATGAGTGGCAGAGCTCGGCCTGACCGCTGCCTTCGCCGGAGGCAATTGCGAGACACTTTTTGGGGTAGCCAGAAGAGGCGCTTTCTTCACTGCTGGTCGCGTAGCTTGGGATCGCTTGGAAGGAGTCGCGGCTGCCGGTGGCGGCGGCAATGCGATATCCGGAGCATTAGCTGCCATCTTCTCAAGCTCAGCCGGAGGCAATTTGGATAACTTCTTTACCCATCGATCTCTCCAAGAATGCCAGGTATGACGATTGTTCTATGACCGTTCAGTGACAGTAAGAAGAGTATACCTCGAGAACCGAACTCACTATTCCCTCGAATGTCTGATAGATCTCATTGCCGCTTTTTTTGTTTGCCGCATGCGAAAGCACCCACCTGGCCAGACTCTCATCGTCGGCGGCGTTGAACGGTGTGCGGGTTCCTTTAATAGGGGCAGAATTGGCTGATTTGGCCGCAGGACGGGAGACGCCAGCAGGACGAGAGCCACCAACAGGACGCGAAGCTATGGGGGTTTGGTGCATCTCATATTTATCCGTTTCTTGTACCGCGCCGTTGTCGACGGAATCTGTGACAAACTTCCAATCGAGCGACCCAGCTGGTTTATGCCCGGTATCATAGGTAATGTAGTGATCCGCTTGGGATTCCAATTTCGCAATTGTGCCGCCGTTTTGCTGCATCAGTCAGCTTCCGGAACGCCTGGCATACCAGAAGTGATTGCCTACCTTGATAAGGTCCAGGATTCTCACCCTGCCAGGTACGCGAAGCGAAACAAAGAACTTCAGATCCTTGAATAGAGTGCCGCGGGCGCCGGGCACTCCATCGTAAGTGATTCCGCCTGCCGACATATCCAACAGAAGATGAAAAGTGTAGCTGAAAAAACTCAAAGGTTGGCTTGGTGACACGAGCGAGCTACTCAAGCTTGTTCAGCCCTTGAAATAGGTGTTGCTGTCGCTGAGAGTGAAAATCGTAACGGGCAACAACATGTAGAGAGATAGCGTGCCTTGAAGAAGCTTGGTCAAGTCGAGAATCGCAATGATGCCCCGAGAAGGTACGATGAAGCGGCCAGTCAAAAGTGAGGGATCGCGCAAATGACGCGCTTGCTCAAGTCGAAATTCGGCCTTGAAAGGCGTGGGTGAAGGGCACTTCCAAATGCCCTTCCTTTATGAGCGTTAGGAATAGACGTCAGGAATGAACCAAGTGCCTTCATCCTTTGAAATGAACTTGTTGCCTCTAATTGACACGGACCGCGATGCAGCGTCGTCTTTGTGACCCGCGCAAGTGCACTGCCAATACTGCAAGCATCTGACGTATTAGTAGGAGGCACCCAGGTGCTCAATGGAGACGCGCTTTCATGGAAGGGAGGGTGCCGCGTGTTCACGTGTGAACTGCTTCTATGCGTTAAGATATGTATTCTAAACGGTACATGGGTATATGCAATATAGTAACGGCAAACGGCCTGTCCAAAAATGCGCTATGACCTCTTATATGCGATACAGCGATACTTTTGGTAAGCCTCAGTGTCATGCTCTCACTCTAAACTGTCGGTTTCCTCTGAACGGTCTCTCTATTTCGCTCATGACTGTGGAAATATCGCCAAGTTCTTGAATTATTCAAAACCTTCCTTGCTGCTGGCTAAGGTACCTAGCTTATTGACGAGGACCGTGTGCCTACTTTACCTTAGGCTGACACCTCAAGGCTCAGGCCCTCTCCACTCGCTACCGGCCACAGCGACTGATAGTGGACTTGTCATCCGTCTGCCTTACCCGCCTCAGCCGGCACATCCAGCCCGAAGTACTGTAAACTAGGACTAAGTGGAACGTCGCCATCTCTACCGGAATACCTAGACTTCAGTTTTTTTCAAGACCATGTGTTGGAAGAAGTCATAACACTTAGTTTCGATATAATGGGCGCCCTCAGGAATGCGGCACTTTTCGTGCTGGCTGTCTCTTTCACCGTCTTCGTCGCCTTTTTTGGCCGACTACCGGCTCTGAGGTTCGTCATCATGTTTGTTCACTGGCTGGTGAACAGAGGCATCTCACCATTAGGAACATGAACTCACCATTTTGGCAGACATACGCCAATTGCAACGATGCATAGGATAATGTGGATCCATATCCCAAATGGCTTCCTCGCTGTAGACAAACTCATTACGGGAGGAAGATTCTCGACCTCCATGATACGCTTTGGCAACTTCATGATGCATGACCGGCACCCTACCGTCGTCGTAAGTGTCCGGGTTTGCTACATTTTCAACGAACTCCAGGCCAGACTGACGCTTTCCAGATCTTCTTCCTGCTCATCCTCTCTGTTTCGGAATACCTATATCTCCCGGGAGCGTGGCCCCAGATTTCGCTCTTGCACAAGATCATAGGCTGCATCGTCATCTTCTTCCCCTATTGGTTCCTGTACCTATCCGTCATGGCCGACCCGGGTTACATCACGGCCGAGAATCATGCCTACTACATGTCCCTCTACCCCTACGACTACTCAATCTTCTACCCCGGACAGAAATGCAGCACCTGCAACCTCATCAAGCCTCCCCGCTCCAAGCACTGCAGCATCTGCAAGCGCTGCGTCGCAAAACTCGACCACCACTGCATCTTCATCAACGGCTGCGTCGGCTACAAGAACCAGCACTACTTCGTCCTGCTCCTCCTCTCCACGGCCGTCCTGACCTCGTACGGCGGGCTTCTCGGCTTCTCGCTCCTCTCCAACAAGATCGCCGCCAACTACCCGCAATGGGCGCTGTGGCCGCCAAAGGGCATGGAAATCAAAGAGTACCTCCTCATCTGGAGCTGGGCCCTGCAGGACAACGTCGGCATGGGCGCCGTCACTCTCCTCGCGGCCATGACCTCCCCGCTGGTCTGGGGCCTGCTGGGCTACACCTTTTGGCTCATCTACTGTGGCACCACGACAAACGAGTCGCTGAAATGGTCCGACTGGAAGGCCGAGATGGACGACGGCTGCGCCTTCAAGCGGAGCATGCCCGTGAACCGCGTCAAGGACAAGCGGTTCGAGCCGGAGAGGACGCGCTGGCCGCTGCAGACGCAGCAGGTGTTGACGAGGACCGAGGACGGGATGCCGCCTCCAGACCACGGGCCTGGCGATGGCGAGTGGGAGCGCGTGTGGAATTTGAAGGATGTCGAAAACCTCTACGATTTGGGGCTGTGGGATAACTTGGCAGATATTTTTGTGTCGAATTACGACTTCAACGTCAAACGAGACCAGCCGTCTGTGGAGGCCCTAGGGCGACAGAGGCATTCGCCCAAGGCCTGATGGGTTCGTCCTTCCGTAATACAAGATTTGTATACGTAGTGTGTAGTGTTAATGTAACATGTAACGACCAGAAAGGGATGATACTGCAAGTTGAGACTTATGTGATTGAGGTGACTAGGATACGGTGTAATAGATTTCACATCACTTAGGATGAGGCATAGCATATCAAAATACGTAGCATGTATAGAGGCTCTTTCAACGTTTGTCTTTGTTTCATTTCAACGTGTCTCGTCTAATTCGTACCTGGGGCTGCTGAACCCAAGGGAACTTCAGACGCCCCAGCTACTCAGGGCTTGTAAAGCCAGTCTGAGGATCTAATGATGCATGCCGCAGAACTCTCCATACCGTTTGTGCGTGTCAGCCAGTCGTCTGCAGGAAGTTCTTTCACTTCTCAGGCAGAAATTTGGCTTGACGTTGCCACTGAGTGTCCAAAGTCTCGTCTTCAAACGTTTTCAACGCTTACAGAATGGTGCCGAATCTAGGAAACAACGAACGTTAGAATGTAATCTCGGCAAGATTTATGTGACTTGTGGAGACATACCCAAATGTGCGCTTGATGCTGTTGACGTAGTACTCTTGCCAGTTACGCTTCGTGGCCTCCTCCTCGCCGACAGGGACGCCGTCCCAGTTGACACGCATCAGCGTGACGTGGTCGACGTCGTTCTGGTCAAACTCGATGCTGAGCTTGGAGAAGTGGCCCTCGGGCCACTGCTTCAGGCGCCAGCTCTGGACAATCTTCTTGGGGGCGCTGAGCTCGAGGTACTCGCCCGTGACGTTTCCGTCAAACAGCTCAAACTTTGCGCCCTTGATGGCGCCCTGGAAGACCTTGGGTGGCGCGCGGGTGAAGGCGGCGATGCGGGCAGGGTCGACAAAGGTCTGGTATGCCTCCTCGGCCGTGGTGCGGAACTCGGCAGTGTCGGTCAGGGTCATGGTGTTGACGACCTTGCCGGAGCTACCCTTGACGCTGGTCGAGGCAGTGGTGGACTTGGCCGGCGTGTTCTGTGCCTGGTACTTCGGGGTCGAGAAACCGCTGGACGGGTTGGATCCGGGGGCATGCTGGATGTCCTTGCCGTGCTCGGCAATCAAGGCTCCGGGGAGCTTGAGGAACTCCTTGCGGAGCTCCGGCACGAGCTTGGAGCGGACGAGGTCCTTGACAGGCTGCTTCTCCTTGGAGTCGGAGTAGATGTCGATGTCAAACTATCACGCAGGCAAAGTCTCAGTAAAACGGGGTGGCCTTTTGACGATGCAGAGATTTCACAAGAGAGAGACCCACCACAAACTCATCCTCCTCAGTGTCGTGGGCGACCTCGGGGACGGTGATGGTGCCAGAGACCTCAGCCTCGTCGGCAGTGGTGCCTGCGCTACGTTAGCGAGGCTCCAGAACACACGACTTCACAAAAATGGTACAATGTCAGGCAGAGAAAGTCGGTTGAACGAGGTTTTTTACGGGATGTGAAACACATGTGCTTGCATTGATGGACCTACCGGTGTATTCTAGAACGAGCTTAACATCGTAAATGGTGATGACCTTGCCCTTCCTCTGGCTAACGTCGACGTCGCCATCCATGCTCACAACCTTGCTAATCTTTGCCGTGACACCGCTATCGGTAGTCTCGACTTTCGCCAAGCTCTCCTCAAGGTACTGTCTCGCCCAGGCCGAGGCATCCTTGTTGACCCAATGCCAGTTGTTGGGGTTGTGGAGGACCATCTTGTCGGCGGTGACTCGGTTTCTGATTCAGGCTGCGAGGTAGGAAATGGGTGTCTGTAAAAGATTCCAATTGCAAGGTTAGCAAAAGGAACGAGTAAATGCGTCGCGAGGTTTCGTAGGTTGAAGAAGTAAACAAATAAATTGTCGGTTTGTCCCGGATCAGTGGTTGGTCAATAGACCGCAGCGTTTTTCATCAATAAGGGAGTACAAATCACTCTATGACTGGTGCCAGCTGGTGTATCATCATATTGGGAGAAGATGGAAAGAAAAATGGCGCGGGGTAGATAAAGAAGGGGTGAGATTGGGGGTCAGTTCTTACCTCAGTGCGGATTGGCGCGTTGGAGTGTCATGTCCAAGGAAGCGTTGCGCATGGAAAGAAAAGGAAGATGGGATTAAATCTGAGCGCGGGACCTCTTTTGAAAGAAAGCTCTAGAATTCTGACGGCCTCTCCGCTGCCAGGTGGGCTGGGCGGTAAATCGTCGGCCGATTGGTTTGCCCGTAGTTGCGGCTGAACCCCACCTTCCATTCCACTTGCTCGTGCCCGACCTGCCTGTTCAAGGTCACCAAATTGGTAGACCGAGAATGGCCTGTGCTTGCCATGGTATTGTAGCTGCTCATTCAGCAGTCTTGCAAGTTGCACATGTTCATTATTCGTCCAGATCAATGTTGCGTACCACAAATCCACGGAAAGACGAGCCCACATGCTCGGTTCGGATTACTCAACTCCTTTTTTCTTATCTCAGCTGGCAATACCTAGTTTCAGGGCAAAGTGCAAAATGCGTCGCTGCACTACAGCTTTCTTCTTTCCTCCTCATGTTGTACCAGATCCTTGGATGAACTAGACGAGATATATCGGAGCCGATACGTGGGACTGCAGACGACGGCTCATCAGGCAAACTATTTATCACAAAGTCTTTCTATCAATCCGAATGCGACTCATCTACATACATCTTTTTCATCATCTGGAACTTCGAACGGGAAAAGAAAGCCATGATTCGATAAGGTCTCGCTCACGGCACCCACAGCTGCAAGCAAGTCCAGGTCACGGAACGGCAAACACCACTTGCTCTCCATTCAAACCAAACCGTGGCATATGAAACAGCTGGCTTGCAGGCGGCGAGCCGATGCAAAACCTGAGTGCCTTCCAGGCCATTTTCTAGAAGCCGGATGTGGTCGCCCCCGCGCGGCCAACGTCCGCTCTTGGCCTACTATTTCCGTGCTATATGGGGCAGGGTCATCTGCAGTCCGCGATGCCATTGAGTGATTGCGTTCTGACCGTTGCGTTCACACGATGTCACCGTGAAGAGGCCTAAGGACGGGATCTCAACGGATGATACCTGCTCGACCGTCCGGTTGCTGCAGTGCCGATGCTTGCCAAGTTGCCTCGTTACACGGTAATGAGGAACCAGACGATCGATGCACTTTTCAAGATCGTGCAGTCCAAAATATGCTCGACGGCATCGGTACGTTTGATTCCCAGTTCTCGGATACTCAGCAAAGCCATATTGGTTCCCAGCAAACGGGCCTTGAGCAATATTTAGAACTTCCATGCCTGTTCTTTGCATCCAACCCCGCAACCTTACGTATCCACAGGAGGTTTCTTCATTCACGTGGAAGCTATCTGGTACCTCAGTCCTGTTCGATTACAGGACAGGGCCCAGCCACCCCGATATAAACTCCAAAGACGGCCAAAGTTCCAAACAAGCAACAAGTCGGTGAGGAAGACTCCCGAGGTCTGGCTCCTGACTAGGACCCAAGCTTGCTCAACGCTAATGCCTGCTTTCCTTCAGGGCTGCCAGCCAACAACCGAATCACTTGTCCAGCTTCATCGGGCGAGCGGCGGCCGCGGAGAGGAAGTAGGGCCGGAAGAGCAACGGAAGTCTTTCAGACTGTCGAGCAAATCGAAGGGCATTTTAAGCGCCGACAATCACCTCCGCGTTCTTTTCACAGCACCATCAACCAATCACAACCCCAGACATCTCTTTGACTAGCCAGGGTCTAAGTATGCTTCCAAGAATAGAATGACCTCCCACCAGGAAACCAACCAATCGATGCGGCCGGCTACCAACGTCTCCACGAGTCTCTTCTCTTGGCCCCATCAAAATGACAGGCCATTTTGGACCGGACCCTGGCGCGATGCTCACTCATCTTTTCCTCTTGTTGGGCCGTGGCAGGTCGCTACGAGCTTTGCGTATGCTATGTTCCATGCTGGCCTCTTCTCGTTGGTTGTCTTTTGCTCAGGTGTACCGTGATAAGGTCCGCTTGCTATGTCGGGTCGACAATGCTCAGTACTGCGACCCTGACTCCGAGCTTCATGCCTCCCTACTTTCTAGTATGCCGTTCCGGCCGATGATGGTCGTAGCAGTACCACGCCATTTCATTATTCTCAAGAGGGAGAAGAAAGCCAGAGAAGAACTGCAGCGACGGACCTGAGACGAGACAACAGCAACGCGGATAGCAGCACCTTAGCTTTGTCGGCATCTGCAGGCCTGTCATGCAGTCGCGACAGCCACATGGGATGTTGCTGGTCTTTCCACACTTTGCTGTCCGGCTCGCTTTCACAACCCCATGCCGCAAGCAAGCAAGTGCTGCCCCTCGCGGATGGACGAACGTACTTCGTACCCATCTATACCTTGGCACCCCTTCGAATTAGCTCAATACCCTGTCATGTATCGGTTCCCGCTATGAGGTACATACACAGTATGTGGTCTGCACCGAAATCGGGAAACGAGCTAGTCCCTATGTTTGCTGCAAGTTGCAACAACTCAGCGCCGAGCATCAACTGCCTTTAGTCCCGGCCTTGAGATCCACCATTGCGCTTTTGCTCCGGGACCCGGCTGCTATTCCTGTCGTTTCCTCGTGCTCCCGAGAGCCCGCTGTTCTCCATGCCCCTCCTGCTTCTCACCCCAATGTCTTGAATCTCGGCCCCCCAAGAGTAGGGGTGCCACAGGGGTGCAGTTCTGTCGGCGGGCGATCAAGCGTGAGCCAAGAGCGAGCCAGCAACCCCGGTACCCTCCTGTACGTGGGGTGGGATGTATGTACCTCTTATGCAGGAGGTTGACCACATTGCAGCAGACCCGACCTAGACATGACCATCTCTTTTATCTTCTGCGTCCTCCCACCCAAACTTTTGTTCCCTTTTCGCTTCAGCCGCGCCCTCCCCCTCCTAGGTGTGACACGACCTTACTGCCGGCTGCCTGTCCGTCCTCTCGGTTGTGCGGTGTGTTTCTCGACATGAGATTGGCTTTCCATCAGTCAAGTTGAATGGACTGGTAAAGAGTGGAAGAAGTGCGAAAGAGGTCGGCAAGTTGCTGGCTGAGGTATCCTTAACCCCAGTGAGGGTCTAAGTCGTCCTCACCTCCTCGAACCGACTCCGGTGTCACTCCAAGTCCACAACCATCTCAAGTTTCTGACCTCGCTGGGAGTTGCTCAGCTCAGCGGGTGGCCATTTGGCTTACAATGAACAATCCTCGCGATCCAACCCGGTTGCGCCAGGGTCTCAATCCGCTATTAACTCAGTCTTTGGGTGCATACCACAACCAGGTCAACACGCCGCTGTCAGCAGTGTCCTCATCGCACTTACACTCGGCTGCCCACACTCCTGCAAGCGCAATACAGCCTTATAATCCACAAGAATGGATAGCTTCACCTGCTGCCGGGTCCGAAAGGTCCCATCAATCACATCAGTTCCCTGAGCAAGGTATCTATTGACCCAAATTCGCATTGGCCCTGGCCGGCTTTGCTGACCAGTCTCCATAGGATCACCACTACCTCCGCCTCCGTATAGTCCACCGCGAAGCCAACGACCACAGAGCGGCTTCTTCGAGTCCTCACCAGCGGCGAATACTTCGGCAGCACGGATTCCTCCTACAAACGTTCATAGGCCGTCTCCGGAGCCTTCAACAAACACATCATTTCCTCCTCCACCGGGAGCCGGAGGTCGGACAAGCTCACGCGAAAGGCGCTTCGGGTTTCATTCCCTGAGACGGAGCAGAGAGTCCCAAGAATCAAGTCCTCCAGAGCCGATGCCGCCTATGCCTATGCCGATATCAAGGCCAACCCCTCTTCAGATCCAGATCCCACACCCAATGCCACATCACAATGACCCGAACTCATCACACGGCCCGCCCGGTGCCCGAAGAGCTGCTTCCGCAAGTGCAGTCGAGACACCGACTTCAGCTCGCTCACGTTCGGCGTCTCAGTCAAGATGGGAACCAGGAATGCCCCTCCCGCCGCCACCTCCGGTCCCACCACCAGCTTCGTCTCGGTCACAGAGCGTGCAGAGCGGGCCGAGAACGACTACACCCGTGGCTTCACCGCCCACAAGGCGCCCTCCGCCAACCGGCGTTGCAGCCCTTGGACCAGTACCTCCGACTCCTGCAGACTGGGTTGATCAGCCCGAGGAACCTAGTAGCTCATCACAACGGAGACACTCTCCAAAGTTGACCATCGATACTGCTAGTGCTGCGAGCTCTACACAGACCGGAGAATCAAGCAATTCCGGCGCATTGAGCTCTGGTGGCAGTCTAAGTCGGGCGAGAGCAGTCCGCCACGACAAGACCATCGTTCAGCGCCGAGCTGAGAGCCGGACCAGACCGCATAACTCGATAGATGGGACCATCAACCCGGTCCAGCTCAACGACATTGTTGTTCCGAATGAGAACACACTTTCTCGTAGGTTGACTATCAACAGATCAGGACCAAGAAGCGGGGGACGGACATCGAACGACACGCCTCGGACTGATGAACAATCGACTACACCGCGGGCACCCGGGTCGTCATCGTCACGCAGTCGAATTGAGGCGGCAACACCGCCGTTTTCACCTCATCCGTCAAAGGGCACGCCCATGATGGATGGATCGCCAAGCGTCTTACCCAAGGCGCTGCCAACACCGCCGCCGCAGACTCGATCGGCATCGAGCTCTCAAACAAGATTCAGCTCAATGACACCTGCCGATGGCCCTCCATCAGCATCCATCTCATCCACAAAGCATATTGTCATCACGCAAACTGCGGATCAGTTTTGCTGTGAAACTATTGAGCGATTCCAGGCATTCGCCACTCAAGAGTCCACTGCGGCCACCGATGCCGAGCGTGTTCGCATGTTTGCCGACTTCATCGTCAATGAGTCGAGGATCAGGCGAGAGAGGTACTCCTCTGCCATCGGTGCCATGGGCTCGGAGATTTTTGATCTGACGAGGGATCTCTTCCGCCCCATGGTCACACGGCGGGAGTCGGCAGCTTCACAGGCTGAGTGGACGCCCCAGTCATCCGAACCAACGCGATCCCATCGCGGATCGATGAACTCGGTCTATCGCGAGACGCCCGGGGAGTCCAGCTCCGCTCCTACGTCAGCCAACGTTCCGGGCTCACCCATTGTGCCATCGGCAAATAACCCAAATTACTCTTCCAACTACATGCCGTCGCTCTCTCCGATATTGAGTCTCAGCGTGAGTGACAACCATGACGATGGAGATTCCCGGGGCCGACCTGCCAGTAGGTGGTGGGAGGCAGACTCTTCAGGGGCAGGCGGGAAATTTGTCGAGAGGTCCAAGAGAGAATCCAAGTACATGGGCGTGCCAAAGGAAGCTCACGAAGCCTTGCAATGGGAGGACAGCCCGCAAGCGGGCCCCAGTAACCCGAGATCTTCGGGCGAGTATCCGCCCGAAAAGACAGGCTGGCATGAGATGGAGCCCGTGGTCACACCGCAGCCGCTCCGGTACTCCTCAGAATCCCTTGGGTCCTCAGCTTCGCCCACGACGCCAAACCCAGCCCACCTGGACGTCTCTCGACTGGTGACCCTTCCGCCGCCGTATCCTCGTCATCATCCAGCCGTCAACAATAACCATCCAGAATTGACCGAGACTAGAGTAGCCGTTCGCCAGATCAGCGACCTCTCCCAGATTGAAACTACAAAAGAAAGATTTCAAGTTACCAGCACGAAGAAGCGCGAGGAAGCCGCAAAGGCATCCATTGAGAGGCGAAATGCTTTACGCTCCAATTTACAGCAGGAAATCAACGCCGGCAACATTTCGTTTGCCGATGCGTCGACCATCGAAGATGACTCGGTGGCAGCCGAAAAGGAGAAGCAGAAGGAGCTGGGCAAGACAGAATTTGAGCAGTTCCAGAGCCAGGTCGTCATGCCCCTCAACGACCTCATCACCGGCCGCATCGCCCAGGCCACGACCCTCTTTGACAAGCTGGCGGGAGGGCTCTTCGACGACGTCGCCAGCGCCGCCGACATGCCCCAGGAAGAAGGCGACGACAAGCCCGAGCTCCTGGAGAAGCTGACACTCCTCAAATGGATCTTTGAGGCTCGCGAGATGCTGCACCGCGCCATCTTCGACGTCCTCACAGACCGCAACAACCGCTACCGCGATGTCGTTCTCACGCCCTACCGCCTGGCCGGCAACGAGGAGAAGCTCCAAAACGCCGTCGCCTTCTTCGCCGAGGACGCCGCGAAGCGGCAGCTGGCCTTCGCGCACGAGGTCTTTGCGCGCACGCAGGAGTTCCAGGCCGTCATGGAGCGCAATGTCATGCGCGGCGTTGAGGTGCAGCTCTCCGCCTTTTGGGACATTGCGCCGCCGCTGTGTAGGCTGCTCGACAAGATCGCCCCCGCCGACCCGGAGGCCTTGCACATCCAGATCCCGTCGGCCGAGTACGACGAGAACCCATCGTACCGCCGGCACCCGCTGCAGTACCTCTTCAGCCTGCTCCTGCACACGGAGAAGAGCACGTACCAGTTCATCGAGTCGCAGACGAACCTTTTGTGTCTGCTACATGAGGTCAAGGAGGCCGTCACGCACGCAAAGGCAAAGGTTGTGCAGAACGAGATGGACGACGGGCGGGGCAGGGAGTTTACCGCCGAGGAGCGCGATGCGCGCGCGCAGCGTCTCCGCGACGAGGAGGGACGCATGCTGACGGACGACTTGAAGGAAAAGGTCCGCGTCGTGCAGGACCAGTGGACGAGTGCGCTGGGTGAGAATATCAAGAATGTGAAGCAGATGTTGGGGGAGTATCTGCTCGAGACGGGCGGGTGGGATGAGACTTTGGAGGAGGGCGGCGTCGGCAGCGTCTAAATGAGCTTTTGCAATAGACGAGAGAGAAGGACGTCAGAGAGAGGTTGGGTATGACTTTTCTTTCTTCATTATATATCTTCACGGCGACGAAGACGTTGATACCCCTTTGCGTATAACGACTCTTGTTTACACTTCTTGTATATATTTTCCAAGAAAACTCTAGGTATGGGGGTTTTTGTGAACCACGAATTAGCTAGACATGGCACGAAGACATGATATTGAACGGCATGCGATTTTCAAAAAGCATTTCCAAAGTGAATCGTAGTGTTTTTTGATATCTTGTTTCCTCTCCATCATTGTGAGAGATGTTCTCTGCGCCCATTTATACAGTAATATCTTTGGTACAACACATTCCCACCTCAACGCCTGTTATATTACATTTACAAACACGGCGCCTCCCACCCTTGGAATAGCGGCCATGTGCCTTGTATATTTGTTTTCTTGTTCTGCCTTCGCTAGGTGCCGAAAACGAACTGCGCAAGCAACCAGCAAAGGCAGAAACAAAAAACAAATAAACACGGCACATGGGCATTCATTCTTCCAACAGTGGGAGGCGTCCTTTGCCGTCCCACGATCTTGTGCTTTTGTATCCCCCTTCAAGGGTTTCCTTGATTCGACAGCATCTCCCTCACTTCCAGTCGACAACCGTTTCAATATCATTTCGTACAGCCGAGCTTCGTAATCGACCCGTTGACCCGTTCACCGTGATCATCTCTTCAAACCATCCATCTCGATCCTGAAGATCTCTCCCTTCTCTGTCAGAAAAGGCTCTCTGACGAGATCCCACATCCCATCGCCGATAGTAGGGAACAAGCGCTTTTATTTATTCTCCAACCGGTCCCTAAACTCCTTGGGCAGATCCATGCCGACCCTCCGCGCCGTCAAGCGCACGCGCTCCTCCTCGTCCATGTTCATGCCGGGGTTGTAGCGCTCGAGGAGCGTGACGTAGGTGCGCTGGGCGCGGAGGTAGGCGGCGAACTGCTCGGCCTCTGCGGCGTCGGCGGCAGCGCGGGATGAGTCTTGCTTTGCGGCGACCGGGGCGGCGGCGAAGCTGGTGCGCAGGCGGTTGTGGATTGCCGAGCGCTCGCGGGCGAGGACGGGTCGGGGCGGGAGCTCGCGGAGGAGGGAGCGGTAGAGGGAGCGGAGGTGGGGGACTGTGGTCATTTTGGCTGTTTTCCTCTATTGATTTGCTGTTGTTCGGATGTTTCAGAGGTATGTGGAGAAGATTAGAGCAATGGCGGAGGAGGTTGTGGTGGTGGTGGTTGAGGTGTTGGTGGTGGTGAAGATGCGACGGGAATTTTTTGGATTGAAGCTTTGCAATGCGAGCATCGAAATCCGAGGCCGGGGTCCTCCTTTCGTTGGAGCTCTCCCGATGCGTTCAGCGGGTGTTAATGTGGGTCACCGTCCCTGGCGGGCCCTGCTGCACCTTAGACTTTCGGGCAGGTTCTTGCCTTGGAACCTCACCTCAGGCACTTTTAATAGAAATTTGAATACAGCCCGCCTCAGGTACCCTAGAAAGGCCCGAAATGCTGCAGCTTGGATTACATAAGGTAGGTACCTCAAGCCGACGTGACTTGAGCTGTACGGCTATCGGTCCCATCCATGGCCCGGCGCCGGCACCGGCAGCAGGCACGGATGGAGGGGTCCTGACTCTGGATTCTCGACCCCTCCTTGACAGAGCACTTGCAGCTCCCCTACCTACCTTAGTATACAGCAAACGCTTACCACACTTGAGCATCCTTTCTTCAAGTCTGATTTTTCACTGGCACTTTTCCAATACCGACCATATCCACAGAAAGAATAAGTGGAGGGCGTTAAAAAGACGACACTGCAGCTCTACGAATACCTACTAATGTACCTGTAGTCGTCCAAGTTAGTCTTATGGGCGAATTGACTCGTTTGTGCGTCCACAATGGCCCATCCCATGACGCAACAGCCGCCATGTTAAACACATGCTGGAGCCATAGAGTGAGCCAGGAACCAAGGAGCTTTGCCTCTTAGACACAACTTTCCCCCTCCTCCACTATCCACATCCACATTGCGCATCCACACAAACCGCACTTGACCTCCCATCTTACGTCTAGAGTTCCATGCCCTCCAAGGTCCGACCATCAAGCGGAAACAGCAAAACAAGACAGGAACCCACCTCCCGTCTCTCTTTCGTGCCCTTCCTCCTCATCTCCTCCGTTCTCGTCGTGACCCTGGCTATCCTATCTCTACGAGCTCTTCCCCGGCTCTCCCTCCTCTCGAACCACTTCTTCCCTCTCACCACGACCACGACCCTCTTCTCTTCCCCCTCCTCGTCTTCCTCGACAAAGAGAAACTCACAGCGCACCATGTCCGCCTACGCAAAGGAGCTCGAGGTGGCCCAGCTGGCCGTCCAGCGCGCCTCCATCCTCACCAAGCGCGTCTTCCACGAAAAGGCAAAGGGCACCGTCGACAAGAACGACAAGTCCCCCGTCACCATTGGCGACTTTGGCGCCCAGGCCCTCATCATCGCCGCCCTCCGCCACCACTTCCCCGACGACGAGATCGTCGCCGAGGAGGAGGCCGCCCAGCTGCGCTCCGAACCCCAGCTCCGCGACCAGATCTGGGACCTCGTAAAGACTACCCAGCTCGACGACGCCGCCGCCGAAGCCTCCCTCGGCGGCAGCATCGCCTCCGCCGAGAGCATGATGGACATCATCGACCAAGGGAACAGCAAGGGCGGCGCCGCCGGCCGCATCTGGGCCATTGACCCCATTGACGGCACAAAGGGCTTCCTCCGCGGCGGCCAGTACGCCGTCTGCCTGGCCCTCATGGTCGACGGCGACGTCAAGGTCGGCGTCCTCGGCTGCCCCAACCTCCCCGTCGACGACAAGGCGCCCCTCGCCGCCGACATCGGCTCCAACGCAAACGACGACACGGGCTACGGCGTCATCTTCTCCGCCGTCCTCGGCCAGGGCGCCACCTCGCGGCCCCTCCGCACCGGCGCCATCGCCTCCGGCAGCCCCATCTCCATGAAGCCCGTCACCGACCTCTCCGCCGCCACCTTTTGCGAGAGCGTCGAGGCCGGCCACAGCGCGCACGACGACCAGGCCCAGATCGCCGCCAAGCTCGGCATCACCAAGCCCAGCGTCCGCATGGACAGCCAGAGCAAGTACGGCTCCATCGCCCGCGGCGCAGGCGACATTTACCTCCGTCTGCCCGTCAAGGCGACGTACCAGGAAAAGATTTGGGACCACGCGGCCGGTGACCTCATTGTGCGCGAGGCCGGCGGTCAGGTTACGGATATACAGGGCAAGAGGTTGGACTTTGCCGTCGGACGGACGCTGGCCAACAACAAGGGTGTCATTGCTGCGCCGGCAGCGGTGCACGGCGAGGTGTTGAAGGTTGTCCAAGAGGTGTTGAGCTCAAAATCTAGCTAAGCAAAAAGTCTTGGAAAAGAATAATAGTAAAAAAAAAAAGAATATGAAAGAAGTTTGGACTTTTTTGAGTTTCGAATTTTGCGATTTTCCCTCGGCTGTCTTGAAGAACCAGCAGAATAAATAGTGTACATTGTTCTTTTTTCTCTTTTCCCATCCCCGTACAGTGATATACAGCTATACACAGCCCTCCAGAAGCTCTGCCATCGACACATAACCACAGTCGACTCTGCAGCAAAGCCCAAAGAAGTGCCACACCACATCCCACATCCCACATCCCACCTTCCACCGCGCGAGAATCCGTCTATTTGATCTTCTTCTGCTTCAGCTTAATCGTCTGGTCATCGATAAACACGCCCTTGCCCTTATACGGTTCCGGCGGCCGCCACTTGCGCACTCTTCCCGCGAAGCTCATCATCAGCTCGCGGTCGATGCTCTCGAGCAGGATGCGCGTCGGGCTCGCCGCCGTGACTTTGACGCCGCGCGGGATCCCCATCTCGACCGGGTGCGTGAAGCCGAGCTTCAGGCACAGGAACTTCTGGCCGGGGAACTCTTCCAGGCGGCCGCGCTGCTCGACGCTCGCGCGGTAACCGATGCCGACGAGGCGGAGGATCGCCGTGTGGCCTTCGGAGACGCCCATGATGTAGCGCTGGAGATAGGCCCATGTCGTGCCTGTTTGAGGTTCAAAGAAGTCAGCAAGGCGCGGTTCATCCAATTAGGGTGTGACTCGATTCTCGCTGAAGTCGAGAAGACAAGCTTAAGCTCCCCTCGAAAGGGCAATGAAGGAGAGGGAGGGAAAAGACAGCAAAAAAGGTAAAGAAACTCACCCCACATCTCGCTCTGCTCCTTGATGTTCGAGTCCTCCACGCTGAGAACCGCCGTGCTGCCCTCGACATCGTAATCAATCTTGAGAAAAGGCGGGATCTCGAGATCCAATTCTCCTGTAGCAAACAAACAAATCCAGCATTAGCCTAAGCTCCTTGCAGTCTCCCATCACCCCCTTTCTCGAATGGACAGCACCAAGGAACCTACCCAGAGGTCCCGTAACGGTAACCGTCCTCTTGTAAACCTTCAAGTAGCTCGTCGGATCCTTCTTCAGCTTCGGCTCGCTGATGGCCAGCTTCACACCCGGCGGGATCGAGACCGGCGTCCGCCCGAGCTTGGAGTTTCGTGTCGGCGTTGAGGAGAACTGGCGAGGTTGCTGCTGCTGCTGCTGTTGAAAAGCTGGTACAAGGAAGGCAGGTATCGTCGTGGCCGGCGAGGCGGCAAACGCCCGCCTCAATGCCGTCCTAGAGGCCAGCATTGTTCGTTTCGTCGGAGAGATTGGCAAGCTACAACACACCTCCCAATGGCGCGCTTGCTCATGTGCTCCTCGACAATTGGAATTGGGGACCCTCAGCAACTTTTCCAAGTCTTAGTCAGCAATGCGCGATCCACAATCTGGGTACTTCCGATTGGCCCCTGCTTAGCTCGAGAAGAAAACCAAGGTACCTCAGGTTATTACGGCTGGAACGTGTGCTTAGGTAGCTCAAGCTCATTGCTTCTCGTGGCTTTCAGACTGGGCGATTCTTTTTTTGTTGCACAAGGAACGCGACTTGAAGAATTATGTTGTTTGTGCCAGTAATTTGTACAGAGTAATCTCTGATTCTTCGTACTCATTTGATACGTCAGGCGAACTACTAAGAGAGGTATATCTAGAAGCCCATTTCCAGCAAGGAGCCAGAATCGCGAAGCGAAATGCCACCACAGGTGGGATGGCGTAGTGTCAGGTCATAGTGACAGTGCGATTGAACTGCGCTTAAACCTCCTCCTCAAGAGGGACCTCCTCCTCGTACTCCTCCTCCTCCTCGTCAACACCAGCATCCTGGTACTGCTGGTACTCGGAGACAAGATCGTTCATGTTGGACTCAGCCTCAGTGAACTCCATCTCGTCCATACCCTCGCCAGTGTACCAATGCAAGAAAGCCTTGCGACGGAACATGGCAGTGAACTGCTCACCGACACGCTTGAAGAGCTCCTGGATGGCGGTAGAGTTACCGACAAAGGTGGAAGACATCTTGAGGCCGCGGGGAGGGATGGAGCAAAGGGCGGTCTGGACGTTGTTGGGAATCCACTCGACGAAGTAGGACGAGTTCTTGTTCTGAACGTTGCGCATCTGGTCCTCAACATCCTTCATGGCAACCTTACCACGGCTGGGAACGACAAAGTCAGCATTTGCTCATATTCTAGGGTCATCGTCTTGTGGCACTTACAAGATGGCAGAGCAGGTCAGGTAACGACCGTTGCGGAAGTCAGAGGCAGCCATCATGTTCTTGGGGTCGAACATCTGCTGGGTGAGCTCGGGAACGCTGACAGCGCGGAAGGAGTGGGCGCCACGGCTGGTCAGGGGAGCGAAGCCGACCATGAAGAAGTGGAGACGGGGGAAAGGAACCATGTTGACGGCGAGCTTGCGCAGGTCAGAGTTCAGCTGACCGGGGAAACGCAGGCAGGTGGTGACACCGGACATGACGGCGGAGACGAGGTGGTTCAAGTCGCCGTAGGAGGGGTTGGAGAGCTTGAGGGTACGCATGCAGATGTCGTAGAGAGCCTCGTTGTCAATGCAGAAGGTCTCGTCGGAGTTCTCGACCAGCTGGTGGACGGAGAGGGTGGCGTTGTAGGGCTCGACAACGGTGTCGGAAACCTTGGGAGAGGGAACGACGGAGAAGGTGGCCATCATGCGGTCGGGGAACTCCTCACGGATCTTGGAGATCAGGAGGGTACCCATACCGGCACCGGTACCACCACCCAGGGAGTGGGTGATCTGGAAGCCCTGGAGGCAGTCGCAGCCCTCAGCCTCGCGACGGACGACATCGAGAACCTGGTCGACGAGCTCAGCTCCCTCAGTGTAGTGACCCTTGGCCCAGTTGTTGCCGGCACCGGACTGGCCAAAGACGAAGTTGTCGGGGCGGAAAAGCTGGCCAAAGGGACCGGCACGGACGGCGTCCATGGTACCGGGCTCCAAGTCGACGAGGACGGCGCGGGGAACGTACTTGTTGCCGGAGGCCTGGTTGGGTGAGAAGGTCAGCATTCGTCAATAGGATTGCCTGCACACTGGGGGACTAGGATAACAAACTTCGTTGAAGTAGACGCTCATGCGCTCGAGCTGGAGCTCGGAAGTGCCGTTGTACCTGTGGTATGATTAGCTGCTGGGTCCATGAGGAAGCCACACTGGAGGACAAGTGACATACACGCCATTGCTGTCGAGGCCGTGCTCGCCAGAGATGTTTTGCCTGTACCGAGGTCAGTACGAGATCGTGTCAAATGTCGAAATCGCCGCGTCGTTGGCGGTTGGCTACGCACCAGAAGGCAGCACCAATCTGGTTACCCTGTTCAAAGAAGTTAGCCCCGCACTCTGGGTTGTTGGGTTGAGATCAGGAGATACTTACGCACTGGCCGGTCTGAAGGTGAACCTATTGCGAGAAAACAATCAATGGTCAGCGGAATGTTTCCCGTGACAGAAGCGTTAGAGATGCAAGTCGGGCCATGTCTGGCGAGCATGGCTTGGGTGAGAATATCGGCGGGGTACGCTCAGGGGCTACCCCGAAATAGTGGCCATTCCGACGCGTCGCAGAATTGTTGTTGATGGGAGAGAGCGACTTACAATCTCACGCATTTTGAATGATGGGAAGCTCTGAAGCTAACTTGGCCGACGATGTACGATGAAGAAGACGAAGAGAGTGCTCGAGAGCTAGGCGAAGCTTCAAGGCGAAAGGGTTGTTGTGGAGGATTGGGCGAGGTAAGGTATGGTCAGGTAGGGGAGGAGGTTGTTGATTTTTGTTTGCGGGTGGATGTGATTTTGTTCACCGCCACGGCTCGGTGGACGCCCAGAAGACAGGCCAGCGACAGGCCAGCGACAGGCCAGAGGGAAGGGGTGCAGCTCGCTTGTTTACTGCATGGTGCTGGTCGGGCCCGTGCACGACCCCGATTGGGGAAAGACCAGTGCAAGGCACCCGCCTACCACCGCCCAAGTCTCCCCAAGTGGCCGTCCTAGTGGCCCCCAGTTGCCCCCAGTGTCTCCCCCCAAAGACCAATTGGAAGTGGGGTTGAATGAGTTGAGGTGACAGCAGATTGGCAGACAGCGCGATCACGGCAAGTACGTACCTTGAGGTCCCCTGTATTTCGTCTCCTCTGTTCTTTCCGATCCGAGACCCGGGGTGACCGACTATCTGCTGAGGCATCCAAACATCCAACGACACGTCTAGATAAGGTGTCAACCACTGCATAAAGAAACTCGGGAATCCAAGGCATGAATTGTAGGCAAGGGTGCTGAGCTTCGGGAAGCCACGGACTCTCTGACAATCGGGGCAGGTGCGGCACTGGGCAGCCCTACCAAAAGCCAACGTCAAACACAGAGCCTACGTGCCGACCGACATGAATGGCATTGGATTGCTCGGCACTGATCCCCAAGCACTGACCGAAAATGCTAAATTGCCAGTGGAGCTCAACATTTGCAAGGGGGGCTCCATCGCTGCCAAATGAGCTAACGGTGTGCCTGAGAGCTATCAAACGCAGATCAACTTCATAAACTTCACAAAGTGCACTCATCATTGGGAGATAGGTGACTGACGATCGAGGCATCATACTTTGCGGAACAATGGTAGCTACGTAAATTATCATGGCCACGACATATTCCCTCAATGAGCCTTGACAACACCAGCCGCATCGGCCTGAGCTGCAATTCTCTTCTTGTAGGCCTGAACGTCGCCTGGGAACTTCTCAACAGTGCCTCCATCGCAAACCCAGAGAGAGGTGCACACTGTCTGCAACATGGTGACGTCGTGAGAAACCATCAGAACACCGCCCTGGAACTCTTGCAAGGCCGTAGCGAGCGCGTCCATCGCCTCGATATCGAGATGGTTAGAAGGCTCGTCAAGAACCAAGATGTGCGGGTTGGTCAACGCAAGGCAAGCAAACGCCACACGCGACTTTTGACCTCCGGAAAGAACCGCCATCTTCTGCAGACCTGTCGTGCCCGTGATACCAAAGGCACCCAGTTGTCTGCGGTACTCTTCGTCCGTCCGGCCAGGGTACTCCTTAGACATGAAGCCAACCGCACTCATCGTCAAATCCAGGGCATCAACGTGATGCTGCGCAAAGAAGCCGACGCGCAGACGGGGGTTTTGCGAAATGATACCCGAAGTGGCCGACAGCTTTCCAATCAACAACTTGAGAATAGTTGTCTTACCTGCACCGTTGGGTCCGACGATACCGATACGAGAGTCCAGTTGCACGTCGAGATCCACGTTGCGCAGCAAGATGTTCTCCTTTGTGTAACCAAATGTCACGCCCGTCATCTGGATGATAGGAGGCGACATCTTCTCGACATCAGGGAACTTGAACTGCACGCTGTACTCTGTCTCGGGCGGCTCAAGTACTGGCATCTTCTCGAGTTTCTTGATACGTGACTGGGCTTCGGAAGACTTGGCCGCGTTGTAGCGGAACTTGTCGATGAAGGCCTGAAGATGGGCTCTTTGGGCCATTTGGTTCTCGTACTCTCTCTTCGCAGTCTTCTTGCGTTCCTCGCGGGTGGCGTAGAAGGATTCGAAGTTGGCACCACGGTAGTAGTCGAGACGCTGCGAGTGTTGGTGAATGATATCCGTCGCAATCTCATTGAGGAAAGCTCTGTCGTGAGAAACCACGAGAACCGTGCTGGGATATCCTTGGAGGTAGTTGGCAAGGAAAGCAATAGAGGGAACGTCCAACATGTTGGACGGTTCGTCGAGAAGCAGCAGATCAGGCTCGCAGAACAAGGCTCTGGCCAACGCCAGACGCATACGCCAACCACCTGAGAAGGTCTTGGTGGCATTCTGTTGCTTTTCGGCAGAGAAACCGAGACCAGCCAAAATACTTGCGGCTCTTGACTCGGCCTTGTCGGACTCCATCTCGGCAAGCTTGCCCTGGATGTCACCGAGCCTGCCGTCTTGAGCTTCTCTTTCCTTGTCGAGTCTGGCGGCATCGGCTGAAGTATCGGCCATGCCCGCACGTTGGGTCTCGATCTCTGCCAGCTTCTGAGTAATTTCCTACAAGGTTGTCAGCATGATGGCACTTTCCAAAGAGAACTATAGCTGCGTATCACTTACAGTCTGCTCCTTGAGAAGAACCTTGCGCCACACATCGGCATCAAGCACAGCTTGGATCGCAGGGGTGTCGTCACCAGTAAGCTACACAAATATTAGTATACTACAGAGTTGAGAGTGGCCGAAGTTCACTCTTACCTCCTGTTCGACGTGAAGAATGGTAATGTGAGGCGGAATTGGCAGCTCTCTGCGAGACAGAGCACGAAGAAGCGTAGATTTACCAACACCGTTGTGTCCAACAAGACCGTACCTGTGACCATAAGAAAGGGTCAAGTCCGTATCGGTCACGATACGCAGGCCACCAATAGAGACATCGATGTTATCCAACTTGATATCCTTGGTCTTGTTCGCGCCAGAGCCACCCATCTGGAGAGGGTTGACAGCCATGTAGAATTCCTCGTAAGATTGAGTAGACTCAGGCTCGTCGAGCAATCTGGAAGCCTCATACTCAACCGTCTTGAAGGTCTTCTTCTGCTGCTTGGCTGCAATCTTGCGCTCGGCCTTCTCCAGCTTCTTTCGATCAACCTTTGATTCGACCTTGCGAGCGTTTGCAGACTCAAGATCGACAGCTCCCGTTGACACGGCCAGAGTGGAAGACATGTTCCGCTGAGAGCTGACTTGGAAAGTCTCATCAAGGCGCCTGACGGCCAAAGGGCCGCTTCGCAGTCCTCCATTCGACTCGGTGTACTTCTCAACCCATTTCTCAACAAGTTTCTCAATCTTCTCCTGGAGCTTAGCGTCGGGCTTTCCAGAGGCAGAGAGCAACAACTCGGTGACGGTGGCGGCTGCCTCGGCGAGAGGTGAGACGCCAGACTGCTCTTCCTCGTCCGAGTAGATGGTCGATGCGTGGGTCAGGTATCCGACCGAGTACTCGGAGAGCACCGGGTCGATGTTCGGCAAGACGGTTCTAATCTCGGCATCCATCGTTGCTACACACAAAGTTGTAAGTTTGTGGTGGCGGTGGTGATAGAAATTTGCTTCAACGAATCTGTCAGCGATGCAAAGCTATGGGCTCTGCGACAGTCGACTTGAAGTGAGACAAATGAGATTGCAGCAAGCCCAGAATATTGTCCCTTTGCTAGGCTATTGCAACTGCCTTATGACGACTTCACTTGTGATCTAGATGCGATATTCGCGACAGGCCTCAAAATGTGGACCTTGAACCGAGTGCCCTGCCCGGGCTCTGAGGTCTAAATCGGGATAAAGCTCGGCCCGGGAAAACGTCCTCCAAGGCTGCTTATGTCACCTTAGCAGCGTCCAGTGACTCCAGGCTGATGTCTCAGCATTTGGACCAATGAGATATATTGCAACAACACTGCGGCACTGTGGCAGGTGCAAAGAGGAAGTGAACTCCATCTGCATTCACCAAATGCTGGTTGCTCTTTACTTCGGAAGGAGGCAATCAAATGGCACGATCCAAAGTTTCTCTCTGTCAACTTTCCCGAAAGAACGATACTTCAACGTCCTTCAACGACCGACTCAGACTTGTTGTTGTCTCTCTCTTGAAGTCCCGACAGCATGGATAGCATCGCCGATTGACCTGACACCGTGGAGTCGGCTGAGACAAACGGGCAAAACGGCAATTCTTGATGCTCCATCCGTACGCTGTAGACGGAATGCTCTATTGAAATACGTCTTTATTGCCACCGCCGTCACCGACATTACATTGCCGAAAATGGATGAAACCCAAAGTCTCAATTTGACATTGGCCAGCTGAAAAGCATTCGCAGAGTCTAGTCTAACCAACGGCAGCGAATGGGGAGCCGCGGATCACCGAGCATCGAGCTGGGTACCCTTGGTCATCGACGCGACTTGCGGAGATGGACGAACAGCGTGTAATGTTTCGCGCAGCTGCATGTAATCGCGTCAGCCGTAGGACGCACGCGACGACCTGCAGAGGATCGTCTATTCATTTGTCGCATGGCAACCAATCAGTCTCTGACACTAGGAGAGAGAAAAAAGAGCCATCAACATGCCAAAGTTTTGAATGTCGTTGGGAGACTGAGCCCTGCTCGCCATACTACGGCCGCCATGCGCTGGAGATCTGTCCAGGGATCCCAGTTGCAGGTTAAAGTTATTCCGATGTTCGATGCTCATTGCACAATCTGTGCAAACTCTCACCAGAGTGGACACGCGAAGACGAAATGGGACATCATCGCCGCAATCAGTGTCTTGGATGGAAATGAACCATGGAGATTCAAAGGGAAAAAAAACAAACGTTGAAATGAACGAAAACGAGATGGCGGCGGCAACACAGCAACAGCAGCAGCAGCAGCAGCAGCAGCACGACAATAACAGCAATAACAAGAGCGAAAACCTTTCGACCTCGTAGACTGCGACAGAGGATTGGTCTCGAACCGGACACAATTCCGCGTCATCCTATTCAGTCACATTTCGGTCATTGTCTCCTCTCCAAGGCCAAAAGCGGACCCAACGCCAACCGAAGTTCAATGTGGGATTCAGTTCCCTAGTTCCGTATCACGTTGGACGCTGCAGTCAAGTGGGAACATCTGCTCACGGTCGAGGCTGGACTTGCTCCTTCAAAACCTTTGCCCTACCAATACGACCACATATTGGCTCCTGTTCCCGCCCAGAGTCGCATGCGAGACAGATCGGGCAACCACAGAGCTTTGCTTTAGGGGTCCCCGGGGCAAAACCTTGATTCCGATGACACTGGCGCGCAGTTCGTTCCCACATCTACCACCCTCTGTGGAATCTGTCCTACCTTGATTGTTGTCTGGACTGGGGTACTCGTACTTGCGAGATGACAGACCAGGATCTATCTGACTTCTGCCCCTACCAACTGGCAACGGAACAGTGATGAAATTGACAATGAGGGTTACGATGGCACGCGAATCACACCGAAATTCAAACTTCGTTCAACGGTGATCCTCCGGGTTGGGAAAGGCCATATCCAATTGACTTTGGCTACTCGACTCCCTGCGGCATTTCTCTGGGGCGGAGCTAAATCAAGAACACGCGCTCTTTTTTTTGATATTGGAGGCTCTTTGCCAGGCTTCCCTGCTCAGACTCCAAGTATGGATCAAGCATCCACCTCTGTCCCACTTTGGCGACTCTGCATCTGCCTATCGAGATTTCGTCATTGGAGAGTCTGTCGGCAACAGAACCTGTGCCTTTTTTCTGGTTCGACGGCACCGCCGCACCGGAGAGTCGGAACGGCAGCGCCAAGGGGGTCGGGTCCCATCGTTGAGAACGTTTCCCGTATGGTTTGCGGGAGGGGAAAGGATTGCGGGCAGAACGATCTTCACAAGCTCACATCCAGTCAATGGGAAGCGCGTAGCTCCTCTGGCGAATCCTTCGGATGATGCAGAGAACTAACTACATGCACGATATTCAATGGCAGGTTTTTTCTGACTTGTCGTGCAGGAATCTTGCAGGACCTGCAGAACACACTCATCAGCTGGTCGTCTAGCTGCATAGCGTTTCCCGGGAGTGGCATAAGGACAGGTTCCGACGCAGGCCTACACTATTTTACTATGGAGTCTGCACAGGCGACCACCGGGACGTCGGCAGACCGGACCACAACTTGGCCTTGTCGCATTGCCCTCGAGCTCCCCTCCTTCCGAGTCTCCATACCGATTCCCACGTCCTCGTACCGAACCCCGCGGACCAAGAGAGGCTTTGATGGTTTCAAGTTTCACGCGGTTAAATTGACTAGCAGGGCAACAGTCTGTGTGAAATTGTGAGGTGTGCGCTGGTCCTGGACCTCTGGTAGAAACCCCGAGCGCTATCGAACGTCCTCTCATAACCTACCAACCTCCTTCATTGGTCGATTTTCGATGCACACGTTGCATGAGCTGGCTTCCCAAGTCGCGACTCTGCCTGGCATCTGGATGGATTGAGATCCCAACTGGTTCGAGGATCCTGGTCTGCGGCTATTCTACACCATGCTTTTCTTTCTTTTTCTTTTTCTGTCTTTCTCAGATGAAAAAAAATCTTGCAGGTGAGATGGAACTCATCGGTCCATCGGAAGCTGCTCACTCCATCATAAGTTCTCAACTTATAACCCTACTTGGTATCTCTCCGGGCCTGGGCGTCGACCAAGCGACGGAGTAAAACCTCGAAGCAATGTCTTGGCAGCTCCTGCTGGTCAATTGGCTTACGGACTTAGTTGGCCGGCCGTGTGTTGTGCATGGGGAAGCTACCTACCTCGATTCTTGTTCGATGAACCGAGGGGGAAAAAAAAGTCCGATATTCCCCTCCTGGCCTCGCTTCTTTCTCTCTTCTTGAGCCTTGCATGGATGCGCAACACGAAGAATCAGGTCATCTGAAGCACTATGTTAACCCCATCGGGTTGCGCCAATGTATCTGGCACCAGACGGCTTCGCTTCGTGTTTCTTTCATTGCCGGCTCTAGTTGGAACGGCCGCAAAAGCCGGCGATACGGTAGCTTCGTTATTCTCGAAAGCTCAAAGCCGGATCACACACTACCGGACATTTGCTAGAGCTTCGTTCGGTCCAGCTAAGGGCGCGGCGAGAAGGGTCCTTTCTCTACTCTAGCCTTGGACCCTTGACTACTCCAAATTTCAATAATCGCTTGTGACGATGAGGTGTTCAGGCTCTCAGTCAAACGTTGAGGGAGAGAGGGATGAATTTGGATCATTTGTGTCACCTCGAAACGCTCAAGAGCTTCTCGCAACGGCAGCAGATGGGATTGGCCAAGGCTTTGTCAGATCGTTCCTCCACCCCCCGGTTCCCGAATCCCACGATAACAAGGGTCCCGTGGAGCGAGCTTTGCCGAATACATCTTCTTTGTGCCATGCCGGATTTGCAGATGAAAATGGCGGGCCACATGTCGTAATTCGGCTCTGGTTTCTCTGTCCTTCTCCCCTTCTTCCGACTTTTGCTGAAGCTCAGAGATTGGGCAGGAAGCTTTTACGCTAAAGCACCAAATGCCAAGTACGCCCTGCCCGCTAAAGCAAGCGGCTGCCTCGAATATGGATGAGTGCGTTTGGCTGACGAATGGACGGCATGAGGCGTTCGGGTTTGCGGTATGACGGGATGGGCGAAACTTGGAAAGTTTGCTACTAGCCAGGCGGAACTAGGAGTTTTCCCGCATGTTTTCTTCATTTTCTCTGTACGGACTTACGGTACTCGAGAAGAAAACATGGCAGTAGTGCGGGTGAGTACCGACACGAGGTCGCCGCAAACGTGCGTGCTCACTGCTCAGTGCTTCACAAACCAGCCGCTGGAATTTTCTTCTTCGCACTTGTCTTCCATCTTGCAGATGATGGCTGGTGGGGAACACGACTCGCTATTGAGGCTCGGCTGGTGGACACCGCGGGCTGGCGGAGAGAGAGAGAGAGACGTCGGAATCGGAGAGAGCCTCACAGGAGATCGTCGTCTTGACCTTGTCTCGTCAGACCCTCTCTTTTCCCCTCCCCAGCTGGATTGCCAATGGCATGAGCGGGGGTGAAGGACGCATGACGGATATTCGTGTATCCCAAACGACAGTTCGAAAGGCGACATGCTGATTGGGCGGGTAGCCCTGGACGAAAGAGTGGTTCGTTCCCCCAAAAGAGCAGAAACATCTTCATCTCCATCTAAGGTAGGTAGGTATTGCGTCGGTGGGGGTGAGGCTGGAGTGATGTTTGATCTGGTGTGGAGAGGGGTGACTGAGCCTCTCACCCTCAGTCTACGGAGTAGACACTCGCCCACTATTGATAACCACCGAGCTTCTTTCTCAGACCTCGAGCATTTTCGTACGTCTGCGAACGATGGAGAGATGGAAGGAGCGGGGTATGAAATGGAACGTCTGGGCAAGCTAAACTCTTCTGACGTCGGCAAGGACCAGGGCATTAAGGTCAATAGGTAATCCATCTCGGTCTGTCTCAAGGACATGGCATGCGCATGTTGAAACGACGTGTCCGGCGGTATCACCTAACAACAGCCAGGCAATGATGTTTGTGACGGGCCTTGCGTCGTGGATCACACAGCATGGGGGGAGGACCCCTTCCATTCTGTTATCTGTAAGACTGTACCTGCCGGGGAGGATCGATCTCAACGTTGTGTCTCGTGGTGTGTGGTGTGAGGTGGTTGTGTGAGATGAGGGTGTGTGCCGGTTCGGGTAGGATGTTTACTTGTTTTGCTTTTTTTCGTGTGTTGTTGTTTTGGTTTGTTGTCGTTGTCAATGGCTGTCAAGCAACCGCAACTCAAAACACAGGCCGGCAGGTGGCCCACCAGCCGCGGGGCCTTGCTCGTGGATACTGGATACTGCGTACTGTAGGTTCCTCTCTTGAGTCTTACCACCCATGTCACCTCGTCACCGTAGGCGGGGTGGGTGGTTCAACTGGTGGTCAAGACTCAGGTCCCATCCCATCACAACATCAGACCGGCGGCCAGCCAGCTGGGTCGGCGGTCTGTCTGTCTCTGGGGCATCGTTTCTTCTTTAATCTGTGTTGTCTCGCTCAACCACGCGGCTTTTGCTGGCGGCCGCAACACAAGATCTTGCGATAACAAGCAACATGCTGCACGCGCTGTGCGTGTGTGCGTGTACGCATGTGTACTAGGGTCTTACAGAGATCGCCAGTGGCAGCATCGATGCCACGAAACCGAGATACATTGCCCCCCCGTGGCCTAGGTATTCAGACGAGATGACGAGAGAGAGGGGGGGAGCAAAAAGAAAAGAAGAGCAAAAAGGGCCCCGGCTTGTTGATGCATCGGACCAGCTGAAAGAAGATACCGGGAGGCGGGGAACAGGACGAGGGCCACTTCCTCCGTGCGTAGTGCCGAACTTTATGGGCTCTGTGGCTGTCGGATGGAGTTGCATCGTCTGGTCTTTTCTTTGGAGACCTGTTTTGTTGGCCTGGCTGATCTCCAACACCGATGCTTCAGCTCCATCCCCCGCACACCGTGGCACGAAACCCCATTCTTTCCGGTACGTGTAGTACTGCTTGCTCCTCTTCCCATGGTCGTCTACCGGTGCCCGGTAGCTTACGGATCGCCGTTGGCGAGTGAGAAGTGGCAGAGGAGTACGGAGTAGGTTGATGGCGCCATGTTGGTGATGGTGGTGGATGTGAAGACGACGGTTGCAGAAGAAAAAGCTGCTAAAAATTGAGCCGGTCTCTGCGAGATCAAAGGGTCTTCCTTGGTCGAACTTGATAGGAAACGGTTCGCGGTAAGGTAGGCTTGGGATGCCGGTGTTTACAAGTCTCCTATCGACTTGCACTCCTCCACCCTATGGCCTGAGGCCTGTGTACAAGTACGCCTGCGGGCAAGGAACAGACCATTTGGACGGTCTTGCGCGCCTGCTTGGTAGATAGGCAAGGACTCCTCTGCTTGTGCAACAGGAATAGAGGATATGGTCGTGGTCGTACCGTACCTTTTTTCGTTGAAACCTTTTCCAAGGTGTAGCAGTCCAAGATGGTATTGTATGTCTTGAGATGAGGCAAGTTAACGGCAGATGGCGGCATGCTGGTGCCCATGGGCTGAATGGACGACGGCCAACGACAGTAACACGAGGCAAGGGCAAACTTGGCGACGTAAGTAGGCATTGAATCTCGAGATGAGAGACAGAAACAGGCAGAGCTGCTGCAGGTGTCAGAAGTGAAGCGAGCGTGGCTTGACGCCGTGCAAACGTGGTCGGCAACACGAGCTGAGGATTCATAGGTTATGCTGTGCGCGGTACAATGTCCACAGAGGCAACAAAACATAAAGTGTCGACGGGATGTCGCCGCCATGCGGCCTGTCTGCGAGTTTGATGGTTTGAGCGTAAATGCTTCTGTACTCTGTAGGTGTTCCCAACGGGTTCACAGACGGGCTCCATCAGTGCCATCCGCTAGCGATGGTAGGCTGCCGCTGAATGAGCCTGAATTAAAAAGATGGCGAGTAACAGCAAGCAAGCGAGTGCTGCGGCGCTTCCGGAGATCGATACGCCTGGGTTTCTCTCCGAGAGTGAGGGGGCGCTTCTCAGCTCAGGCATGGCCCCTGCAAAAGAGAGTCTTCCGTCAGCTATTTGAAAGCGCCGGGAGTTGTTGTGGGCTGCTGCTTGTTGTTGTCTTCGTCGCGCGGCGGGCCCCTTCGGATACACGTACCATCTGCTCCATGGCCATCGGCAAGCAACCACGCGAGAATTTGGCAGGGTCAGGGAGGTGGCCTTGGAAGCAAAGGTGGTTCAAGTGAGACCAGGTTGATGTTGGCAACTTGGCAAGGCGAGAGACTAAAGAGTCCTAGACACGGACAAGCGCTCCGACTTGAACGGACGTGTGTTGAGAAGGGCCACGAGGCGGCCTGTGACCCTTTTTCCTGTCATTACAGGCCCGGTCGAGAACACCAGAGGTTGGTATTTGAGGAAGAAAGCAAAAGTAAGTAGTCGTGGTAGCGTACCGTATCCGTAGGCAGTCTTCGGGTGCGAGACGGCCGGGGGGGGGGGGGGGGGGGGTTGGTGCTGACTGGAGTGTGCCAAGGAGGTGAGATAGCAGGTCTCAGCCGATCTCGCGCTAGGACAGGTGGTGTTCTTTCGGTGTTTCTTCTTTCCACGCACCCACGGCAGCCCGGATTTCCCAAGCCTACGTTTACGTTGGCTCGATTGGTTTCTGGAATAGCCTCTTTGTGAAGTGGCAGGGGGGCTGGCACCGGTGGGCTGGTGGCAGTGGCGAGAGTAGGTAGTCTGTGAGCAGTGAACACTGAGCAGTGTAGCATCGGTTCGGATCAGAGCTGGTCTGTTTTGGGATGTTTGAAGAGGAGGGGCGGCCATGGAAGCAACAAAGAAGCATTGAGGCTTGAATGGAGGCTGGACTCGAGTCAAGAGTGTTGCAGAGCGGGTTCGTTGAGCATTCTAGATATTACTGCTTCGGGCACAGCATTCTGAATGTGTACGGATACTTTCATTGTAGGTGTATCTGAAGCAGAGAAGACGGGAGAGGAGGATGAGAAGCGGAATAGAAGTGGAACATGGCGGCTGGTTGGCGCTGCCTCACCATGCTAGAAATTGCGTAGCGGGCGAGGAAGGAGGAACAGACGAGACGAGGACAAAGACAAGCAGCGGTCCGTTGCAGGAAGGATTCCGTTGGGCAGTTGTAGGTAAGTCTCTGCTTGTGACTAACAAGGCGTGGGATGGGAAGCAGTTTGCTCTTGTGCTCAGTCGTGTTGTGTTGGTTGTTGCGGTGTGTTATCAACAGGTTGAGTGTGTTATTGCCCAGGTCAGCATGCCCAGGCCCAGGCAGGTTGTGACAAAAAGGAAAGAGAGTCGTAGATTTCCAAGTTAGTCATTGCATCCGTACTGCATTGTGTAAGGAGTAAGTATTACATACACAATGGTGCGTAGAAAGTGTACGGAGTACTGCGTGTGTAGGAAACAACAGGAGGCGTTGATTAATGGTTGAATTAATTGTCGTATTGTGTATAACATTGATGGCAGATGGATATTGAGGTACATGAACCAACTGCTGGATAAGGCATGGACGGCAAGTACCTGGTAGCTGAGGTGCATTACTTAGTACCGCGTACCTAGGTAAGAAAGCAAGGAATGGCCCAATGGACGGTGCAGGACATCACAGGCAGGTCCCCTGGGTGCTGGGCGCGGGCTTGCAGGTCCGTCATTTCACCGGGGCAGTGACTGGCTCGGAGCGTTCAGCAGTCATCTCCTGCTGCTCCACGCGTCCACGGCTACTGGAAGAGAGGCGCCAGCGAGGGCCACTCCTGGCACTTAGCGATGGCCCACTCGCCGTCCCAGGTACCTTATGCACCTACAAACATGGATAATGCCCTGAGAGTGGACACCCGCCTGCCTTGACCTTACGCAGTACGGTACCTCACAAAGTACCTCGAGGCACTGGGCTGCGAACAGTTAGCAGCTGCCTGCGCATATCTTGCCCAGTGGTGGCTCTTGCGCCAGAGGTATCTTTCCCAGCCTGTACTTCCACCTCTCGAAGTGTGTACTAGGGGGAGTACGTACATGGCAGCAGGTACGTTAGCGCAGGTATTGGCCCGCTTGCCATTCCCCATTCCCCCAATGCTCCACCTGCTCTCATTCTCCCATCTTTCTCTCTTTTCTGTGTGTCTGTGCATGCCTATCTGCCATTTCCTGCCCGCTTTTGTTTATGAAAAGAATACAGCCAGGGAAAAAAAAAAATACAAGAAAAATTGACAGAGACGTGGAAAAAGAAAAAGGAGTCAAGCAAGGGAAAGAGCAGTAAACAACACAAAAGACAAACCACAACTACAGCAACGCTCTCAACCCGAACGAACACAGAGCCACAGATACAATAATAACAACTTCATACGGATTACGAATACAGACAGGCACAAGCAAAAAGACAAGACTTACTCGGTCGAATCTCTGTCACTGTATCTTCTCCCCTCCTCGGCTGCCCTGGCCCCTCTCCACTTGTCCTGGCAAGCCTTGCCTGGGTCTCCAAATTCCCGATTCCTCCAAGACGATCCACGCCCACCCTACCTACCCTGCTCGACCGTCAAACTTCAGTCAAGAGTCAAGACTGCGAGAAAGAGAGAGAGAGAGTCTCCAGCTCAGCTAGCCTGGTCTATCCCGGTCTTATCCTCTCTGGGAACAACGACCCTGCTTCTTCTTCTTATTCTTTTTGTTCTCCATTATCCATACTCCGTACCATACACCCTCTATACTCGGGTTAGCTGCCAATTCCTCGACTTGTACTCTGCCATAGCACACAGAGACTGCTTTGTGCTCTCGTCTACTCTGCATCTGCATTGCTTTCTCTCGTCGTCCATTCCTCTTTGACCTCTCTCCGAACCTTGGACTTTTTAGACCACACCCAGCACCGACCGGCATCAGCACCGACACCTTGACCTGGACCTTGACACCTGGACCTGGACCCGGACTTGGACCTTACTACCTTGACCATCCGAGAGAACGAATGAACAAACTCCCACGGACACCATACTTGTACACACACCAACCACACCCTACCAAACTCGCCCACCCCGTCTGCCCGTCCACCTATCCATCCCGTCTCCAATTCCACCCACCTTGCTCTCCTCCTCACCCACTCTCGAACTCGCCCTCACCTTACCTTAACTTACTTACCTCTACTTACCTACCTTTCCATCGGGACGGGACCTTACTTCACCTCACCGTGTCCGGGTCTGGCTTGATCTGACCTCTACCGCGTTCAACCCGCTTGCGCGCTTCTTCCTCCTCCTACTCCTCTTCCCTTCTCTTCGGTCCCCAGCGTCCTTTTTCTTTCCATTCGCCTTCTATTCTGGTCTAACGGGGGGGTTTCCTGGACCCATTGGCCGTATTACTTGATTGTCCGAGGGCCAATCCGTCTGTGTGAGATCACGGTCGCTCGACGTGTGTGCGATTCTTCTTTCGCCCTACCGATACAGCCCTTTCTCTGTCTCGGGCCTCACTCTCGCTCTTCAACTACCTAGACAACTCGCCTTACGTCCACCACCACCACCAGCTCAACTCGCCAACGGCCCTGTCTAGGATTTCTTTACTTCGATTCAACCTTGCGCCCCTGTTCTCTCTCCAACTTCTCAGTCTTTTTCTCTCTCCTTCTTACTCCCTCCCTCTCCTGGAATCCGTCTTCTCTCTGCCCGCCGAGACCGCGACACAGCCCACCCACACACACACACACCTCGCAAAACACATCCAGACTCGACGCGCGCATTCCTCACCCTACGACCCGAGAAATTGGCCCATATGTCTTGACGATGCTCACCACGTCTCTCGAGAGCATCCACGACTCTTCCGCCCGCATGCCCGTCTTGGGCCTCGTAGCCGTAGCTTGGTTCTCCCGCGTCGAATAAGGCTCTGCAATCATGCAGACCGTTCCCAGTGTAAGTTGGATTGCCTTCATGCTTGCTTACTAGCATTTTGCCCTCCACCCCGACAGGCATCCCCCCAACACCTGCTTGGATCACAACCACGCGGATACTGTGTTGCGCATGCTTTCTTCTCCCGTAGACCACACCAATTCCCGCCCTACATGGGTCTTCCTCATTTCCCATATACTCCTCCATTCCCATGCTTCCCAGCACTCAGCACCGGTGTCCCTGATATCTAGTCCTTCTTTTGCCTGGTTCATCCCATCTTGCCTGCTGACTCGTCGCCTCATTAGCTCGTGGGAACTGGCACTGCCGTTGCTGCAGCGGCTGTAGGTCTGGTGTTTGCTCATCCCGACGATTCGAGTTCCACACAGTCTTCTTCCAACAGGAGGATACTAGTCTCAGACCAAGACATTCCTCCGAATCATCGACTGAGCAGCCCTCCCGTCTCTTCCTCACGGCCCGGCACCAGTTCTGTTGCCCAGCTGCCGACCCTCGACGACGCCCGCTACACGCCACTTCCCACTCATTTCTCCTTTACCTCGAACTCGAATTCGAATTCGAATTCAAACCCAAACGACACCCCGGCCGAACCCTCTGCGCGCCCCCGCCGCCCTCTCAGCTCTCACTTCAACTTTGCGCCCTCCATATTGCACAGCAGGAGAGCGTCCTACGTGAAGCAGGGAGACCAAGCAACTGCGCCCTCGGTCAATGAGGATACGAGAGACTCGGTTTCCTCTAGTGGGTCCTGGATGAGACGACTGTCACTACGGCCTTTGTCACAACACGGAAGCATTAGATCGAGTTTGGGTTTCGATAATCAGTCTGTCGCTTTCTCTCACGGTTCAGCCGCTCCCATTCTTTCGCCTACCGGTTCTATTCCTCCTCCTTTGCCTCCGAATAAACTGGTGAAGCGCCCGCCCTCGGCACATCAGAATGGTGCTGTAATGCGCCGTCGCTCCAGGACACACCTTCCCAGTCTTCGCCGACCAGCGACGAGCCACCAAAGATCTGCCACTTTGCACCAGATCAATTACGACGGAAACCACATCGAGCCAATTGCAGAACCAAAGTTCTCCTTTGATCAATATCTTCAGGAAGCAGGAGAAGGCCTCGTGCCGCCACGGCCCCAAGGCGAATCGACCTTGCAGCAAAAAACAAAATCAACAACCAAGTGGACCTCTTTTTTCCACAATCGCAGAGCAAATGTCATTGCACGGAGCGTGCCTGACCGTTTAATTGACAGGAGTCCCAGCACCCGATCGGCAACAACAAAACGCATACTAGTACCCGACAGCCAGAAGCAGGATATTTACTTAATAAGGAGTGGCATGTTGGGCGACTCGGTTGCGCCCATTGAAGAAGCCCTGGTGCTTGTCGAAGATCCCCCATCAGCCGTCGACGACACAAACGAGGAAGTTCATTGTGAGAAGGAAACAGAGAGAGAATCGCAAGAAGACAACATCCCGTCAACACCAGAAGATACACCGACAAAGCGCACACACCGATCGCTCACCATGCATTTCAACTCCCCGAATTGGATGCCAAGAGCTGGCAGCCTCCGACGAACAAAACGCGGGGCGGGATCCAAAGGTGGTGGTGGTGGTGGGAATAAGCGGCATGTGTCTGCGCCTACGACAACATCCCCCGGCCAGGCGCAAGCGCAAGACAACAACCTTGTTGCGCCTGCAGACGAGTCTCAAACGTCGCCAAAGCATCACCCTGCCGCCAGCCTAGACCCCACTTCGAATACGCACCTCAGAACTCGCAGTCGCAACTCTTCGTCGCCCTTGCCGCCGCTTTCACGTCTTTCCAGCTTCAACGTCGACGTTTCTAGACTTGGCTCCTCGTCGGGAGGCGTTACTCCATCCCCCCGCTCGATACATCCTTCTGGCAGTTCCCAGGGCTCGGCAGCGCTAGCTGCTTATAATCGCAGCGCTACGACAGACCGCAGTTCGACCATGAACAGTTCCGATTTCGATGCTAGATTTATTTCTGGCGACGATTATGACACGGACTTACAGAGCGATACTGTCTTTGACTCGTTGCGAACTGCCGAATCCGATCGCAATCGCGCAGCGGAAACCCCACTCGACCACATGTTTGATGAGTCGCCCCCAAGCACTGCCGGTCATCCCAAAGCAAAGAGGCTGTCCATCCAGGAAATGCTCAGTCACTCGTGGGATGCTAATGAGAGAATCATGGAAGAGGACGAAAACATGCCCACGCCGGTACGTGTTCATCATGAACCCAGAATTCGTACCGATTCGGATACCATGGCACCGCGCTACAGCCTGGAACGCCCTTCGAATGAGTACTCGCTCGGAAGCAAGGACTTTGGTCGCCTGTCTATCGAAGACGATTTCGATGAAGATTGGGCACGCGACGAAGACGAGATGGCCTACAGCAACCAGCTATCGCCTCCTAGCTCGATGAACTCGCGTGGCGTTAGCCCTAATTTGCGCATGGCGCTTGCCAACATTAGCGGTAACGGCAACGCCGATGCAACGCACGACCCTAGCGAGAGGCCGAGAAGCAACATATTTGACTGGAGTGAACCATCCCAAGAGAAGACCGACCTGGGCAGCTCCTTCAGACCCAAGACCGCCTATGGAAAGCAAGAACTCGATATCAGAGGTGGTCGCGCCGCTATCCGGATGCGACCCTCAGCCATGCACGTTCGCAGCCAAAGTGTGCCAGTAGTCCACGATCCTACAGACAGAGGACCCGTGAATCCCAAATTCGGCACCTGGGGCCTGAGTAGCAAGACTGTCAGCGAGGACTGGGACGATGACTTTGAGTTTGGTGGCAACGAGAGCGAAGACAAGGAGACCGAAAACGCATTCGCAATGGTTGTTCCCGCCTCCATTCAAGCGTCACAACCCAGCCTCAAGCAGCATTCCGGTCACATTAGAGAGCTCTCGCTGCTCGTCAACGATCTCAAGCGTTTGTGTCGCCATGGTCGAGATCTGGATATGCTCGGCGGCTCCAACGCAGGCCTTTGGGAGGAAGCCGAGGGCATCATTGCACTCGCGTCACCTGATGAAGATGAGTTGGAGGGCATGGACGTGGACTCATCCTCTATCATGAGCGGATTCGACGCTGCGTCGCCGGACCCTATTGAGAAGGAAGACCCCTTTGATGAGGTACACGAGATCAACGTTTCTAAAACAGCCGTCATTCGTGAACGCCCCGCTGGTCGTAGACGTTCGGTCTTCTCTCCAGACGACGACATCTTTGGCGGAAACAGTCCCGCTCCGGATGAGCTTCCTCCGCCGCGACCGAGAACGCCGGAGAATAACATCAACATGGGTGGTCACGACGTTACCGATATTGTCAGATCCGTCCTGGACGCCATGCAGCAACGATCCGTCTCCGATGCCGCCGTTCGCGACGACAAGCTGCACTTTGGCACCAACAGCCTCAAGGCTCTCGTCAAGCGCGCAGGCGATCTCCGAGACATTTTGTCAGAGGTCATACGTCGCGCAGACCAACTCACATCGAGCCCTGCCAGAACACCCCGGCAGCACAACGACAGCCCGGCCTTTACCCGGGTCTTCACCCCAGAGCATACTCCGTCCCCATCTAGCCCGCCAAAGAAATTGCCTCACAGCAGGAGCGCAAATTCTGCACTCGGTCGTGGATCAGTTGACGCTTCGCCATCAAGCGGCTTACAACGAATGCAAATGATGACGGTCAGCTGAGATGAGGCAAGAGATGTTGAGTCACAACATCTGGAACTTTGACGGCACGACGGCCTGTCCGTCCTTCTCGGGCTACAACAGCCCTGTACATGTACGAACATTGTTGATTTTCTTGTCTGCATAGCGACGGGTTTGGGGGGTTTTAAGTTGGAGGTTTCTTTTTGTCCCTTTTTCTTCACTCGATGCCATATCCGACACAAAAGACAGTCCCGGCACTTTTTTCGACTCGATCGACTCGGCCGAATCGAGCGAGCCACAAAATTTCTACACGGCGACATCTGTGGCTGGCAACAAGCCTTGTAGACAGATACATATCCCAGCTTTTCCAGCTGGGTTTCCCTTACGCTTCTTTATTATTTTCTTACCAACGAGAGAAGGCTTATGACGACGTAATCATGTACGATTTCGCTAGGCAAGTCCTCGAGCCCAGGTTTAATGGAATGCCATGGCAGGACAAGCACCCTCTGGCGATGGAATGGGTGGATGATGAAATGGGAATGCGAACGAAAAACAACACAAAAGGGCAAGGAAATGAAAGAGGGAAATGGAATTTGGAATCAAAGCATCGCGCACGACACGTGGTCCACATTGCGAAGATGGGCCATGTGCCAGAACAGATATCTACCTCGTTCAGAGACCTAGTGTTCTTTCCAGCTAGTTCTTGCAGTGGCATTATGCCATGGGTAGACGAAGAGGCAGAAACAAAACAGACAGGATCAGTTCATTGGTCGGCCCATTGGTTATATATCATGGTTTTTTTACCCTCCTATTTTCGTACATGTTCTTTTTGCTTCGCATATGGTGGTCTTCTTATTGCTTCCATTCCGATAATTCATCATGTGCAAAGACTATATGAATGAGCAGGCGCTTTCCCCCCTGTCCTCCGCCATGCCACCATGTCTTTCTTGTTTGTTTTGGAGGGGGGCTTCAAAATGTCTGGCACGAATCAGTATTATAACCTAGGCTCGCATGCTCTTTGGCATTTACTTCCATCTACATTAGCGACTTTATTTTAAGCACCTTCAGAGATGGTTATGATGGGAAAGGAAACATGGATCATGACGGGTCAACGGAACAATTCGAGAAATACTCGGGCTTTTTTCCAAAAAATGGGCGGGAAATGGGATTAGGAGGGGCTACTGGACTTTTTCCAGGAGGGGTTGTGGCGATGGAGCTTAGTAGGGGGATTCATGACGTGGCGTCGCGAAGACGATGAAAGATGAAGTAGAAGGTGATGAAGATGTATACATGGGCTTAATGAATGATGAATAATTTCATCAGGCTTCTTTCTGTTTGTAGTCTCCGTTTGTGTGAATGTGACTGCCTGGTGCTGGGATCGGAAGTTAAAGACGTGTACGATTGATGGACAGGAAGGATTATATGGATTAGATAAGTAGTTGACGAACTCGAGGTGCCGTTTATCAGGTTCTACCCCTTTGACGTATAGAAGAGTGGACAAGGTCTGGGAGAAAAGGGAGGGCAATTAATCAGCACACTTTGGCCGTCTTCGAGTCTCTTTTATTGGGTTTGCGGACCCTTGAGTATACGGAAACATTCTGCTTCATTTTTAGTCTGAAGAAAACACACCGTTTTGGCTGGGCTCCCCAAGCATTTCTGAGCTGTTCATGATTTTCTTCTTCCTTTGATGACTGCCATGGCATGCTTGACGTGTGTCAACTTCTGTTACTTGGCTGGCTGGATAGATGGTAGGCAGACAGCACGCGCACTTTGGAATCGAGGCGATGACTCGTGATAAACGTAGAGAAAGCGTCTTTGTTGTCCGATACTCTCTATTTCTACCTTCTTAACTTTCCTGTAGTGTGGCTTTCCGACTCTTTGCGGGTGATGACATTTTGGCTTTAGGGTGTAATCTGATCCGGGATATAAGGGGGGAACGTATTACCACGATGTGTTAATCAGAAGACATACAAACACAGACAAACGCACACATTATTAATCCTGAGAACCAATGTGGGAATACCTGAAGCTTTTGTAGCTACTAGACAAGATAAAAAAGAGAAACACTGTTTGAGTGTGTGGGTGTGACTGCGAAAGTCCTTTTAGAGAAAAGAAGGGAATTTCCCACAACCTCGCGGAAACCAAAAAAAACGCTATGTAAAAAGGACCACTAATTTCTTCGTACATCGTGTCACCGATTTCCTTTCCCTGAGACCACAAATCTCAGATCCTGTTCTTTCCTCGTTCTGGATATACTTTTTCCAATCTATGTCCAAACACGACAATTTTCTCAGCCAAACTGGATAATCAGCTCCTCCTCCACAGACTCCTGAGCCGCGTCCTCCGCGATCCAGTACCGGTTACCACCCAGAGGCGTGACGCTCCTGCTTCTGAGCTCGGCGCCATAGACGTCGTTCCACATGGCTTGGCCGTCAAAGCTGACGAGGCCAAACGTGGACGGGTCGGTGCTGGTACCCCCCATCTTCTTGGTGCGCTTGATGCGCAGGCGGCGGGATTCAGGGTCCTCGGGCTTCATGGGCGTCGTGTCGTGCGCGTGGCGGCGGGGCTTAGTGGGAGGGATCCACATGATACCCGTGTCTTTGGGGATCGTGACAACGGGGGCGGTCCAGAGGGGTACGACGGGAGAAGGAACCGAGGCAAAGAAGATTGGGTTTGCGACGGCGGGGTCGCAGACTGTTGTCGTCGTCACGGAGCCTGCGAGGGCCGGGTGCGATGTCGCTGCGTTGAAGGAGGATGAGATGACGGCCCGGTTGAGAGCCTCTGCCCACTCTGACGGCGTGGAGGCCTTGCGGACGAGACGCGGCGCAGGAATCGCGCCGATGGCCTCGTACAGGGCGGCTTCCCATTGCGCCGCCGTCGCTGTTGTGCGGCGAAGGGGCTCAGGCTGGGTGGCGGGCGATTGAGCGGACATTTGGGACTTGAGGGAATCCCACCACGTCGATTGCTTGACGGCGGGGACCTCCGGGAGCGGCTCAAAGTCGGACACGGCTTCCTCATCGTCGGATCGTGTTGATGCGGTGTCCAAGGATGGCGTGGAGCGGCCAGACGAGGCGCGGGAGCTAGGTCTTGCGACGGCGAGGGACATCCAGTCTTCGACGCGAGTCTCTGCGGGTGTAGGGGCCCAGAGGCTGAACGACTCGAGCTGGGGCAGCTCCTCGGACGTCACGCGGGCGGCGGAGGGCATGCCGAGGCCGACGGGGAGAGCAGAGGTTGTTCTGAAACACGCGCGCTTGTGGCTAGGGTTGAACAGGCCGATAGACTCGGTGTAGACGACGGCGGGTCTGGCAGCCCACATGGACGTCTTCTTGCTCTTGCGCTGCTGCTGCTGCGGCTTGCTCCAGAGGGGAGTGTTGGACTGGGCCAGCTTTTGCTTCTTCGCGGGCGCGGTCCAGAGAGAAGTGCTGTGGATGACGGCAGGCTCTGGGAGACGCTCGCGGACGCGGGCAGGGGCGCTCATCTTGTCGAGGTAGCTTCCCCATACACGGGCATCGGGTTGCGGAAGACCTGTTGAGGTGCGACGGCTGATGAACTGCTTTGGCTTAGGGGTCCAGAGAAGGGAGACGGGTTCCGGCGAGGAGGCAAAGTCCTCGGCGGCGATGGTGATGACCATTGAGTCGTGCTTGGGGTCGTCGTTGTCCTCAGCTGTCTTCTCGTCCTCGGAGTCTTCGTACTCTGACTGAGAGCGCTCAGAGATGTACTCCTCGGCAAAGGACTCTGGGCGGTATGTGATAGGCTGGGGAAGCAGACTGTTCTTGGATGGGACCTGATCCGACTGGAGGAGACTGGCGATTTCCCAGAGGGTGGTCTCGTCGAAGCCGTCGTCACTGTCTTCGTCGTCTTCAATATCAGACACTTCGTCGTCACCTTCTTCCTCGTCGTCGTAGTCGTCAAAGAAGGAAGAGGAGTATTCTTGAGCTTCGAGTTGCTTTGCGCGAGCTTCTAATGCGGCACGTACTGCAGGTCCACCAGTTGACATAGTACCGGGCATAGCCATAAACATATGACTTGGCCCACGCGGTTGGACGGTGGCGGTGTCCGACTTCTCGCCCCAGGGGAACTGGAAGATACCGAGCGTACCTCTCTTATCAGGAAGGGGTTGCGGGCTCTCAAGAATATCGGGTAACAGTGTGACACGCTTGCTACGTCTTGGTGGACGTTGGGTCAGGGGACGCTGGGGCGGTTGGAAGTTATCCTTGATGGGCTCAGGACTCCAAGAGACACGCCAAAGTCCGGAGGTGGGCCGTAGCTTCTTAGCAGCAGTGTGATCGGGCTGCCAAAGTTGCGAGCTCACGATATTTAGGGGATCGGAGACCTTGCGTGTCGCAGGGCGAACGGAGATACCAGGTAAGGTGTCGCCATTGGGGGAAGTAACTTTAGACGCGACGCCATGGTTTGCGGGAGGAGCCCAAAGCAGCGGTGGTTCGCGCTCAAAATAAACTGGCGAGTCGGGTTTCCACAGACATTCTGGGGGTGCGGGAGCTCGCTCGTTCGGCATGAGCCTCGCGAGTATCTGAGCGTTGACACCGTCAGCGCCGTCGGACTCCTCGTCGGTGTCCGGTGGGGTAGGACTGCCAAGCTGCAACGCTGCAGCAGTCGCACTCAAGGGCGCTTTTGAGACAGACAAGAAATTGAGGTTTCTCTTTGCCAATAGCTCGGAAGCGTTCTCCATATACTCCATCTGAGCATCCGCAAGTCGCTGTTGCCAGAGACTGGTGCGGTTGTTGTTGGTGCCGTCAGAAGAGAGGGAAGACGCGCTTAGCGTCCTCAGATCTTCAGACGACGACTTGCTCATGCTGCCCATCCGAGCGCGACGGGAATTGCGCCGGTCTAACGCAATGTTGTTACGCTGGGGAATCTCTTGAAGCGACTCGTCAATCTGGGCAAGGCTTCGCGAGTTGACAATTGCAGATTCGTGTTGCGAGTTGCGGACCGACGTCGTCCCAACTGTCGACATGGAGTCCCGGCTGAGACCATGCTGCATCTCGTGCCATTGGTTTTCTTGCTGGCCCATTTCAGCCTCCAAAGATTCCAGAAGACGAATTCTCTGTCCTTGGCTTTCGTACGAGTCGCGGTTCGGCTGTTCCAGCTTCTTGAGTTGCGCTTGAATCATTTCGTAGGCATGCTGCGGCGACTCCAATGGAGAAGGCTCTGCGGCGTGCATCACGATCGTGTTCTTCTTGACGGGAGATCTGAGCTGAAGAGCTCTCGGAGGCGGCTGTCTGCGCGACTGCACCGGCTCCTTGCGCTCAGTGAATGTGATGCTCTCGTCGCCGATGCGCCGGTGCCAGCGAGCACCTCTGTTTGCGAGGCTCACCTCTGGAAGGTCAACGGGGCTTTCGCGAGCCTCTTGCGGGGCTTCCACGTCTCTCTCGTGCTCAATAGATGCATCGAGCATGATTGTCATGACTTCCTTGCCGTCGTTGTGGCTGATCATGGACAAGTCGCGAGGCTGGATCCAAGTTGGCTTCGGCATGTGCGTAGCCTCTTGGATGTTCACCGGCGCGACAGGTGAGTGAATGGATCCCCAATTTGTCGTGGTCTCTTCATCGCGAGTCCTGACCGTCCTCGTCTCGCTGAACTCAGAGAGACTAAGGTTGCGAACCGGAAGCACAGGTGATGACTGGCGCTTTGCTCCATCGTATGCTCGCTTGATCTCCGCGGTGTCGTTGACAGGTAACGCAGGAATCCAAGAGTCGTGCTCATCAGGTCTTCCAGTAATAACGGAGGTATCAACGCTGAATTTGGAGGTATTGCGAGGCAGATCTGGCCGAACTGACTCTTCGATATCAAGAATACTCTGGGTCCGAATGGACGTCTTGGTCGAGCGATCGGACTGCTTGGACTGATCCCGACTGCTTCCTGATTCCCATGCATCTCTTTCGTCACCTCCCGAGTTGCTCGCAGGCTTGAAGGCCAAAGGAACCATGGGCATCTCGGGAACTGGGGTTCTGGGCTGGACGCCCGTCTCAGAGTTGCCAAGAGCTCCCGGGAAGAAAAGATCCATCTTCTCATCGAAAGTCATGCTCTTGGTGTCATTTGGCAGTGCGCGTACAGGATGGTTACCAGCGCTCTTCGGTGGTGGTGGCAGGGGTGGCAGTTGAGTTGGGCTGCCAGGGTTCGATAAGAGAATTGATTTCCTGCTCATGATGGAACCCCCTGACTTGCTCCGCCTGTGGTTAGGAGAGTTCTCTGCTGGGAAGATTTGACGGTCCTTGCCCTGCTGTCTCGGAATCGGGCGAGGTCTATGAACGACGGACCCTGATGACTTGAGCCCTGGCCCAGGAGACTGCGTATGAGGCGTCTTGGCGGCCTGGTTTGAGGCTCCCTCAATGATGCTTTGCACTGCCGTCGGGTCGTTGTACTGGATCTTGTTCACGAACATGACAGTCTGCTCCTGTTGAACTGCGTCCTTGGGCAAAGGCCTCATGGCCATCGCTCTCGGGTTTGATGGCAGGCCACCTGTCGGGCGTCGCTGTAAACTGCTGCCACCAGGTGTCTTGGGCGAAAGAGGCTTTTGCCTGGAGGGGCGGATTGTCGGGTCAACAGCGGTCTGAATGGGCCAGGTTGGTGGTAGGTCCGGCTTTTTGGTAGGTGACATCAAACGAGCGGCGCTCTTGGGTGGAGGCGGAGGTACGAGACCAAGGGGCGGTGATGCAACTGTGAATTCGGTCGCAGTAGAGGATTTCTGGCTCACGGAACGATCGAGGGTCTTTTCCGTCTTCTGGCTCATAGTCCTTTCCACAGTACGCTGGCTGGCTGATCTGTCCATCGTCTCAAAGGGGCTCAGAGGTCTTTGCGGGCGTTGTGGGCGAGGCGGAGAGATGCTGCTCACAGGTGCGGTCTGCGGGGGCGTGACCGGTCTCTTTTCGTTCTCGAGCTGCTGGAGGGTCTCTGGCATTTGTCTGGGGGATCTGCGTCTGATTTCCTCCACGCCGGGGGACAGCTGGGCGGACGAAGTCGTTGCGGGAGGATTTGACATGAGCCCAACCGATCGGAGTTGTTGCGGTTCCGCAGGAGGCGACTTCAGTCCAACTTCCTTCCTCTTTCCACTCTGCGCACGTTTGAGAGCCTCTTCCGGAGTAATCGCTGGGGGCTTGGGGGCTGGGCGCTGCGCGTTGAAGCTCGAGTTCCTTTGCATCGAAGTAAAGTCGTTGCCTCTCTTCTCCCTGTCGTTCTTTGCAGCCGTGGCGAGATCGATAGTGGCGATCTTGCTCAGGGGGTTCTGCTCTCCGCTGTCCTGGAGGATCGGATTGGATATAGCATTCTTGATGTTCGAGCCCGGTCCAATTTTGTCGAAGATACTCCGACCCTTCATGATGTTGGGTCTCGCGTCCATGCTCCTGCTTTGCCTGGGAGGTGCCGTCTGGGCCCGAATCGGTGGGAAGAGCTGGCCCTGCACGGGAACACCGCCTACACCGGTAGATGCCTGACCCGGAGCGATGCTAGGCATGGTGGGCAGAGCGCCGCCGCCGACACCTCCACCAAAGTCTACAGGTTGGTTGAAAGTCGTGACAGTAGTAATCGTGCCTCCTTTGAGGTCCTCGTATCGCGACGGCGGGTAGTCAGTGTCTGAAGTTGAGAGGTCTCTGCTGGAACTGATGTTTCGCGGGGACTGGGCATCCGGATGGACTTCTTGCTTTTGGCGAGGGGGTAGCAAGACTCCCAGAGAGCCTGTAAGGACGCCTAGGAATTGTTAGCAAATCAGCGCAGCGAGTCGAAGGCTTCCCACGTACTGAGAAGAATTGACAGGCCAGTGGCGGGAAGAGCAGTTCTGAAGATCAGCTCAATAGTGTCTATGCCCAGAAGCATTGGAATACTTGTCTATCAAGATGGTACGTGATTAGTATCATGATATGTCCAAGCAATAGCGTGTAGAACGTACCGCCGTCCAGAGAGCGAGGGCGCCAATGACCCAGAAGATGGCCTTCTTCACTGGCACACTCGTGATGCCAATCGAGTTGGCTCTGAAGGCGAGCGCAGCAATCACGGCAAAGTCTGTGACCATGACAACAGCACCTATAGCCAGGAGATCATTCCTGGCAACGCAGACGGTGGCAATCTGAGCCTTCTGAAACCCAACAAATACGGCGCCTAGAATAAATCGCACGCCGAGGACCGCCTGGTAGACCATCGCGCTCGCCGGCGCTCTCGCGTTCGCATTGATAGCCCATAGCAAGAACTGCTCGATGGCGAATCGGGCGAGTTGATCGAAGATTGTAGTAAAAATTACGGCGACTTGACATCCGGCAGTCGAGGTTGGGTCGAGGGTGATGCCGGTGAAGTCTATTTGAGCCCACAGGGCGGATGATACAAGGAATGTGATGAGGACCAGCCTCAGGCCGTCCCGAAAGATCTTTGAGCCATGGCCCTTTGCTAAAGGAAAGACGGCGGGCGTCGCGGCTTGGATGACGATTCCACTGTGAATCACGATGGTTAGCACGAATGTTCTCCCTCCGTTCTCGCGGTTCCTTCCTCTCTTCGGTTGTTTCCCATGCCGATGATCGTTTCTTCCATGCCTCTTTTCAAATTCGAGGCTCCCAGCTTTCCCTAACTAGCGTCGATGATGGAGGTGATGACGGGTGACTGACAAGGTAAGGGCCGAGACCAAGGCCTGAACAATTCCTGGAATGAACATTTCGTTTGTCGGGGCCGCGGGCCGGCCGGGAGGAGAATCGAAAAAACCCAGTCAATGGGGGGATGTTGAAGGAAAGAAAAAAGGTCTTAGTGAAGGAAACGAATCATTGTGAGAATGCCTCGTACTATGGTAGCATTCCACGATCAAACAAAGACAAACATGACAGGAAAGATGCCCCACGATGTACACACGAAGTGGCAGATAGATAGTATGAAGGATGACAGGACGGAGATGTGTGAGGGCGCGCGGTAGGACGAGCAGAGGCGGCTGTTCTCTCGATACTCTTTCGGGGACGCACCAGAGTGGAGAGCAAAGACTGGGGGCACAGACGAAGAGGGAAGGAGAACAGAGTAGCCGGCAGACAGACAAACCGGGAGGGGGGTGTGTGCAGATGGGTTGAAGGACAGGTACGGATAGTCAGAGACTCAGGGTAGATTTGGATGTGATGGTGTAAAGAAAGGTACGGATGGATGGATGGATGGATGGTGATTCTGCGGCTACGTCTACGTATGGGCTACCGCGCTGGAGCAAGACGAGGGAGCAGAAAGACGTAACGCCAGGGACACGCGATGAAGAGGCACGAAGGTCAGAGAATACCAGCAGTACCTGCAGACTAGAGTATCCGTACAAAGTACTCGGCCTCGTCTCATGGGACGGGCATACTGTGGTAGCCTATTTCCAAGGTTATTCTCGGTATGGGGGTTCTGGAGGACCCGGCCAAATGTTACCTCAGCGGATGGTCTAAGCCAATCCCAGGGCCAGAATCGGCTGAAATGATGTCTGGTCCTTCTGAAGAGTCGAGTTGCAAGAATGGGATACCTACTTGACAGTAGACACTCGACAAGCGTAGTGTAGGAGGGAAGAGGGTCTCAAACCGGCCGTGGGCAGGGTGCTGTGAGAGATCTCTCGATACGTCGTTCATGCCGGCACTGGTCAGGGGCGGTGATTGGGCTGGCGGCAAGGCTGACAGGGGTTAGAACCTTGTTCTATCCACCACGACGCCGTGGCGTGCGTCGACTCTGTTTCAGCGTCGAAACCCACGATGTTCGGGATGGAGGGGTCCAGGGTCGGCCAGAGGCCCCATTCCATTCCATCCGTCTTGACTCTTTTTTTTCTCTTTTTCTTTTTCTGGTCTTTGGGTCTGGTCCAGTGTGTGTCTGTCTGGCTGGTGGTCTCTTCTCATCTATAGCAATTCGCCTCGTGTCTTTGGAGACCTAGGGTGGTTTATTCTTGTCATCGGAACAGGAACGTCAGACCCTTTTTTGTGGGGGTTTTCTCTTTTCAGCTGGTATGGAACGATTTGGATGGACTCGTGTGAGTAGCTGGAAACAACACTAGAGCAGCGCAGACCTTGACAACACTTGTTGTGTCCCATCGTCATCGTCCAATGGAGTGGCGATGGGTAGTTGAGGCTCAACTTGGGGGCTACTTGACCCGCAGACTTGCAACAAGGAGTTTCTGAAAGTCGGCGCCTCGTCGAACAATTGTGCAGTACTCCGTAATACCAGAGTGCAGAGGAACATCCTAAAGACCAAAGATGATAGACTCGGCCAATTGCTAGCCGTACGTGGCAACACACGCAACCTGCCCTTGCTGTTTGACAATTGACGTCTAACTTTGACGCTGGCCTCGCCATGAGGGAGGGGGAGAAAAGAAGGTACTGAGGTGCATTCCTCGCATCAGGAACCTACCTACGCTTAGCAGAGGAGAGAGGGCCGAGAATAGAACCTTTATTCGACGCAACGGCGATATCCCTGTGCAGCCCGCGTGTCTCCTTTGGAACTGCAGCTTTCCTGGAACTCCTGGTAGATCGGAACATGAGGAATCGAACGCCTTCTCTCTGGAAAGCAATCGCCTTTTGGCAGAGCTACCCTCGGTTCTGGTCTGGGTGACATGTGTTTCCGTCATGCAGCAAGGCACCTCGTCCTCGCTCGCATTCTCTCATGCCGTCAACGAGTGCAGCCGTACGGATACACTAGGCAGTTAGGTGTCGAGCCATGGGAGAAATAAGGTGAGGTAAGGGGGAGCCAGCTGCAGTCCAGGACTCCAGGGAGCCGGATGGCGGATACAGGGAAGAAGCCGGTGGCGCCAGGGGCAGGTCTGCAGCCGCTCAGACAGCAGCCTTTGGCGTGGTGGACTGAAGAGAAAAGGGCTGAGGCGTCTATATCTGTGAGAGAGTCTTCTTGCTCTGTATCTGTAGTGTGCTGAAGGCGATGGATGGTCACGAGGGTGTGAGGATGGATTCTGGGTGGGAGAAAGGATGGGAGATTCCCAGCGTTCCTTGAGATTTGTCAGGGGCTTCGATGTTTCTTGGCGCACCCTCTACAGTGGAGACAGCTGACGAGGGGTCCCCTGTGACGGCGGAGTTTGCCCACGAGGGCTAGATTCAAGACTCAAGAGTCAAGAGTGCCCTGCTTGCTTCCACAAGTTCCAGTGATTTCACCCTCTGTGAATTACGTGCTGCAAAGACCAAGGGCACCAGCTGATTAGTAAAGGTCGGATGGTCCCAAAAGGCTAATCAATCAAGCTTTGGCCGCCTAGCTATCCTGCGTTTCGGCTGCTACCGAATCCGACCAGCCGCTCAACTTCTTACACCACCAACACCACCGACCATGAGGTAGTGTAGGTACACTGTCTTGACTGTCACTCTGTCTAGTGTGGTGTAGTACACCAAGACCAAGACATCAAGGCTCTTTGACTCTGCGCGGGTATGCGGGAGGCGGCGCAGGTACGCAGCGGCGCCACTGGCAGGTAAAGCAACGCAAGACTTTGTTTCTACCGCCTCTGCATGCGCCTTTGTTTCCTCAACTTTCCTTCCACTCGGTTCCCTCTGTGCGTTTGCTGTCAAATACTCTGCGGTAGCCTTGGGCACCAGGTACCGTTTCTCTAACGACAGATGCCCGTGAGCGCGTCCGGAAGATATCACTACCGATATGCCATCATTGAGGCGAAGTTGTGCGATATCATGTAGGCCTACTTGGCTGTATGACCAGACCTACTTGGCTGTATGATGACAGCACACAAAGAGGACCAGCGCCTCGGCTTCAGGAGATTGAATCACAAGAGCCCAGTGAAGCGTGAAGAATAGGCAAAACAACTCCCGCGCCTAAACAGCGTAGGAACAAGATTGCTTCAACGATGCTTCCCTCTCATTCTTCCACCTTTCAAGGACTCGGGGACGCACCAAAGCACAGCGAATAAACCTTCAGGTCCTGAAGCTTGTCCCGTCTGATGGCCCAAGGAGACGAACGTGATCGCCGCCCATCATTTTACCCCGCCCTCAACTCTAACGTTTTCCTTCTTCCTCTTACACGTACATACAGATGATGGTAAACTTTGCAGTCTCGGGCATCGGCAGTAGTCCAAGGTTTTGGGACAAAACCTTTGGAAGGATAAGAAGAAAAAAACAACCTTTGCCGACTTGAGGCCTGAGAGCGAGGATCAGGCTCGCAAGTCTCAAGTCCGTCGGGCTTTGAATAACTGGTCTCGCTATGTAACTTCTTCCCAACGGCAATTCCAGGCTTGAAGCGGGTTTGGGGATATTCTCTTCCCCCGCCGACTCAAGCGATGAATGAGACTACATATTCAACACTCAGGTACCAGTGATGAGGTGTCTGGTGCCCAGCCGTAGAGCCGTGATCCATCCACATCGGCGAGAGCCAGGCCGGGGACGCGCCTCCACACCTTATCCGGTAATTCCGCCCCCGCCCGCTCACTTGGGTCCCGCGCCGCTTCGTCCACAGACGACGACCGCAAACGTAATCACTGAAGACAAGCACTCCTTAGCACAAGATCTTGCATGGCCGCTAGCTCCTTCGCGCCACACGTAAATGGTCACTGACAGCGGGAGCCTGACAGACACCAAGATGGCTGCTTGGACCTACTCGATCTAGTCTGGCGTGGGACTGTAATGTGTGCAGGTATGCCGCTTGCCGGTGGCCCCTCCTCCCGCCATCACCTCACCTCACTCCGCATGCCTCGTCTTCCTTTCGGAGCCGGGCCCGAAAGGTACGACAGACCTCACCCGGCCCGGTCGCGCCCAAGATGAGTCAATAGGTCTACGCGGGATGACGGCGGGCGTAAAGGGCGTATCTTTTCTTCGTTGTGTTATTGGGTGGGCGTTACTTGTTATCAAATTGGAGAATTGGGGGATATAATATAAAGGAAAACACACAACCTCAAAAAGATCATTTTTGAGTGGCTTTAGAACTAGACATCTGTTGCAGCACCATCATACCATACAATCCCATCAATCATTTCAACAGGTAGATAGCATCCAACCATGCCTCGCACTGAACTCGAGTATCCCAAAGAGCCATATGGCACCGTTAAACGATACAGCCCGCGCGGTATGCCTCACTCTCACTCTCACTCTCACTTACGTCAAGTCTTCGCGAAGCCATCAACTAACACAACCTCACAGCATCCTATGCCCTCCGCACAATCCACACCATAATAAACACAAGCCCAATCCTCCACGTCTCCTTCAACGACCCGCAATCCCCCTTCCCCACGATCCTCCCCATGCTCGGCCAAATGGGCTCCTTCTCCCGCCCCTCCGCCGACGAAGGCGACGTCCTAGACCTCTACCTCCACGGCTACGTCTCCTCCCGCCTCGTAAACATCTCCCGCCAACCCTCCGACGCCTCTTCTACTTCGTCCCCTTCGTCTCCTCCCCCTCCTTCAGGCCTCCCCGTCTGCATCGCAGCATCCCACCTAGACGGCCTCGTCCTAGCCCTGACCCCCAACGCCCACAGCTATAACTACCGCTCCGCAGTCCTCTTCGGCCACGCAACCCTCGTCTCCGACCCCGCGGAGCGCCTCTACGCGATGCAGCTCATCACGGACGGCGTCGTCCCGGGTCGCTGGGAGGCGTCCCGCGTGCCGCCCAACAAGGGCGAGTTATCCTCCACGAGCGTGCTGAAAGTGCGCATCGCGACGGGGAGTGCCAAGATCCGCGAGGGCCCGCCGGGGGATGATAGGGCTGATAAGGAGGATGCGAAGGTTACGGGACGGGTGTGGACGGGGGTTGTGCCGGTGTATCAGGTTCTTGGGGAGCCGGTGGCGGGGCCGTATAATGAGGTGGCGGAGGTTCCTGGGTATTTGGGGGAGTATGTGCGGGAGACGAATGCGGTGACGAAGGAGGCTGCTTTTGAGGCTGCTCGGAAGGTTGTGGTGAAGAAGGGGGGTGAGGATGAGTGAGGTAGTATTATGGAGACGGAGGATGAAAGATCTTTGATTAGCAGTGCGAAGAGCGACGAGTTGATGAGATACACAAGGCATGTCAGGGAGCCCTGAAGAAATATATAATAAACAGCGGTCTTATTCTACAACTCAAAGAATAGTTTGTCTAAGTGAGCTTCATAGGTAGGCAGCTCTAGCTCATCCCAATGTAATTACACATGTCCGAGTACCATATGTACAGAGAGCAAACACTCCTCATCTCCAATGAAAGATTGCTCGTCGATTCCATCCTCTCAGACTTTTGGCGCAAAAAAACACCCTTCCCTCCACGAAGGACACAAAGGATCACCACAACTCCCAAATCTTATCCGGCATCACAACCCGCATCACCTCCCAATGCCCCAGCGCGCTCTTCTCGTGCCACTTGGTCAGCTGCTCCGTGCTGTTATCCCTCAAGATCCCGTAATCTCCCTGCAAAAAGTGCTTGGGAAACACCTCGTGCGCCGGCATCAGGAACGCGCGGCGCGTGCGGCTGCCCAAAAAGTCGTCTTCAACGGGAGCCCTGAACTTGAGCTTCCCGGACGTCTTTTTGCAAAAGATGACCATGTTGGTAAAATCCTGGCCCTCCTCCTCGATTTTCTCCGGGGTGGGGTGCTCCGACTCGCGGAAGATGCGGCAGGAGGGGAAGACCTCTCTGATTGTGTCTACGACGAGTTTGGGGGCCGGGTGGAGGAAGTCGCCCGCGTAGTTCTATGACTGGTGTGAGTATACATGCAATACAAAGCAGTGGAAACCGACAAAAAGATTGAAAACTCACAATCGCGATGGCGCCGTCTGGCTTGAGGAGCGAGTTGAGGCCCTGGAGGAACTCAAGGGTGAAGAGGGGCACGGGCTCGGCGCCGCCGGTGAAGACGTCGTGGACAATGTAGTCGAACCTCGCGTCCGGGTCGTCGGCGAGCTTGCGCGTGTAGCTTACCGCGTCCGCGATGACGGGTGTGTGGTTGGACGGCAGCTGGAAGTACTTTGACGCAAACTCGTGCACGACGGGGTCGATCTCGACAATCGTCGTGTCGACGCCGTGAGCGACCAACGCCGCGGGCGTAGTACCGATACCAAGGCCGCTGGTTTGCCATTAGTGTTTGTTCTTCAAGGTCCCTTGCCAAAGAACAGCGGCGACTTACATGTTCAAAGCCTTGGCCTTGGAGTCAGGAACGGCCTTGGTCGTCTTGACGAGCCGAACAGCCTCCAACATGACAAACACACCATAAATAGGCTCCGCGACGCGAGGACCCTTGTGCTTCACCCACTCGCCGCCGAGCAGCGAGTGATCGCACCGCATAACACGGTACCCGTGCTTGATACTCTCCAGCACGGAGACGTACCCCGTGACGGACTCCTTGCGATCCAGCAGGAACCAGTTATCCGCCTGCAATGTGGAGTTGAGCGAAGCCGCGGCCATGGGCGTCAGCGCATGCGGGTTCAGGAACGCCGTGTGCAGCACGGCAGGGACGGCGAAGAGCAGCAGCTTGGACGGGGCGTAGACGGCGTAGGCGGCGCCCAGCAGCGCCTCGAGGCCGATGCGCGTCTGGAAGAAGGACCGGCCGACGTAGGTCTGCAGGTAGTCGCCCGACAGCGTCTCGACGAAGCGGAAGAGGCCCCAGGAGCCCAGGCCCGGCGCGGCGTCGGCGAGGAACTTGGGAAGCTTGGACAGGCTCACCTTCTCCATCTCCGTCGCCACGCAGCTCACCGAGATGACGATGATAGGGAACAGCGTGACGCCTTCCATGACCAGGGGACCCCAGTACGCCGTCAGCAGCGCGCTGGTCTGGTAGAGGTAGTACTGGATCGCGGGGACGCAGAGGGCGACGACGGGCAGCAGGGTGGCCGGGTTGAAGGGCAGGGTGCGGTTGAGGACGACGTTGCCGGCCCAGCCAAAGAAGCAGGCGACCATGACGAGCTTGGCGTGGTATATCGAGGACGGGATGGCGCCGTAGACGGGCGACATGGCCAGCTGGGAGACGTTGCTATAGGTGGCGGCGAGGGCGATGAGGATGGTGGCCTTCAGGTACGCCGTGGCCTGCTGCTTGTAGAATCTGCCTCTGGTCTGGCCTTTTGCCTTTGCCGCGAGGCTCTTGAGCTCCTTTTCGAACCGTTCGGGCGTGAAGCCCTCGGGAGCGGACTCTACCTTGACCGTCGACTTTGGCGGCATCGTTGTGAGGGGGAGGGTGAGCGTGTCCGGTGCTGCCGGGTGAGATGAAGTGAGTGAGGTTATCGTGTGATGAGATGAGAGCTGCGTGAGTGAGTGACGATGAATATAATTTCAATATACAAATATGAATTAACAAACGCTGCGGATGAGCGCCCGGGAAGCTCTCCAAGCGATTCGGTGGGGTAAAATATGGAATAGAAGGTATGTTATCAGGCAATTTCAACAGCCTGCTGTCGAAGATCTCTTGGTCTTCCTCTTCGCTCTCGCGCGTGGCGTGTTTCTCTTGAGCTCAGACTTTCTTCAAGACACATCGACTTGCGATGCGACACAACGCTGTGGGCAGGAAGGGGGTTTTGTCTGGTTGCCGTTTTGAAACGTCTCCTTATTTGCTCCGTATCCGTAGCTCCCTCCTTGAAATCATTTCTGGAGCCACTTGTGTGGCGCGAGCTCTGAGCTGTGAGCTTGGCGTGGCTGATGGACTGATTGTACGTACATGTGGCGGTGCACTGATCACTCTTCCTCGCCCAGTCAACTCAGTCATTTGGGGTTCTTCACCTTCACTTTTACATTCTCAGATATCATTTCACGTACAATCACTTGAAATCAAAGGCAAAGTCAGGACCAGGATCTCATTGAGAATTGTCTCATTATTTAGCTATTGTGACGGGATAGAGAGCCTCTAGACTCATTCTATACAAGATGCCATCGTTGCCCTGCGGAATGGTCCCTATGACCAAACCCCCTTTTTTTGGTTTGCAGAATAATCAACCGAAATCAAACGCTAGGTATAAGGGATGGTCACAGATCTAGTGCTGCGCCATACAGGATGCCATCGTTGCCCTGCGGCCTGGCTCTATTCGCCAGACCCCCCGAATTTTGGATTCGCATGTGCCAATGCGATTCATGTGCCCAATTGCACAGGATAGCCATTTTGACTTGACTATACAGGATGCCATCGTTGCCCTGCGGACCGACCTTCTTCCCTGGCCGGACCCCTCTCGTTGTCGTAAGTCGCTGGTAAAGGATGGCCGGCGGCTGCCGAGCCATGCAGGATGCCATCGTTTCCCTGCGGACGAGCAACCTATACTCTGCTCGACCCCTCAAGAGTCGTCAGACTCCCGCTTTAAATCTTCTCTCCCTCAATAATGGGCTTGGCCTCGTCGCTGGTCCACCAGCTGACGCCCTGCTTGCCGGGGTAGCTGTACTGGTCCATGCTGTCCGCCTTCATCTCGACGCTGTAGCCGGGCTCGGTGGGCGTCTGGTAGTACCCGTCCTTGATGACGGAGGGGTTGAGGAAGTGCTCGTGCAGGTGGTCGACGTACTCAAGCACGGAGAGCTTGCCGCTGACGACGACGTAATCGATGGTGCTCAGGTGCTGGGTGTACTCGGGCAGGCCGACGCCGCCCGAGTGGGGGACGATGGGCACGTTGAACTTCTTGGCCATGAGCAGGACGGCGAGGACCTCGTTGACGCCGCCCATGCGGCAGGCGTCGATCTGGCAGATGTCGATGGCACCCGACATGAGGAGCTGCTTGAAGATGACGCGGTTCTGGCACATCTCGCCGGTGGCGACGCCGATGCCGTAGGGCTTGAGGGCCTCGCGGATGGCCTTGTGGCCGAGGATGTCGTCGGGGGAGGTGGGCTCCTCGATGAACCAGGGCTTGAACTCCTTGAGCTGCTTCATGTACTCGATGGCTTCGGGCACCGACCAGACCTGGTTGGCGTCGACCATGAGGATGTTGCCGCTGTCGTAGCCAATGACCTCACGGGCGATGCTCAGGCGCCTCTTGTCCTGCTCGACGCTGCTGCCGACCTTGAGCTTGAAGTGGCGGTACCCCTTGCCGAGGGTCTCCTGGAGGAGGCCCTTCATCTTGTCCTCGCCGTAGCCGAGCCAGCCAGCGCTGGTGGTGTAGGCCGGGACGGCACGGCTGTTCTCGGCGTCCTTGATGCGCTGAGCCTTTGTGGGCTCCTGCTCCTTGAGGAGCTGGATGGCCTCCTCGGGGGTGATGGCGTCGGTGATGTAACGGAAGTCAATGCAGGCGACGAACTCCTCGGGAGACATGTCGGCGACGATGCGCCAGACGGGCTTGCCGAGGACCTTGGCCCACAAATCCCAGATGGCGTTGACAACGGAGCCGAGGGCCAGGTGGATGACACCCTTCTCGGGACCAATCCATCTCAGCTGGCTGTCGTTGACGAGGTATCTCCAGGTCTGACCCCAATTTGAGACGAGGTCTGACAACTTCTTGCCCTTGATTCTCTCAACAAGGTAGTCGATGGCCTTGCAGACGATATCGTTTCCTCGTCCGATTGTGAAGGTCTAACAAGGGAGAAGAAGAGGTGAGCGACTTTACGAGACTGAGACGGATTTGGGATTAGGGAAAGGGGGGGTTATACCATGCCGTGGCCAGAGTACTTGGAGTCGGTCTCGAGAATGCAGTAGGCGGCAGAGTAGTCACCAGCAGCGTTCATGGCATCGGAACCGGTCTTATCCAGGGAGGTAGGGAAGCGCACATCGCGCGTCTGCCACCCGGTGATGGTAATATCGAGACTCATGTTGGGCAATTGTCTAAGAACAGGAACGATAAAAAACTAGAGAGAAACACGGACCGTGATTCTTGGAGAAAAGACAGGAGACAGCAAGGAGATTGGAGGAGGGAAGAGGGAAGAATAGAGGGAATTATTACACGACACAATAACGGGCAGAGAGATTAGAGACCTTTATAGCCTCCGACGATGCGTTTCTTCTCCCACCTTCCCCTCCCCGCCTCTGCCAATGACTAGACCACTCACGGGCCACGACCCTCTACTTTTTTCCACCTCGCTCACTCTTTTGCCTTACCCCGAGTCTGGAGTTTGGGCCGGAGGCGGAGGAGGGGACAGTTGCTAGTAGCAGCAGCAGCATGCCAGCAGCATGAGGGGGAGACGGAAGAATGGAGGGGTAGGGGGAAGGAGGGGGAGGGGCCTTCAGTGGAGGGCTTGGAGGGGCATGCGCCGGAGAGGGTCCCTTTCGGTGGGGCTTGGCAGCAGAAAACAACCCGGCCCAGAGACGGCGTGCCAGCGCGGGGGGTTCGCCAGGCCGAGCCGGCTTCGGACCCACCCCCTTTGCGGCCTCTGATTGATGGAAGAATCCCTCCGCCTGGACAATTTAGCGTACCTCGTGCTCGGTGTACGCTCCGCCAGACCCCCAGGCCTCCCAATTCTAGTCTCTAGACTTCTACTGCAGATGTTGACGATATTCGTGGATGTTAGGTGGGGGGAGCGAATGAGAATGGGAGAATTCGATCAGACAGGTTCTCTACGAAAGAGTTCCCTGTCATTCGGGGTTCTTGTGGCTGGAGAATTTCATGTTGCGTCCTTAGCCGTGATGAATTTCATCTAACGCACGCAGGTAGTTAATTCTCCGTAAAGTATATGCAGAACGGCTCTAGACGGCATCTCACCGCCAAGGGTTCACTCTCTCTCTGCGTTTGCGCCCATCGAGCTGACTTGGCGGCATTGGCGAGTGAAGTGCCAGACAATCGGAACTCTCTCATTTTGGACTGTACCAATCGTTGTTCTCTCAACAGGTTGTCCCTTGAAAGCGTCTGTTCGGTAAAGTTGTGTTGGTGAGTTATATGGTCGAAAGGGCGCCAGTTCAGTGTGTCCTCTAGAGCTGGACTCGCATCTTCTCAGACACCCGGACACTCGAATGCTCTTATAGACCTTGTGATATTCTTACACTTCTTCCGTTTCCATCTTGCTGGTCCAGCCGGAGGATCTACTCCATATGTGGCTGGCTTCGGCAAAACGCTGATAGAATCGTTCAGTCATTACTGGCTACAACTCTCCCATCGGGATCTCCTTGACCAGCCTTCAAGCTTGATGTAGGAGAAGGCAGTCGTGTGTATTTTTCTCAGACACCGGCTTCAATTCTTGATGTTGACTTCAAGATGAACCTGGACCATGCGAAAGACAAGGCATGGGGTTCGCATATCCCGCCAAGCACGCCCTACGAAAAGAGTAGATGGTGCACGATGCAATGTGGGACTTGGCAGGGGACCCAAGGGCGGCATATCGTATCGTCTAGAACGATTGCTGCCAAGAAAGGATCCTACATCTGCATGGCACTGTCTCGCTCTCTAGTGCTTGGGTGAGATGTTCTTGATGGACGCCCTGGCTGACGGTGGGGGTGAGACGCCTGCGAGCTGATTCGAGAAGCTCGACGACCTCTCCGAGACCACCGGACCGCGCCACTTGCTCGGCCGAGACTTCAAAGTACCGACGGTTTCCACGTTGAAAGAGGTACTGTGCCTGGCTACTTGTATCAACCTCAAAAGACGCCAAGTAGTCCTCTAGTATAGTGTCAGAGCCTGCGTACATCGGCACACTCCATCGATTACCCCAAGCGGGCCACGGTTTCTCCGCCTCCCGCAGATGAGCCGGATCCACGACAACGTAGAGAGCACGGAGAGTACGGGAGCCCCACAAGGTTAGCAGGCCGTTCAAAGCCTCGGAATTGTAGAATGAACTTCGGCCGTCAGAGGGGCCGAGTTGGTGAGGCCCAGGCCAGGCGAGGGCCAGACAGCGCAGCGGTGTTGGCACATGAAGACGAAAAACGCCGGCAGTACTGATCAGACGGCAGGGCCACTGCCATCCCGTATTGAGAATGATGAGATCCCGCATGGCGTCAACTTCCATGTGGTATGCGCCCAAGGAATCGCCACCTCGAAGTATGAGGGTGTAGGAAGATGAATCACCGCCTCGAAGAAGAAATGGGTGAGAAGGTTTGATAAATTTCAGAGCGCGTGTTGCTACACGATAGGAGCGATGACAGGCGAAAAGCATGCCAAAGAGAGTGGACATGACGCAGTCGCGATCCGAGAGATGAGGGGGACCAGAGGTGCGAAGTCTGTAGAGAAGAACTCTATCCTTGACATTGTAGCGGTCGATGGAGCCATCCTCGGTGCGGCCCATAGGATGGCGGGCCAGCTGAACATGGAAAGCGGTCGGGGCGGGCGGGGGAAGGGCAGCCTCCCAAACCTTGTCTTGCAGCTCCAGAGGTAGATTGGGAAAGAGAGCAAAGTCGTTCATGGTTTATGATGATGATGATGATAAGGTGTGATAAGGTATTGTAGGGTAGGGTAGGGTAGGTGTGGTGAGCGATGCCGATGCCAATGCCCATTGACTTTTAGATGAAGGTAGATGGATGAGATGGCGAAGACGGATAGTTGTCATCCAATACCGGAGCGCAGTCCGGGATGCTTGGACAACGTTGGAGGAGTGCGGGAGGCGAGTTTGCGGGATTGGCGTCGATCTTGACGGCTGAAGAGGGTTTTTTTGGTTGAGAAGGCGAATGAATTGACAGCTGAAGATGATGAGGGGGAAACAACCGAACAAGAGACGGAGGCGGTAGGGCGAATGTTGGTGGCTCGAGGACGATTCAATGCAGACGGGAGAACGCGGGGAAAATGGCAATCGTTGATTGGCTCATTGCGGCCACGGCGTTGGGATGTGTAGCCTCGAGGTGGAGGAGGCAAGCCGCGACGGGACAAAGTGGCGGACCCAAGATCAGGGTTGAAGGTAGGAGGATGTGGGAACTGGGAATACCTACCTTACTACTTAGGTGAGTAGGTACAGTATTACTGGCATACTGCGAACACCAAAGTGGTGAGGCTTTTCGATGACATGGGCCAATCCACCCACACGGCGAGTCGGCGACGGGCAAGACGGGAGCCTTCCGACTTTCCGCCTTCTCTTGGGTCTTTGCCTGACCCGAGCGCCTGATTGCCGATAGTACGTACTCCGTACATGGGTAAGTACGTACATTATTATGTAAGGTAGAGATGCAGTTCCAATTTCTTACCATCAGCAACTTGCAAAGAAATGTCACCACAAGATCATCAAGAGAGTTGGTGGAAACACTGAAAATCACTACAAAGGAAACATCCCATCACTACAATAGGCTACTCGCAAGATCTCACCACTACTCCCCCGATACCACCCGTCTAATCTCTGACCCCAACTCCGAACTCACTCCCGCTCACCGCGAACCATCCGACATGCCGTCCATCCATTGCAAGCGCAGCCATCCTTATACCTACTACGTATGTAGTCACACAGCCCACCGTTGAGCGAATGCGAGTTGAGATGTGACCCCTGCCAGCGATCGGGACAGCCCACCAACCCCCCAGGCCATATCCCTGACTGGTCAGAGCCTCGACCACCTTTTCCCTCGAGTTTCTTGGGGCACAAGTTGCAAAGGTGGGATGCGATGACGTGGGCTCAGCAAGGATGCCCTCGACGTTCCATTCTCCCCATCCATGTTTTTCCTCAACTAACCTAACTGACAGTGACTGACTGACTGACTTGCAGTGACTGCTCACGGCACGCCGCAAACACCGTGACACCAACAGACAGAGCGGGATTTTGAACGCTTCGCCTCGAGTCTCGACCTTCGGGTGGTTTTTCTCGATATCCACTCTCCACTGCCACTACTGCGTACACACGTACAGCGAAAGAAGCAAACAGGAACGCATGGCTACCTTGTCCAGGCCCAGCCAACTGCGATGTGTTGTCCCAACCTCACATCATTCTGAGCTTAGCTTACCCTGCTTTGCCTCGCATACGCAGCAGAGTGAGGCATCTCATTTCTTACCCTACACTACCTTTCCTTTGCATTCCCTTGCACTCCTTGCACACACCATCCCGGTATCCCCTCCTCTGTGACCTCTTTAACCTTTTTGCTCTCCCACTGCCCGCTTCATGCCTGGTGGCCCGCTCGTCCAGTGGGAATCCGGTTTTGAGCTCTGCCTCGTCCAGTTCTCAAAGCCTCCATCATCGTACATGCATATCCCGACCTCCATGCGCGTGGATACCTGCGCTGACTCTGCCTTTTGCCCTCCTCCATGCTATAACATCCCTCCCTCTTGCTATCCCCTCACACCCACAAACCAACATGTGCATGGAACAGCCCATTTCCTCACGCTCAATTTTGATTCCCCGAGACGTCATTTGCCGCTCACAGAGAGTCATGAATTCAGCAGACTGCGAACTTCAACCAACCCATATATGACTTTGTACAAACCCTAGATAACTCTTCTACCGCAACCATTGGTATTGCTATACCACCAGACCAAAAAAACGGCTTAATACCGCTTCTCATCGCAGTCCTCCATTCAACCTGGTCGCATCACTTTACCATACTCCAACCAGAACAACATGGATCGCCGTCCTCATGCACAGTCACTGGCACCGCCAGCCCCAATATCAAATAGCCCGCCGGAACCTCCACAACGCTTACGGCGCAGATTGCAAAAGAAGCTCCTGTCCATCCGACGTCCTGCACCTATCGACCCCGTGGCATCAAACAAACTCAATACCGGGGTGGCAGTAGCTGCCCAGCAAGCCGGAACCATCGGCCAACCTTCCTTGCGTTTGTCACCAGACCTGAGCGATGCAAAATGGCACGCATATCTCGGAGACAGCAACGCTGTTCAAGATCCAAAATCAAAATCGCAATCAAAATCACAGTCAAGATCAAAGCCCCTACCAGCGAGACCGAGAACACCAGAGAAACCACGAAAAGTCTCATTCGACACAACACCACCAGCGCCAGCCATCATTCCAGAATTCTCACACCTAGCCGTCAGCAATCTGACGCCGAGACCCTCTCTCGACAGCTCACTCAGCTCGCCGACCTCGTCCATCAGCACGAGATCGAGCATGAGACGCCATGCAAAGACGCCCATCTACGCCATTGGCCAGCTGGAAAACGCAAGCTATGGGAGGAGTGCAAAAACCGCTGAAAAAGTCACAAGCGTCGACCTGATTGCGAACCAGTACCGAGATCTCCTCGAGACCCAGGATGCCAGCTCAATATACACTGACGCCCACTCTGAACCTTTCCCATCACGACAATCGTTGCACAGCCAGATTTCCTCCTCCACTACCCGGTCACGTCACAGCGCCGGCGAGACACCCGCAGAGCAGCTCCGACGAGACATATTTTCGCCGGCACCGGCGCCGTTGCGCCGTGCATCGGCGGCGTATTCCAGGTCACCACGGTCCGATGATGGTACGCTGGTTGCATTCGATGAGGAAGCGATCTACTTCAAGCCCCTGTCATTCTCGCCAGAACCACCCTCGACACCCCCGCCCCCGCCGCGGAATCGCGCCCGACTGAATCGCAATTCGTCCTCCCAAGGGGGATCGAGTCAGAACCTGAGCCTGCAGATTGCAATGGACCTCTTGACGCGCGAGCTCTCGACGAGCATGTTGGACAACTCGCACAAGACGGGGACAGACGTCTCGTCTCTGCAGGTTTGGGTCATGATCGAAGCCTACGAGAGGTTGAGGGATCAGGTTCTAGAAGCGAGGAGGCAGACGGATGACGCGCAGAACCTAGAGACGGTGTTTGATACCTGGTTGAAGGCTCTCTATACCCTTCATGACCAGATGACGAGTGATGCGGCTTCTCGCGGGAGCAACTACGATGAAGCATAATTGGGGCCAGGATATAAGGACGCATCGCGAATGATCTACTGTTAGTTAACTTGGGTACGGAGACACCCGCAAGGTTAGGGCAACGGCGTTGGAGTTGGAATAGGTTCGGACATGGCATGTCTGAGTTCATGAGAGTACCTTGATTCAGGTAAAGAAGAACAACAGTATCAAAACTCAACACCAATTCAAATCTGAAAATGAGAAGAACTTAAGATGTGAGGCATGTGAACTACTATTGTTTCATGGTTTCAATGAGTACATAACCTGGAAGCGAGGTAGATGAATAACCCCACCAGTTTGACAGTTTTGCTGAGGTGCTGAATTCGATGGCATCATCAATTACCGTTTGGGCGAGTGGTCCGCTGTAGTCACCGCTGCGTTGGCTACCAGACCCCGCCAAAGGTAAGGTACGTTCTACAGATCCATACCTTACCTACTACCTACACCTAGCTTCCGCTGACGCGACTCTCGCCGCGTGCACTTTCTTTGCCTCGTTCAACATCACCAGTCGTATTGTCATCCTCCTGCTCTCCACGCCGTGCACCGTGGCGCAGACAGAGCCCGGTTTCCGATTCCTTCACATACAAGAAATTGAGGAAATACGTAACACTGCCAATCATGGACGATGAATTCGGCGCCGACGAAGACTTCCTGGCCGCTCTCGCATCGTCGAACCCGGCACCTTCACGCCCCGAGCCTCAACCATCCCGTCCCCGTGTGCAGCAACCGACACCGCAGAAGATACAGCAGCCGACACCGCAGCGCTTGGATAGACCACCGCCTGCAAATGCTTCTGCGAGCGGCAAGATTGTCCAACCGACTCCCCAGGCCCTTCCCCAGCGAGGATCCGGCTCCGCCATTCTTGTCTCTCCACGGCAGAGGGGCAACCCGGTGCTCGCATCTCTCAAGTCGATGCCATGGGAGTACAGCGATATTCTAGCTGACTACGGTCTTGGTTTGACGACATGTGCATTGTTCTTGAGGTAGGTTCACTACTCAACCAATTCCCTCAAGCTACCTACCTACTTAAATGGCATACTGACGGGTGTCTGCACTCAGTCTGAAGTACCACCGCCTCCACCCCGAGTACATCCATACGAGAATCAGGAATCTTCAAGGGAAATACAACCTACGTCTCGTGTTGACCATGGTTGATATTCCGAACCACGAAGAGGTCTTGCGCGAGCTGTCCAAGACCTCATTGGTCAACAACGTCACCCTCATTCTTTGCTGGTCAGCCGCCGAGGCCGCGCGATATCTCGAGCTGTACAAGTCGTACGAGCACGCCAACTTCAACGCCATCCGCGGTCAACAAGCGTCGACGTATGCGGAGAAGCTCGTCGAGTTTGTCACGGTTCCCAGGAGCGTCAACAAGTCGGATGCCGTTGCCCTGGTCAGTAACTTTGGTAGCTTGAAGAACGCCATCAATGCGAATCCCGAAGAGATTGGCCTGCTAGCTGGCTGGGGAGCTGTCAAAGTCAACAAATGGGTCAAGGCTGTCGAGGAGCCCTTCCGAGCACAAAAGTCTGGCAAACGACAGCTGGATAGATCGGACTGCACCGAGGACGGGAGGCCGTCGCAAGCATCGAGGTTGGATCAAGCTGTGCCTCTCAGCCGGGTCCCGCTTCGTGAGATGTCTACGAGGGACTCTTCACGAGGCTCACCTGCAGTGGGCACGCCAACGACAACCCAGCCCAAGAAGCCTGCGGCCTTGGAAAGAGGCAATCCGGATCTGGACGAGGACGATGAAGAGGCGATGATCGCTGCCGCTATTGAGGAATCAAGGCGGACTACTGAGGTGCAAGCACAAGCACAAGCACAGACGCCGGCGCAGGCGCAGACGCAGACGAAACAAGTTGACAGCGCAGGTGCCAAAGACGATGCACTTACAGACGGGGTCGCAGCCGCACTCGCAAAGTTGCGGAAGCAGGGCTGAATACCTGTATCCTCTGGGCTATCCCGCTTTTCTGTACAGCCCCAGAAACACAACACAGCCTTGAAGATTGTGGGCTAAAGTCTAATCGACGTTTCGAAAGGACGGCACACCTTACAAGAGACGAATTTGCGTGTATGGCATTTTTCCTTGGTGTTCCGCGAGGCACCTTTCGCATAAGGAATAGGAAACTCCATGACTCGTTGGGATTCGAAGAAGAGCATTAATGCGGCTTCGAGAGGAAGAACGGATCGAACGATGAAGTAAACTTTGCGCACTTCTGAAGCGACCCTTGGTTCGCCGGTGGGCCAATCACGACGATGCCGACCAGGGAACGGTACACAATCATCAGACGACTCGCCCGGTAGGAAAGCGAAGTCCGTCTGTAGAAGCATGCCATCCAAGTCAGATTTGCCTAGAATCTCCAACGCTGCCTTTGGCGTATCAACAGAGCAGGTGGGGGACTGTATGCTGTGCTCAATATAGGTTGTGTTCGCGGGTTCGCGCAGTGCGGGGGCGGCCTGGACACGGGTTTGCAGGTACCGAACTCAAAGTCAAGAGTTGGAGATGAAGATCGTCACGCACGCATCTGTTATTTCTCCAATGTCACCCTTCTGACCAAGTCAAGTGGTTGACATGGGACGAGCTGGCGGACCTTAGTTCTGACGCCGCGCCATTTCTCCCTATCACGATTGACATTTGATCTTTGGTTTGTGTAACTCTTGGGCAACTTGCCAAAGGACTAAAACTATTGATGCGCTACTCCTTGCTCTTACATGAGAATCAAATAGGCACTGCATCGACGCCGAGCATGCAGAGCCTCCGAGATCCAATGATCAGTAGCTCCGATCATCCCCGGCTAGATTAAGCCGGGTATAGCGGCCACCGGCATGGCCAAGCAGTCTTCTGATCCGCCCGTGCCAAGGCCAAAGGCCGCAGTCGGTCAATATCTGGAGGCCATGGAAATTGACTCCCCGTTGAAGCGCATCTCCAAAGTCCCGAGGAGACACTGCCTCATACGGAAGGTCAACAAGTTTACAACTTACACCACCTTGTGGTCGGGTCATTGTACGAGGGCCCAGAACTTCTTCCCCCCATTCCTGTCCCTCGGAGGCTCGGGTATTGCAACTCGCCAGCATTTGTTTCCTTGACTTCCTCTGCCCGTATGCAACTGCAACTGCAACGCAACGCTGCATTTAACTTTGGGTAGCACTGGGCAAGGGGCCTTTCCCAAGTTTCCCCCCAACAGCTGCTCCGCACGTGCTTGATTCACCAGGGACGTCCGTGCCTGGTGACTTTGCCATTTCGAGATGAGCAGCGACGAACCTGGGCAAGATCATCTCTGCGCGTGTTTGATGCCAGTCATTACGGCCACCAGCGGACTCGGCCCGCGTGGACGGCTCATCACTCGCCCTACCAATGGTGTAACCCCCGTTCGAATAAGAACAGTTCGTCTGACTCCCGGATGTTAGATGCACTCATAGTCTCATTCTACTGGGGTGGTGGTGGGACTTTGGAGAGGTGGAGGGTGGTATCGAAAGGAACAATAATCAGGAGGGCGAAGATGAGCCGGAGATGGGAAGGGAAAGACACCGGGTCGCGAGGACCACTTACCATGTCGAATGGAGTCATGGACACAAGAACCGACGTTGCAGACGCAGAAAGCCGACAGAAGCAGGAGAGATGAAGCAGGGGCAGCTGGTGTGTAGAAAATAAAAGGTCCCGACTATGAGACATGGAGCAGGGGCGAACGCAAAGTCCGGGGGACTATGGATGAGAAACAGAGTTTATTCATCTCATGCTGTGCCTGCGTGAAAGTGTTCCCAGTCTCCAGGTCCTCCCTCCCGAAGTTTCCCAGAGTTTGCCGATTCCTAGGGGTTGCGTGATTCCAACACACCCCCGACTGACCCGTTGTCATTTTATTAGCCTTTGCGCGCCCCAATAATGCGGTCGACGGTAGATATATATATTTGACCACAGCCTCTCTCCTTCTCCTACTGTTGTTCGTCGTTCGTCCGGACCCTGCTCCGTCTGTAGTCTCAGTCTCTTTCTGCTTCCCAGGACCGACATCTAATTAGCTTGGAGGCTTCTCGTCGCGAACACGATGCACCTGTCAATGCGTGGACTGGCCGTCGCCGGGCTCCTCGCCCAGGCCTCGGCCTCCCCTCAATCTCTTCTACAGGCCGCGGCGCCGCAGTATGTGAACCAGCCCGAGAGGGCGGCAGCCGTCAAGGAAGCCTTCCAGCGCTCGTGGGACGGGTACCGCAAGTTCGCCTTCCCGAATGATACGCTCAAGCCGGTGTCCAACACGGCCGAGAATGACCGGTACGTTTTTTAGTCTTTTGCTCCATAATAGACAGAACACGAAGAACTCCGTTTTCTGACGATTTTTTGCTGTAGGAATGGTTGGGGTGCGAGTGCTGTGGACGCCTTGAGTACTGCCATCCTCATGGAGAACAAGGATGTCGTGGGACAGATTCTAGACTTTATACCGACTATCAACTTCAACGTGACGGACAGCGAGGTCTCTTTGTTTGAGACGACTATCCGATATCTTGGCGGCATGTTGGCAGGTGAGACAGGCTTCCCAATGTAAAATGGTGGTGTTTCTCTCGTAAAGCTAATCCAACTGGATAGGACATGATTTGCTGAAAGGACCACTCAAAGACGTCGCCAGTAACCAGACTGGCGTAGACAATCTTCTCGCACAGTCGAAGAAACTCGCAGACAATCTCAAAGTCGCATTCGATACAGCAACCGGCATCCCCGATAATACTCTCGTCTACGATCCCAAGCCGCGCAAGAAGGGCTCCGACACGAACGGCATTGCGACCATTGGAACCTTGGTGCTGGAGTGGACTCGCTTGAGCGACTTGACGGGGGATAAGGAATATGCGGACCTGTCGCAGAAGGGCGAGAATTACCTCCTCAAGCCCAACGAGGAGGTGTTCCCCGGCCTGTTGGGTACGGATGTCTTCATCTCGAACGGGACATTTGCGGATCGGTCCGGTGGCTGGAACGGAGGCACCGACAGTTTCTATGAATACCTCATCAAGATGTGGGTGTACGACCAGAATCGATTCTCCCTCTACAAGGAACGGTGGATTGCTGCGGCCGATTCATCGATCAAGTTCTTGGCGTCGAGCCCGACTACTCGGCCTGACCTGACGTTCTTGGCCGCGTATAACAACGCGAACCTGAGATTCGTCAGCAGCCATCGTAAGTTTGAACCGGTTCTTTTGGGCCATGTTCGACTGCTAAAAAATTGGTCTAGTTGCGTGCTTCGATGGAGGCAACTTTATTCTCGGTGGCCTTGTTCTCAAGGAGCAGAAATACGTCGACTTTGGCATCAAGCTGACCGAGGGCTGCCGCGAGACGTACAAGCAGACGGCGACTGGAATCGGGCCAGAAATCTTCCGCTGGCAAGACGACAGGCCGCCGGTGAACAAGACGCTCAACCCGGACCCGCCCGCCAACCAGACAGAGTTCTACCAAAAGGCGGGCTTCTGGATCAGAGAGGACGGCGCGGGTTACGTCCTCCGACCCGAGGTCATTGAGAGCTACTACTACGCCTACCGCGCCACCGGCGACAGCAAGTACCAGGACTGGGCGTGGGACGCTTTCTTGGCGATCAATAAGACGTGCAGCGCGGGAAGCGGCTTCTCGTCCATCACCAACGTCCAGGATCCGAAGGGAGGGTCATTCGACGATTTCCAGGAGAGTTTCTGGTTCGCCGAGGTTCTCAAGTACAGCTACCTGATCCAGGCGACGGATGCCAAGGTCCAGGTCGAAGTGGCGGACAACAAGTTTGTTTTCAACACGGAGGCGCACCCGTTCCAGATCGCTTAGAAAGCAAAGACTTGTACGGGGAGGAGAAGAAGGCCGAGGTTGTGATGCATGCATTGATGAGCGAGAGGTGGGACGGTAATATTGATAGTTGGGCATAGATACCCATTATGAATAATTGCATTTTGTTTTTGACAAGTTCATACCGAATGTCTTCTTCGTAGACATGATCTTTCTGGGTTCATTGTCTATACTTGGTTATGAGCCGCCGTCCCTCTTGGCGTATTCCTCCTCCATGGCCTCCTCGTAGAGCCGGTCGGCCTCGAGCTCGGCTTCCGTCTTGGGGCGGGTCGTGCCGGCTCCCGTGTTTGCGCCGGCGCCGGTAGCTTGGCCCGTGTGTTGGTGCTGGCTCTGTCCGACTGTTTCCGTGGTGCTCGACTGAGCTGGTTGTGTCTTTGTAGGTTCGTCTTCCGGGACGACGGGGACGCCTAGTTTGATGGGGAGACCCATTGCGATGACGTAGTGTGGGATGGGGTGTGTGAGTGAGGGTTGTGTGTGTCCGTAGAAAATGGGAGTTGGAACTTGGGTGAGGATGAGGATGAGGATGAGGTTGTGAAGAGAAAGTGTGGCTGGAATGAGGCTGGTGAATGTGATGTATTTATGGGGAAAGAAGTTTGTAAAGTAGGTGAATGGAAGATTCCATGTGGCGTTGATGGGTGCCTTTGCTTGTATGCTTGTCAAACAGTCACCTGTGGCGAATCGTGGGAGGGAGCCAGCAAAGCTGTTCAGCTGACCTAGGGACGCAGCGAGCTCCGCTATTCGCCGTGTGTGGGTAAAGGTGGTTCGGATCCGAACTGATGGTCGGGGACTGGAAGTGTCTTGTCTTCGAGCCGATCCGCCCCACCTGTTGTCTCCGGGAGTGAACTGGACGGAGGTCCAAAGCTACATACACACACCGCAAGCTTGACAAGGTGAGGTGAGGTGAGATGCGTGGGTGGCACCCCGGGCAGGCAGAGAGGCATGGTACGTAGGTTGTGGAATGTACTTCCGTACACGTGTTGTGTTCACCGGGCAGCCGGAATCGAGATTTGAAGTGAGACGATTGTTTTTTGTCTCTTTAATTTAGAGGTTGGCTCATGTTTGTGATCTAGATTGTCTTGAAAGTTTGGAACACTCGTGTCTCTCTCTCTCACTCTGTCTCTCTGTGTGTGTGTCTTGCGCACGTCGGGAAGTGGGTGAGCGAGAGAGGAAAAAATTTAGGAGTTTGAGCTACCGTTCTGGATGAGACATGGCAAACACAGGATGTCTTCCCCGAAAGGCAATTGCTCGAAACTTTGCTTGTAATGGAGAGTCGGGAAAAGTCAAAGCATACTGCGTGCAACGCTTTGGCTCTCGAGTCCTTGAGCAAGAGTTCAAGGTAAGGGGCCATGGGATGTGATTTGCGGATAAGGCCCAATGTTACGGCAGTATTTCTTGCAATCTGCAGTCTGTAGGGATAAAGTCAAAGGGTCCCCGGTGGGATGAGTCTTGAAAGAGTCAGGGACGACATTGCGACATTACCTATGACATTTTGTGAGATAGGGTTCTACGGCAACGTCGTTCTTGGTGAAGTGTGTGTGTGCGCGCCTGGGCCACCAAGAGACACAAGACACTGTCTACTCTAAATCGACTCGACTTGGCCATGTCAGGTAGAACCTGTCTCACTCTCGATTGAATCGCATTGCGCTGCTCTGTCACGTTATCCAGTGACGTTTTTTTTCCTCTTCCAGTTGTCTGGTGACTGGAGGGAAGAGTCGCCATTCTGGTTCGACTCGCGCAGGTCAGTAGTACAGAACAGAATACGGAAGAAGGTGAACAAGGTGCATCCAGATCAGCCAGGAACCATTTTGGATACCCAACGGGCCAGTGAGAGCGTTTGGATTTCGAATTTCCCGTCTCCCGTCGGCGCCGAGCACCGAGCGGCGATTTCCCCCTCGGACTTTTCTTTCTCGATCAACTGCCTTTTGCAGCAAGCAATTGACCGTGCAATTGCATGGCCCCAGTCAGGATGAGCAGGCTTATTCTCTCTTCACCGTTTGTCTTCCCCCCTGTCCTCTCTCTCTCTCTACACTACTATGGTAGGCTTCTAGATGAAGATTAGCCCCCCCTTACCACAGTACGACTCGGCGCTGCGAAATAAACGCCGGAAGACCGGCCGTATGACCCCCGGAGGGTCGGCCGGTTGCACCGCGGACCAATCAATAGCGAAGGTAGACGCAGTGAGAAACCCAAAAGAGGAAACGTAGTTGTGTAAAGCAAAGGTAAAGCGGAGGTAACCATGCAGTTTGGTCCGTCACGGTGCTCCGAGTCGCGTTTAAGGATATAAGAGATACGTACCTGTCCGTCCGTACTCCCGAGCTTCGGTGGGGCCCTCCCGAGCCAACAGGCCAATAAAAAACGCTGGAATCACTGCTTACCTCTGGATCTGGCCAATTATCGACCGGCCGTTGCTGATTACACGTCCGAATGGTAACACCGGGCCGCAGGGTGGCCTGCGACCCCTGCAGCCTCTGGGATCGGGGGCGCTCGAACTGGGCCCTTGCTAATGGCTTTCCGGGTCGCATTGAGCAACAAGCTACACCATAGGCTGCTTTTTTGCTTGTCATGGGCGAGACTCGAGGCAAGCTTGGCCCTTTTTTTCACTTCTGGGGCTTTGTAAGTTTCGTTTTTTGTTGCCCCATTGCTTGACATTCTTCTAGTCAAAGTACCTTGATTCTGCTTAGCTTTGATATGTAAGGGCAAGAAGGGGGGGAGACGGTACCTTGAGAAAAAAAAAAAAAAAAGTCAAACGTTTCCCAGGTCTCGAGGAATTTAAAGTGACGGATAGTTGCCCTCTTACACCACTCTTGAATCTGACACTGGAATGCCAACTGATCTCGTCCCTTCGTACTACTTCATACTACATCATCCAGACCTGTGAACAGCTCGATTCAACCAAAACAAAACAAACAAGCCTGTCTCACTACCCCGGACTCGAGTTCTCTCTCTCGATTCTACTACTAAAAACCGAGCTTACACCTCGCCGATTTACAAGTCGAAAGAAGCTTCTCTTTCCCTCGGACGTGCTTCGACAAAAGGTCTACAGGATCAGGGCGAGAGAAGATTGAGATACATCAGATTAACCCCTACCTGGACTTCGACACCACGCTCCCATCTCGATAACACATTAGCATCAGGGAACCTGCTTTCTTTTCTACCTCTCTCTCATATCAAAGAGAAGAGCTATACTTCACATTACATCACATCACACAAAATGGGTCTCGTCACATTGAAGAACCTCCTCTTCGGTCGCACGCCACCCCCGACGCGCGCCAAAACCATCAACGGCCGCGCCGAGAGCACAATGTCAGATGAGACTATCGTCGACGGCGGCGACCTCGAGAGGCAACCCCTGCTGCGGTCCAGCGACCGGACGGTCTCGACGGCGACCATGGCGACGGCGACGTCAGAAACATCAACGACGTCTACGAGGGTCTCGGAGAGCGACTCTCGCAGCTTCCGCCTCGACGCTCGCATGATTTCCGACGCCACTATTGGCCTGTCCGACGGCCTGACGGTGCCCTTTGCCCTCACGGCCGGCCTGTCAGCACTAGGACAGACAAAGGTTGTCATCTTTGGCGGTATGGCGGAGTTGATTGCCGGTGCTATATCAATGGGTCTTGGTGGCTATCTCGGAGCCAAGAGCGAAGCGTAAGTCCTTTGCCACAGTTCCGACATCATGTCTTGGGGATTATCACTAACACTCAAACCAAACAGTGCATCCTACAAGGAAACCCGCAGCGAATGCACCCGCCTAACCCAGGACGACCCGGCCATGGCCCGCGCCCAGGTCCTCGAGGTTCTCGAACCTTACGACCTGCCCAAACAGACCCTCGAAGACGTAACAGACCACCTCTCGACCTCGCCCCGACTCATCGACTTCCTCATGCAATTCCACCACTGCGAGCAGGAACCGGCCTCCAACCGCGCCTTCATCTCCGCCCTCACCATCGCCGCCGGCTACCTCCTCGGTGGTCTCATCCCGCTGTTCCCCTACTTCTTCGTCCCCGCCGAGGACGTCTACCTGGCGCTCTACATCTCCGTCGCCGTCATGGCCGTCGCGCTGTTCGCTTTTGGCTACGTCAAGACGTGTATCGTTTCCGGCTGGTCTGGCTTCCGGTGCGTGAGACAGGCTGTCGTCGGTGGGTTGGAGATGGTTGTCGTCGGTGGTGCGGCGGCGGGTGCGGCGATGGGGTTGGTGAAAGCTTTTGATCAGCTGGCGCAGTCTGATGATGTGTCTGCGTTGGCGAGCAAGATTTTCTAATACCCTCACACCTATTTTCTTTTTTTCTTACTCATTTTTCGACTTACGTCGTCTGTCTGGACAAGCTCCTTTTTCTTACTTCAATACCTCTACTCTTCTTTTTATTCTCTTTGTCTAGGGTGTACACGGGATGTGTTACACGCCATCAAGGTAGTAAGGAGGCACAGGAAAACTCGGACCGGGGGTTCAGGCCGGGGCAAAGGAAAATCTCCCATGTTTGCATCGTTTAGCGTTTACGCGGTTACTTCGAGGGAACCATATTATCCCAGAGTCGCCTTCCAGATCGAGAAGATGGTTAGGTCGCAGCGATGCGAAAGAGGGCGGCGTTGGCGTCGAAGAGTCTCACGAAACTATGGGATATGACAGCAAGGACAGCTGCAGGGGAAGACAGATTTTACTAGGTAGACCATCTATCAAAATAAGACTGAGACACGTTCTCTCTTCCACAGTTCATTCAATACGTTGGCCAAGTACCGCAACTTGTCCGCTGCCTAAGCCCTAGTAGAACCTAGTCAGGAGATTCATTCTCTCGTTGCTTCATGCACTGGACAGCCGTCGACTAGTGCGACGCTGTTGAAAGTAGTTGTTTCGGGGTCCTTATTCATTCATGTTTGCTTACATCGTTACTTGCTAAAGGAGTTCATTGCTATAGAACAGCGCCTTTACAGACTAGACCTGTCTCTTTCAGTACACACATCTTCGACTCTTCCCCCCGTCTCCTATAGCCAACCTGCTCTCAACTTGCTTATTTCGGCACCACCCAAACCACGCTGGGTGTGGTTGGCAGTGGCTCATAATGCAAAAAGGCCTTCCTCTTGGCGGCTCTCCATCTCACAGCCTTGATAACGCCAATGATGAAGACACCTGAGATGACAGTGAGCCCAACGACAGCCCGAGCAATGTCTTCACGTAATCCCCAAGGAGCTCCAATGGGGCCAGGAGATGAGTCATGGTCGGGATCTAACTGCGTCAGTACGGAAGTCTACGAGGCATTGGGCAGAATAGAAGACATACCTGTCTCTGGTGACAGCAGCTCATCCACAACATGAGCAACCCCACCGCTAATGAGCACATTCTGCATCGTCACCATCTTGTGGTTAACAAAGATACGCCCCTTGGCATCGCCGCTGATGGAAATCTTCTTGCCGCTCATCGTCGTCACCAGCCTCGGCTCTTGTGAGAAACACGTGTGGAACAAGACGTGGTCCGGAACGACGTGGTCTTTAATGAGCGTCTCGAGTGCCTTGTCGTCGAGCGATTCTAGTTTCGAGCGTCCTCTCCAGACGGCCTTGTTCCTCGGGAGGAAAACGGTCACGTCGCGGAGCTTCTCGAGTACACCATCCATGCGGGACTCGGTAACTACGTTCCAGAACCCGTCGAGTTCGCCCAGGCTGCTTGTCTCTGACAGACTACGAGGGAGTACCAGAGCCTGGTTGATTGTGTGAATGACGCCGTTTGCGTGGGGAATGTCCGTGTCGACTGTGTGTACAATTTTCTGGTCGCCGGACTCTACGCGTAGACTGTGTGAACCGTCGCAGGTCGCTGTCAACTTGACGACGGCCCCCTTGGAGATGTTCGTTAGGCCTGAGGATGGTTTGAGTGACGACCGGGCTAGCTGGGTCTCTGTATGAAGTGCGGGGGCCGATGAGAGGTAAGAGCCCTCCAGGAAGTGGTACTGCAAGATTCCCCTGGCGATGTCTGAGTCCATGGAGGTGAGGTTCAGGCCCCATTTTGCGAGATAGATAATCGCATCGTCGGTCATAGCCAGGAGTGTGGAGTTTTGTGCCTTCTCGAAGCTGTCCATGAGCTTCAGGTGTGTAAGGAGGCCGTGGAGCATTGAGGTCGAGCCATGCTTGGCTAGGCTGTCTCCGAGAGACTGTGCCGCCGCAGAAGCTAGTAAGACGGCAGTTGTGGTGTAAGTGAATAGATGCATCGTGATTGAGTATTAAGATAAGTCCTATTCCGGCATTGGATGCGCGTAGGGGTTTGGCAGCCGGTTGCTATATCTACATATACTTTCCCTAGTCGTCCCCGGTCTAGGTTGGGGTCGTCGTCAGTCTCCTACTCCATCAAGTCTCAGACTCGAACTCTTTTCGGGCATTAGACGGCAGAACACCTATCTAAGGTTCAGCTTATGCCGAGTCAAGCTATAAACAGCAAAGCTTACTATGCAGACAAACGGGCGTACTGGAAGGCGGCAGGTTAATCCATGCCTACGATCTCGACCGTTTCGACAAACGGATTCTCAAATCGGCAAAGCACTGAAAACAAGACGACTGCGCTATGTATCAATGGCCAAGCATGTGGTCCTTGAGCAGTACTAGGAGTCATTTGCCCCAGAAAAGGAAGTCTTGATTATGAAGTGCTCGAAGTTGAAAGCTGCTAGTACTCTCGCGAGCGGGAACAATCAACTCGACATCTGATTTGTGCCATAGCGGAGCAGAGAGGAGACACTCTATGAGGTTCATCGAAGGTGATGACTGTCACATACGACCATACCCATTGGAAAACTCGGGATCCCGTCCGCTCTCCCATAGATAAGCCAATGAGGGCCGGATTAGTAGTTGGGTCGGTGACGACCAGCGAATACCTGGTGTTGTATGTTTTTCTTTTTTTGTGCTGTCATCTGCTGCCAAGGGTACTGGAGACCTATCACTGGACGCAGGTGAGACCGTTTTGGCTGGCCCTTGCACATTCGTTTCAATCAGGAGGAGCTCTCTGATGAGGTATGAGGAACGCTAGATTAGCCTTGCCCACATTGACTCAAACGTATCCTCGCGATCTAAACTGACTGGCCATACAACGCGGCTCAACCTTTCCCTGGCTCCAGACCATGCAACAACGCCGGTGATCTTGGCCCAATTCCGAATGAAGCTGGCCAATTCCTCCAGTATGGAATCGAGGCGCTTGTCGCAGATAAATAGCTGGGCATGAACCACACTTAATGACCCGACCAATGCTTTCCAGAGCCACGTGTCGCGTGTCTCTCGGTTCATACTCTGGAGATGGACCAAGTCGTTTCTCAAATCCTGTGTAAGAATCCGGAGTATATGGTAGTGCAGTTGCTTCTCCATCGGCAGACCTTGATTCCAGATTCCAAGAACAGCAATCAGATACATGCCGATGACCCCGCAGAATCCAGACCACGACGATATGAAAGCTTGTTTTCCATGAGAAGGGAGCTGAATTTTGTCTGCGAACGATGAAGTATGGGCGTTGATTACTGCGAACAGTAGTTCAGATGGGCTACTACTATCCCAACCCTTCCAGGGCGTGGTAAGAACTACGTCAGCAGATGCTTTCGCATGTCTTAGGTCTGCGAGCTTGGTAATGTTCCGAAGAGCTGTGATAATCGGGTACATATCAATGTTCTTTGGCTTTCTGCCTTGTGGAACAGAGCCGAAAAAGCGAGGCACCATTCGGAGGGCCCTGAGACGAAGATCTTGGTCACTAGCTTCGTGAATATGCCATTCGTGCGTCAAGTGGGCTGACTCTCTAGGATCTGAGCGTGGCTTTTTGCCTTGAGATGAGGTGTAAGTAGTAAGACTGTCGTTTGAGCGGCTCTTCAAGCATTGGACGACGTTGTAATCTCTGGCGAGGTAAAGAATCAATGAACATGCTCATCGTAGTCTATCATTTGAGGTTTCTTACAAAATAAGGTAGCGATTTGTCTGGTCAAATTCAATGTCATCAGTCATATGTTGACTGGGGGTTTCTGGTCGCTGTGAATCCAGGTAAGTCATGAGACCTTTAAGATGAGATTCGGCAATAGCCAGATTTCCTAGGCAGCACTAAGAGTTTGAATCCAGGTAAGTCATGAGACCTTTAAGATGAGATTCGGCAATAGCCAGATTTCCTAGGCAGCACTAAGAGTTTGAGATGTCAGCATGGCAGGGTATAAGGGCGAAATAGCTTTACAGCACCTCTATAAAGCAGAGCGTGCTGATGTACTTTGCGCACCGCATGACATCTCGTTCGTGCGGCGTGGCGACAAGCCAAGAATTGACCCGCCGTATGCTCTGGATCTTTTGGGAGACGAAAGTGGATTCAAATGAAGAGAGATCGCCTTTATTCCATGCGTAGTAAAGACCGGACAGCAACATCGTATTTTGCAGGACATCCGCATCGGAAGTAGCTGATGCAATGCTACAGGGCCTCTTAGTACATCGCATCCGGGTACCGCGATAGACACTTACCAATCATCCGGATTTCCGGGTAACAGACCTTGAGAGCGGCCAGCTTGGAAAACTATTTTGCTATGATCAGATACAGCCAACACATATTGCTAGCTTAGCATGAGGGAATAGACTAACAGTAGTGAAGAAGTTCCTTCGACCTAAGGGGCATGTTGATGGGCAAAGTGTCGAAGGGATCAAGAGCTTCCCACGGGCTTACGTAAAAAGGACTCGGTATTGTGAGCACTTGAATAGATGGCACCTCTGATGATACAGCGATCTCCTTGAGGCTATGAGAGTGGTGTGTGACGGGTCGTGTATCCTCAACGGCCCATGGTGCTTGTTGGCCAGGGCAAGGGCCAGCTCTACGTTCGCGGAGCGGAATCTTCGGCACATACGAACATGACTGCTCTTTGAGTCTACAATTGAAGCTGTCGGACAAAATCATTAATCGTGTGTTCCTGACGTGTTATGACTTGTGATGAAGCCTCGTGGGGTAAGTTGTTATGATGTGATTGGATCCTCCCAGACAGCAGTCGTCGAGATAGTCTTCATATCCACTATCTGGCCGCGTAAATGGACACATTAGGAAGGTAGCTTACCAAGATGGGCGCCTCTCATCGCATCGAATATGCTTTTGGCGGCATGATACGCACCCTGTCCGGCTTCGTGTATTGGTGCGTCTCGCCATGGGCTGATCCGGCTCAGGGGCCATGGTTGGTATGTGAGCGGCCGGGATCAAGGCTCGGGTGAAAGCTTTCTTCTCTGGCCTTTCGACTTGGCCATAAACAAAAGAAAGCAAAGGAGTAGGCGACGAAATTCGATTTCATGTGAGATTTAAGCAAAGGCAAGTATATGCCGCTATTCCCGTTTGGGCCGAATAACCTGTCAGCCGGCGAATAATCGTTGGCCTCCTTTTCCCTACGATTGTACGGGGTTCGGCCAACTCCTGCACATCCCTTGGAGAACCACAATTTACCCATAACCAGAAGATGTTTTTTACGCTCGAGTATGGCAACTATCGATTATGAAACGAGTAGAAAGTGGCTTCACGAAACTTCTGGAAGTCTGCCTGCTGATCCTACTAACAAGCCGCTAATAGCATTACCAGGCAACAGATTGAGCAACTTGACTTAGGGATTTGGTATAAAGATCGCTTCAATTCCTTACAAGAGGAAAGAAAAAAACCGTCTTTGCTTTATTCATCACTCTTAGTCAACATAATTCTACCAATTTCAGACAATGGCCTCTCTGCCTTTCAGTGCCCGTCCCCACGAGGTCCCTGCTTCAGCAAATCTCACGCCCACCAGCATCTCAATCCCTGATGCTGAGATTGATAGTTTGAAGACGCTTCTCAAACTTACGCCCATTCCCAAGCCGAATAGGTTTAACTCGAATGATGATGGGTCTTTCGGCCTTCATCGAGATGTCCTCTCAGCCTTGGTCAAATATTGGGAGCACGACTACGACTGGAAGAAATGGGAGTCTACTCTCAACACTATTCCTCAGTTCAACGTGGACGTTACCGATGACGACTCCAAAACATACAAGATCAACTTTTTCGCTCTTTTCTCCAAGAACCCATCTGCAACCCCCATTCTATTCCTACACAGCTGGCCAGGCTCTGTTGTAGAGTATCTCCCGATCCTGCGCAAACTTCAATCTCAATACGATCCCGAGTCGCTTCCCTATCACGTCATTGTGCCTCACCATGTCGGATTTCCGTTCTCTGACGCACCGCCCATCGACAGAGACTTTTCGCATCTCGATAACGCTCGCCTCATGTCAAAGATGATGCATGCGTTGGGCTTCGACAAGTCTGGCTATATTTCCTCAGGCGGTGACCTCGGCGGTTGGTCAGCGCCCGTCATTGCGAATCTCGACCCAGCGTGCAAGCTCGTCCACATGAGTATGCTGAATGTTTCACCGCCTGCCGGTGAAGATGTTGAGGCCGGTGTTCAGGCAGGGCGGTATACTCCAGACGAGGTAGCAGCCTTTGCCAGAATGGCCGAATTCGCAAAGACGGGGACCGCATTCATCCAACTCGACGGAACGAAGCCGGCCAGTGCAGGGTACATTATCGGAAGCAACCCAGTGGCACTACTCGCCTGGATTGGTGACAAGATGATCAAGTGGTCTGACAAGACACCAGATAGAGATCTCATCATCACGAACCTGGCCCTCTATTGGTTCACGGGCTGCTTCCCAACGTCGGTATATATCCATCGCGTGGTCTTTGAGAACGTTGAGCTCATGATGAATGGCTGGAAGACTCTCAAAGTCCCACTTGGATATTCAGCATTCAAGTATGAACTTGTCACTGCACCTGGAAGGTGGATCAAGCAAACAGACCAGGTGAGCTGGTATCGAATGCATGAGAGAGGAGGCCATTTTGCTGCGCTTGAAGAGCCAGAGACTTTATGGAAAGATGTGGAGGATTTTATCGGGAAGTTTTGGCCAACGACCTTGTGAGGCCTGCTGTGTAACCAGCCTTCGAAGGTGTGCATGTGATCTTGTTGCGTGGAAGTAAACATCGTTGATGAGAATGCTTTATAGTTGTAGAGTCACACAAGAGATTGAAATGATATAGGGCGATGTGCTCAACAACTCGTGTTTCTGTCTAATAAGAAGGAGTTTACCCAATCATCGAAAGTATTCCGATGTTGATTGAACTGGGCACACTTGCTGCCTCAGAGGCAACAAAATACCAGACAGCTCTCTGTTGCAACGGTGTCGCCGACGATGAACTACGCTTCTGTGTTGTGGTCCGATACGAGTCTTCGCCAGTGCTTTCATGTCGCTATGTCACACGATATCCACTGTACGCACGCTGCCACTCGCATACATGCTTCTCTGCAAATCGTTCGGTGGGGTGGTTGACTGGATAAAGAAGCATCCGATCCGTTCATACTTTCCAGGTTGCTGCTTACTTTCCCTCAGAACCAGTGAAATGAGTTTGAAATTGTCACTCGGTCCGTCTTGGATGAAGCTCATCCTAAGGCATAGGATAGCTGCGCCCGGAAGAACCTGATCTGGTCCAGGGCTGTCCAAGGCGTAATCAGCATCGATACGGAACCGACCGGTTGACACAACGACATAGTGAACCGTGGTCTCCTTCCCATGTCGAATCACGGTGTCTCGTTCAAGCACTCCATCCACTATGAGGCCGGATATTCTCAGAAGCCCATGGGCTATGCCGCCATAATTATCCACGCCTGACGGAGTGACTTGGCAGTCCACAACGGTGCTATTGTGCTCATATAGGCCTCTAGAGTCTTCCTCGTAGTCAAGGTCGGGATCCCAGAAAAACACTGCGTCCCACACATCAACACTCGAGTCGACACTAGCCCAAGACCAGGTCGGTGCGGTCCGAGGACTTGGTCTCGGGTTTTTGAGGGTAGTCGGTATGATCCAAAGCAAATCATCGTTAATGGTGTCTTTCCATATCCCTGCCAGATACGTAGACTTTCGCCTGGCAGCCATATGCTTTGCGAGACCTCCGATAGCTGGCAGGCGGTCTGAAATCATGGTGAGATCAAGCGCGGTATATGAGGTGATCAGGGTGCGCCATAACCTTGCAATAAAATAAGAAGCTACATCCGCCCAGTCGTACCCTTCCATCTCGCTATCAAGTGCGGAAGAGTGCAAGAGTTTGGTGATTGCGATCGGGACAGAGTCGGACGACCCGTAGTACTGGATCCGGCCGCATTCACAGAACAAGTCAGAACGGCACTCAAAGAATATCTCGTGGGGACCGAAATGAAGAACGCGGGTCGAGAGCATACGCTCCTGGTACACCCAAGCTCTAGTAAGCAAAGGATGAAAGGAGGATGTAGGATCTCCTTGGTCTGCCGTAACAACGACGGTGACAACCTCAAGATGATGGTCCACTCGGCGACGGAAAAATAGTCGATAGGGATCACCTGATGTTGTAGGCAAGGTAGTGTCTGACACCTCGAAGTCCGGTGCGTTGACAAATAGTCCACCATCGCCATCGTGTGATTGCGTGGCAGCAATGGTCAAGTAAGCGTTACTATAAACATCGGCCATCTTTGCAGACTCCGCTTCCCAGTCAGACTTGCAATCTTGGATGATACACAAAGAGTCGATCCAAATGTACTTGATACCGAGCCTTCTGGTGAGTAAGACTGCGTCTCGAAAGGTGTTCGAGAGCTCCGTCAACCGTATCCCTGTCTGGCGTTGGGCAAGAGTCGCTTTTGTGCTGGTTATGATCTGTTTTCGGCCCCAGCAATGACTCAGGGCTGTATAATTTGCATGCTGGCTCTTGGAGTCAATGAGTCGGATGACGTCTTTGTCGTGTCCAACATCTAACACCCGACTTGGGAGCAATGGCTCTTCAGGAGACTCGCAAAACCCATGCGAGCTTCCCAGGCATATGTCAATCCATGACTTGATAGTGTCAAGAGCGGAATCTGAATCAGTGCCTTTTGATGTTCTGCGCATGGTAGGTATCGATTCACAAGTGGCAGGAATGGGATCTGGAACATCTCCGTTAACGCAAGAAATCTAAACATGGCAACTCGGTTGTGATGTACTTACCGCCCTCAAGCGAAAATATCTCAACTTCAAAACGACTCCCGTCTTTCATGTTGAATCGAATATGTTTGTTAACGTCGGTTGGTTCTTCGTCCTCGAAGTCAGCCGGCAACATATAGAAGAATTCTATTTCGCAGTGGATGATATTGGACTCGTGAACATTATGCTGTGCGAAGCAGCCTTGACACCCGATCAAGAGGACCTTACAAGAACGACAAGAAGCTGCAGAGCTTTGGAATTTGTCCCATAATAAGCCTGACACTTTATGGATTCGGTTGCCTTTCATGGCTTTATCCCAAATATCCCCATGGCCACGGAGATCGTTGCAGATTGAGCAGACCATGACGACGAGGATTGCTGGGCATTTGTAACTGGCAAAATGTTCAAGGCGCCCGGGTAAATGGTAACTACAGCTTGTTCAACATCATGTGACCATATGACATTCTATTGGCCTTGTTGATGTTGTTGGCATGCATATGGTCATGCGCAGGCTGACTGCATATTGTTTATTACTCGCCTTGCTGGGGCACATAGCCTGATTGATTCATAGCTTGATTAGAATCAAGGACGTTTTTCAGCGACGGATTTCGATTATGGATGAACGCTTATCACACGCGTTGCATGCCTTGATCTACATAGTGTTTATGAACCTTTACACGAGAGAACGCCTGATCGCAATGCGGGAAAACTGACAATGGAAACAGTGGTAGTACACAACAGAAGGACTTCTGCCTAAAAGTCCCTGCTCTCTCCAATCTCACACACATCAAACACGCCAGTCGGGGGCAAGCCCTTCTTCTTCATGGCCTCCTGGAGAAGCTTTGGCGGCTCCAGAACCTCTTCCATGGTCAGAGCCCATGTTCCCCAGTGAATACCCATGGCGCGCTGACACCTGGTATCCTGGAAGATCTCGACGGAATCGAAGGGGTTGGCGTGCATCCCTGAGAAGGCTACGCGCGGGTAGTATGCGCCGATGGGGATCAGGCCGAGGTCAAACGGCCCACGGAACTCGCCGATCTGCTTGAACTGCGGGCACATGGGCAGGTGGGCGTACTTTGGACCGTAGTCATCGACGTCGAGCGGGGTCCACGGCACGGCGCGGTATCCCGTGTCACCGCCGAACCAGACCGACTTACCGGCCGACTTGACGCCCCACGAGGCCCAAAGCGTCGTGTCCTTGTCAAAGGGCGTGCGGGCGGAGGTGTGCTGGCAGGGGAGGCAAGAGACCTGGGCGGCGATGGACTCGGGCGCCTCGTCGACGCCCTTATCGATGTTGAGGGTGATTTCGGCGTCCTCCCACCAGTCGAGCTCCGTGACGTTCTTGAGGCCGGCGTTCTTGAACCAGGATTCCAGGCCGAGGCCGACGAAGAAGTGCGCCTTTGGGTTGTGCTTCTGGATGGTGAGGACGGACTCGTGGGAGAGGTGGTCGTAGTGGCTGTGGCTGATGAAGACAGCGTCAACAAAGGGTATGTCGGCGAGGTCGCAGGGTCTGGGGGTGAAGCGTTTGGGACCCATGAATGAGAAGGGCGAGCAGCGGTCTTCGAAGACGGGGTCGAAGAGGACGCGCAGGCCGGAGGGGAATTCTACATAGTAGCAGGCGTGACCCAGCCATGTCGCGCGGAGCTTGTCTGAGGCTGTGCGGTTGGGCAGGAACTCTGGCTTCTTGACGGTCACAGTTGGCGGCGTGGTGTCTGGCCACTTGAGCTCACCCGTCACTTGCGGCCTGTGATGGTTGTTAGATGCAATTGAGCAGGGGTGAGAGCGGAAGTGAGGCCGGCACAACCTGGCTGTCAGAATGAGAATGAGATTGTTACGTACCAGAGGACATGGCGGACCATCTTGGAAAAGCCAATGCCATCACCAAAGGAAGGGTGAACGTTCTTGAAGCCGACTCTGTTGCCATTCTTCGTGACGTGGTGAGGCTTGGACGAGGCATCCTCGGGCGAGGGACCCAAGTCGGGGATCTTGGTGACGGTGGTTGAATATGATGCCATTGAGAGGGCGAGCACAGAGGCTGGTGTTGCTGAAGCCTTTTTAGTACCGGGACGTATGGGCGGTTGCTGGAAGAAAGTGCGGAAGAACTGTCTGAATGTGGACATGGTTCATCAGAGGCCCTCTTGCCCGAGAGGTGTGAGGGGATTCCGAGATATATAGATAGAGTTGGACTTTGCTACATATGCAGAATGTGACACAAAGAAGAGGAGAGGGAGGGAGGGGAGTGGAAGAGACAAGCTCAAAGTGGTTGCAATCCGCGCTCGCCGGCCGGGGAATTGGACTAGACGGAACGGGATCCACTCGGCGTTAGCGAGAGCAATGAGCCCGGTCCGAGAGAGAAAAGATGAGGTAGGCAGTCAACGATACGTATGCATCACTCATGCGGTGAGGCTTGGTTTAAATCTGCACGTCAAATGTGCGATTGCGAGCCACAGGAATGACTGCCTATGAGCCATTAACCCAATGGCTATGAAAAGTGAGCTGTTCTCCCTGTCGCAACGCGTCAAGCATCTGCGCGTCACTACCCTCCGTCTAAGTCATTGTATGTAAGTGGGCGCATCTGATTGGCACGTCAGTGGAGATACCGGCTTTTAGGACAACCAAAGTCCCCTAACCCGCCCACGGTTGTGCCCGTCTCATTGACAGTCCAATGGTCCATACGACTAGACCAGCCCTGAAAGTTCAAGCCACCGACTCCGGCTTCCAAAGTCCCATCTCCTTCATCCACCAACTTAAGGTACTTTGGGTGAGCTATTGCACTTGGCTTGCTTCGGTGCGAGTGCGGGGGTTGCTAAAGTCCGGCGGTACCGACACGGTGGAATGATCCCTCCGTGGTGCGGGATACCGGGGCAACGACGCTAGTCCATTTTCGTAACCCACCTCTCTACCTAGGTAGTCACCGTCAGAAGTCATCGTTTTTGAAAGTCAAGACAATCAGGTACCCTAGAACAGGGGACCCAAGTACCCCAGAAGAATTGACATGCAACCTTTAGCCAACTGCGGGCCGCCTCTTCATCCATACTGTGGTACACCACATTTACGAATTACGGTTATTGTCCACATATGGCAGAGTTCACGTAAGCATGCATGCAAAGCAACAAGAGGCATGCTGACTGGAACAAGCGGGCATGCGGCCGCATGCCCGCATTCTAAATGGACCGCACTCGCATCTGATAACCTGACTTCAAAGCGACTCACATTCACCACTTCTGAGCAAACCACATCTTGGTCTTTGGCAGCAATTTCGTATCCCGTCATTGAAGTCCTCTAGACAGCAATGTAATGAACGCCTGGGGGTGATCTCTAACATGATGTTCTACACCGAGGCCCACGAGAAACGACCATGACCAGCAAAGTCGAACACCCCCTTATCTTGCTCCCACTCCTGCCTCTCCATAGCCCTCAGGTATTGTGTCTTGGCCCTGCGCATATTGACCGGGTACTTGTATCTCATCGCCAGCTGCAGCCGCTGGCTCTCCTGCTCCTCCTCGCGACGAGCCCAGTCTTCCTGTTGTTGAGCCCAGTCTTGGCGTCGAGTCCAGTCTTCCAGACGACGAGCCCATTCTTGTTCAGAGCAGATGTAGTCTGCCGTCTCCTCTGTGTCCCCCTCTTCTTGTTCTTGGCTGTCGTCGTCGTCGTCGTCGTCCATTACCTCCGCGCCATCGATCTCATCTGGTAGTTCCATGACACCTCTTACGAGCTCAAGACTAAGGGGTCGCGGTTTGCCGAGGGACGGAAGCGATACGGTCCTCCCTAATGGCTTGACTTCAGTCGTGGTGACACTCGAAAAAACTCCCATGGTACTTGCTACTGCTTTCTCCTCGCTTGGGCCAACCCACCGCCGTAGCTTTGCAAGGTTATGCGGAATGCGTTCAAACCGAAACGTCTTGATGACGAACTGGTTCCGAAGACAGTGTAGTTCAGCCTCGCAGTCCTGCACAATACCAGCGTACAGGATCCGTGTAGGTTTATGTCCGCAATTCTTCGCCTCGCTCTCCATCTCATGGGCCTCTCGCAGCCAGCCTTGGATTCGCCGTTTTGCGTCCCAGGGTAAGCGGTGCTCCTGTACGAGGCGGTGGACGTCCCGGTACTCTGCCTCTTCGAACCCGTCGCGCCATGTTTGCACCTTTTTGTCCAAGAGTGGAATGCTGCTTTGTCGGCGTAGTGCGAGAATTGCTGATTCCCAGACTGTGGCGTCGGGATCTGCTGCTGGGTTGTTTGGCGGGGTAAGTTGTTGGTGGTTTGTCGGTGTAAGAGAGTTCATGATGGCTGCGGCTGGCATTCTTATATGTCCTCAAAATATGGATCGTTGTCTTCTTGGGTTGTGTACAATGAGGTTTGAGTATGTGAGATATGGTGGCTATGATGTCGTACAGATAATGTGCCATGAACAATCCCATCAGTTTATCGACTCGCTTTTTGTATGCTCTCCATCAACCTTTGCGTCTCGAGGCGGAGATAGCTACGGAGTTGTGCCTCTCCCACGCAAAACTCTGCCGCGTAGAACTAGACGAACGGGCCCTAAGTTTTACCTAGAGGTCTTCAGAAACCAACTCAAGCCATAGAGGTGCAAAAAAAGTCAAAACAGTAAACCAAGTTCAAATTCATCGAGACTGTGATGTCCCTGTCGCCGTCATTATCCGTCATCATGGTATCTGAGAAACAAGAACGAAAGCAAGCCCTGAACTAAAAGTTGCGCCCGAACGGAACGCTCATCAAGAAAACCAATAGACGATCCTCGCAAAGGAAAGCGTCCATCAAGCCACCCAAAGAACCTTGCAAAGCAGATCTCACATGTTAATATTCCGTGTGTCGTCGCCCATTTCCTCGCTGCCCAATTCTGCCTGGACCTCATCGGCCACGAAACCCTCGTAGTCGTCAAGGTTCTTCTGTACATGAATCTTGAACTTGATGACATCGTTGAGCATGCGGTCAATCTCTGTGTGTAGCTCTTCTCGCAGGGAGTTGGCGCGAAGCACAAGCTGTTCGTATCTAAGGTAACGGTCAGTACTGACGTACAAGTAGCTGCGATTCACTTAGACTTACTCGATGCTGGTATTCATCTCACGTTGCTCCATCAGCTGTACCGACTCTGACAAAGTGGCTCGCATCTTGGCGAGCTCCTTTTCCATCTTTTCGATCTGGGCATCAGACGCCATCTTTTGTGTCGTTGTAACCTGTAAAAGTTGTTAGTATACGGTCTATTGTCTGGATTCAGCATACCGCATACCTCCTTGGTTTTCTCATATTCTTCCTCAGCAGCGCGGACACGATGCTCTAGAGCCTCAACTTCGTTACGCTTGTCTTCGATTGCCTCCTTGATGCCATCAAGCAGATCATGATCTTTCATCATGTTGTCCATGGCAATGGTTCTCCTTTCAGAAATCTCCTTCCTTAGCGTGAGGAAGCTGTTCTTGACCTGTCCGCGCAGGTCGAGGTTGAGAATGTGGGCCGCCTGGTAACCAGTGACGGGGTCAGCAAGCAATCGGTCGCTCGAAGAAACGCCGCTAGAGCCCTTCAGCTGTGAAGAGCTGAAGTCCGGCCCATCGTTGACCGTTACTTGTAATTCGTAGTCTCTGCCGTTGGCATTGACTGCGGTTGCAGGTATAAGCGCAATCTGATACGCCAAAGTGTTGTATCTGTCAACCATTCTCTCGAGTTCATCCAGTTTCCTGCTTGCCTCCATCTCCTTTTCGGCGACCTTCTTTTTGACGTCCTCCAATCTTTGCGATGCCGACTCGATTCCCTTCTGAAGACGTTCCCGCTCAGCAGTCATGCGGTCGATATCCTGCATGCTGATGCCGAGATCGTCCACAGCTTTTTGAAGTCCTCGTCGTTCGTCCTCTACCTCTCTCAGCTCCTCATTGAGCTTATCAAGCTCCTCGTGTAGAACGTTGATTCGAGTTTCGTACTTGTCGGATCTCTGCATGGCAAGCGCATTGTACTCCTCGAACTTGATCTTGTCCTCTTCCATGATCCTGAAGTGATTGTCGAGTACCGCGGGATCCGGTGTAGACTTTTCAAGGTCTTCAATTTCTTGCAAAAGTCGGCTGTTCTCTGCCTCGAGCATTTCAAGCTCGGAGGTGTACTTGGAGTTGGACTGCTCGAAAGCGGCAGCCATCCTTTCAATATGAGGGGCCAGTGCTCGGTTGGCATCGTCGTCGTCTGCGTCCTCGTCCATGGCAAGCCAATCCCTATATGCCTTGCTCAAAAAGTCGAAAATGATGCGATCTCCGGTGACGTCGATGCCGCTTTCGAGACAAGCGTCGTCGTATCGGCTACAGGCGTAGCCATCCAGCATCTGCGCCAGCTGCATCATCCAATGCAGCAATCCCAGGAAAGTGCTCCAGTTCTGACCACCAACAGCGGCAATCTGACTCTTTGTAATGCTTCTCTCGTATGGGTATCGCAGCTGCTTCAAAATAGGTGGCACTTCTTGGTCGATGTTCTTCTGGAACTTGTGGCTCGGGTCAATCCGTCTGTACAGCCATTGGAACATGAAGTTGAAATCCTTTTGCGTAGGGGACTTGATGATGTTTTGCGATAGAGTGTGTTTCATCTGCATTTCGAAGTTATTTTGGGCGAGGTAATCCAGCAGCTCTTGGCCTATTCTAGCCTGGTATGATCTGTCTCGCAGCGGGCGGGGGTCTCGCGGTACGCCAGCAGGCTGTGGTGCTTGCTGGAAGAAACTCTGGTGGCTCATGGGTCCGGCGGTTGATGTCCTTGCGCGGTACACGCTGCTCCTTCTATCGTCTTGTGAAGATCGTCCTGGCGCAGGGGTCGGCGCAAAGGACTTGTCGCGCATCGATGATGTTCGCTTCACCGAGGACAGGCCAATGTCTGCCAAGTTCGTTCCGGATGATGAGCGCTGGAACATGGGCTGGCTAGGTCGCGATAACGCCAGAGATTGTCTGGAGCCGGACATGGATCGGCCATGACTGTTTGAGTAGGGCGCGCCTGCGCCGACGCCTGAGGCGGATCGCTTCATCGCTGATGCGGGTTGAGGTAGGCCGGTGTTGTAGTTAATGCCTCCTAATGTCTGCTCAAGATTTTAGCTAGGGCGAACCTCTAGAGGCCACGGTATTGCGACAGGCTGATGTTGAGGAAAATGCTGACCTCTCTTGGTCTGCGCACACTCCACAGGCCGGTGTCTTGCGACATGGTCGGAGGGAGCTGAACAGTGGTAGTTCTGGTGCCAAATCGCAGTCAACGGACTTGCGAAAAGACTTGCGATCCAGGAGCCAACAATTGCGAGTCGCGGGAATAGAAGCAAGCTGTTGCGCGACGAATTCGAGTAAAGATGTATGATTTGCGCGTGCGTGCATGCGTCGTGTGTAAGGAGGTGCGAGTGGGATGGCGGATCGGGTAGCAGATGCAAAAGTGTTGTTGCTCTGGAGCAAGTAAACAAATTGTTCTGCCCCTCGTTCATTGGTTGCGCACTGCCCCTCTCAAACAATGGGCGATGGGTCCCCGGCTGCCACGGTCTCGGTGATGCCCAACACGTGACGGTGAGCGAAGGACATCAGGACGGTACTTGCTCGGCATTTCTCCGCATTAGGTAATCGCTCCAGACATTTCCCCAGCCGCTGCTCTACGCCGAAGCCTCGGCTCAGGATCCGGCCACCCATTATTGCACGTATTCAGGTCGCGAAGGGACCTCCGCCATTCCTTTCAACTGCACATGCCTTTTATCTTTGCCTCCATTACCACGAAGCGTACTCTTCACTGAAGAAGTTCGCGGCGAGGTTGACAAGGCGACACATTGAAGATGGCGATACGAGAGGATATCGTCGCATCAGCGGTATGGTGACCTCAATCCCCATGTCCAATGACGGCCTGCTAACTTGTAGATAGACGCAGTGTTAGTACCAACGAACCGATGTATCGCGCGCAACCCTATACTGACTGAACTGTAGTTCTGCAGGACCCGAGCGTTGCAAGCTCGTCCATCGAGAGTCGCATGTCTTTCCTACGGACTAAGAACCTAACCCAAGAAGAAATCGATGCCGCTCTGTCGAGAGTCGGCGTCCAGGCTGCACCCGGTCCGATGCCGGTCGCCCAGCAGCAGCAACAGCAACAACCACAACAATACTACCAACCAGCATACCCTCCTCAGTACCAGGCATGGCAACCTCCACCACCGCCCCCTAAGAGGGACTGGAGGGACTGGTTCATCATGGCAACAGTCGTCGGTGGTTTCAGCTACGGCGCATACACTCTGGCTAAGGTACGGACTTCCACACCTCTGGTTCTGCGAAAACAGATGACTGACAAATCTTAGCGATACGTGGTTCCTCTGATTGCGCCGCCGACACCCGAGAAGCTCGAACAGGATAAGAAATCGATTGAGGAGCAGTTTGACAAGGCCTTTGGACTTGTCGAGCAACTGGCCAAGGATACGGAGGAACTCAAGGCTACGGAGCAAAAACGGACCGAAAAGCTGGACACGGCTTTGGAGGATATTGAAAAGATTATGACGGAGCTGAGGAACGCCAACCAGCGACGGGAACTCGAGACACAGCGCGTCAAGGACGACGTGCAGATCCTCAAGGATTCTATTCCCAAGGCTATGAACACTCAGAAGGACCTTACCGACTCGAGACTGAAGGAGGTCAACACCGAACTCACTAGCCTCAAGACCCTGATCACACAACGCATGACCGCCGCGTCATCATCGACACCCGCCAACGGTCTGCGAACTGGTGCGACCGCTACGCCCGCCCCCGCTGCAAACAGCACGGAGGCTGCTGCAAGCACCGAGACCACCAAGCCCGCCAGCACGCCGACCTTCAACCGCCCTTCGCCGTTCAGCGGTGCCACAGGCGCAAAGGCCTCCATTCCGGCCTGGCAGATGGCCATGGCCAACAAGGACTCTGCCGCCACACCGGCAGCAACAAACGGAACCTCGTCCGACAGCAACTCGCAGCAGCAGGCATCCGCTTCTTCATAAATGGACTAGTAAGAGAACACAATGTACAGTATGCATCTATGATTTCATTGCGTCATGAACAGGAGAGCGACGGGTATAATTGCGCGTGTGGAACTTTTGGGGAAAAGAAATGCCTGTACAGTGTAGCAAAGGTAGATATAAGCCTTGAAGCTGAGTACGTGTATGCGGCATAGAACATCCGAAAGCGACCTTTGTGTGTGACAGTTTCCCACGTGCAAGAGCCAGAAGCCCAGCCCAGCCCCGGACCGCAGCTTCAGGGTTCAGAGGGGTTGTGAACGTGTGAGGCTGGCCAGGGTTCCATTGACGTGTTTTACATGGGCTGTTCGCTATCTTGGGTGTTGCCATAGTTGTCCCGTAAGCGAGGAGGGTCTCACGGGGGTGAAAAGGTTCGTTGGCGAGTGTGGGTGTGCGTGTCAACGTCTCACTGCGAAATGAGCCCGTCTCATTCACTTTTAGTACCTTTCTTGCCAGATGAGAAGCGTTCATAGATGGACCAGGCTGTCACGCAGTCAGTTTCAAGAGTCGATTACGACAGACTGATTGGCAATGTGCAGTTTGAGAGGATCCGCATAGATGTCGGTCAGGCAGAGAAGAAAGAGAGCGTGAGTATTAAGAGAGAATGTGTGGAAAACGAGGCCGGTACAAATAGCTGTAAAACGCAGGTATCTGGCGATCTTCGCAAGCTCGACTGAAATGGGGTGGCGTCGCCCGATAGTGTTGCGGGAGCGCGCCTGAACGCCGGGGGCCCACTGCCGGAGCCGTAGGATTGGGTGCATTTCTTCTTCCATCTAAGCGACGTTAATCATCCGAGAGGGGGGCTAGAAAACTAAAAACGGAGCATGAGAGCATGGGGTTTTAGTGTCTTGTGTGGGATGTGGTGTCTCTTTTCCTTTCGTGAGTCGCGCTTGATTCAGCAACGGGCGCAGATCTCACGCTAATAGTGTACCGCAATGGAGCTTGAAGCTCCTTGCTTCAACCCACAGACGATGGAGTCGGATGTTTGAGAAGCAGATTGAAGAATGCAGTGTTAGAATGAGGGGTGAGAGAGGATTGAAGTGTGTATCTGAACTTTTGAAGAGTGGATAAGCATCTATCAGTCTAAAATGCCAGCCACCGTGAAGCATAGCGGAATGCTCCGAGCAGTAGCTTTGGGCAAGCCTACAGGTGGCTTCTAGGTACGTTGTGAGTAAGGTAAGTATCAGTTGTCAACCACATGGAGGAGGCCTTCGGAGCAAATGTCAAAGAGTGTTTTAATGTCAAACACTGACACATTCGTCTTTCCCCTCCACCCTTCAAGGAACTATCTGAACATGAAAGCAAAAAGAAAAAAAGAAGAAAATCGCCCAGCTTTGGTGCGAAACGTATGCCCCGCGAAATCTAGTCAGGAATACGGACTAAGGTAGAACCGCAGACAGCACTGGAGCGGGCCGAAGAACAAGCAACGAACATGTTCCACCCTTTTCCGCAACAATTTCCTCTTTCGACCGTCCTTGCGGAGCGAACAACAGCAACCCCCCCGGGAGCCGCCGCTGCTGATGAAGCAAAAGCCAACGGCCCTCATCTTTTCCTTCGGCTTGTCGACCGTCTGGTCTTTTGCCTCCTTACCAGCAACGGTAATACTCAAAACATGACGCCTGCCAGGCTCATCCCCGCCACTGCATCTGCCATCTCAATCGATTGCCTCCCCTCTCCCCGACGGACGGGCTGAAGCCTAAGGTAGCCGTATGCTTCTCAGAAGTGAATACCAAGTGCTAGGTACCTTACCTGGTTGATTCAGACTACTTTCTCATCAACCGTCCACTCACGGCTTCTGGAACGCTTCGCATTGCGCTGGGCCTCCTCGTGAGTGTCCTCCTGCGCGCCACTCATATCCAATCTTCGCCCTCCTTCGGCCCCTCGGCCTCTTCTAACCCTCCACTCCATCCATCATCGCTGCTGGAATTGCTCCGAAACCCCAATGGATTAAGAATTTGGAGTGGCCATGAGGATATTCCCCAATTTGGAGAACTACCCTCTCTAGGGATACAACACCATTAGTAGTCTTTGGCACATGATGCAAGGGTTAAAGCGGGAAGCTAACGGCGAGGGTAAAACTCGCCTTAGACCGCTGCGCATTGGTTTGATGGCCACAAGCGATTAGTCGAGGGAAAATCCCATCAACCGAGGCACCTTTTTGGGCTAACCGACATGTCATCGATTTGTCTGCCATTCACCTGAGGTAGGCAATTCGCCTTAGTCGCCAACGAAGCATCCCCAGCCTCGTTGGCTTTCTTTTAATTATCCAATACTCCTTTTAGTTTCTTACTTTGGCTCATGTTGCGGACACTTGTGGGCTACCATCCAGTTACCGTTACATTTATTTTCTTCTCCATTCTGGTTCTTCTCATCCTCCTTGTACCGTGACAGAGTGCAAACACGTTCCCGCTTTCCCCACAACAGCAGCTATTCCCATCCACACCACGCACCACACACACTCCACGGGCAAGCTTCCTCAGCTTACCCTGTCTTCTCGTCGACCTTGGTACCCTGTTCCTAGAGGCAGGATACATCCTCTCCCCAAGGGACCGCCGATCCGTACGGTGAGGTGTGCGTGTGAGTCTGAGTGGGCTCCGAATCTGATGGCCAGGGGGGTCCCGCAACCAATTCCCTCCTCATCTGAACATACTGTCGACCCCTAGCCCTTGACCGTTGCTACCTTCTATCGACAGATTGCAGCCTTCTTTTGCTGGCGTAGCGTGTGTTGTTCCTGGTGTTTCAACCACGTCAGGCATAGTAGCCGTCTTGGCCTCGACCCTTCACTTGCTTCTTCTTCTCTTATATATCCCTTGACTAGGCCGTCGCCTATCTTCCCTTTCCCTCCCTTTTTAGCCATGTCCCGCTCATCCTTCGACTATCCGAATCCTCTCAATATGGACCCTGCCCAGTTCAAGTTGCTGTTGTCGTTGCTGCCCAAAGTGCCCTTGATAACACGGGTAGCACTGCTTCATGTTCTACACTTGTCAAAGTCATCCCAGTACCTAGATCTGCGGAGCGATCTCATCGTCTCGGTGCTACGTTCATACCTTCAGCCAGCCAAGTTGCGCTCCATCACGTCCACGCAGAAGCTCGCCAACCGCGATAGCGGCGTCAAGGGGAGAATATGGGTTTCCACATATGCCAGCCCCGTGCCGCCAGAAACCGACGTGCGCGACGCCATCATCGGGATCATACAGTCAACCAGGGCACCAGATACGCCAGAACTCAAGCTGCGACTGCCGGATATCGTGCCAGTGGAGGCCGAGTGGACGGGCTACCGTGCCGGTGCGACGGAAGAGGAGCGGCCGCCCGCGATTGGAGAGAAGGACAAGTTTGAAAAGCTACAGAAGGAGGTTACCAGCCCGCTGACGGTGTTGTACCTTCACGGAGGAGCGTACTATCTCTGCGACCCGGCGACTCACCGACCAGCTACGAAGAAGATTGCCAAGTTGACTGGAGGCCGCGTGTACTCAGTGCGGTACCGCTTGGCTCCGCAGAACCCTTTCCCGTCGGCTCTGCTAGACGCCTTGGTATCCTATTTGACTCTGCTATACCCGCCACCCGATGCCTATCACCAAGCCGTCGACCCGAAACACATTGTGGTTGCTGGAGACAGGTGAGCGAATCTCAAGCGTCAGGAGCAAGTTGGTGTGCTAATCAAAATGTTATAGTGCCGGGGGCAACTTGAGTCTATCTCTGCTACAACTCCTCCTCGAGCTGCGCCGACAAAGTCGGAAGATCCGCTGGCTGGGCGAGGAAAGAGAGATCCCCTTACCCGCTGGACTCGCGCTCAACTTGCCGTGGATGGACATCACGCAAAGCTCGCCCAGCTGGGACGCCAATGGGGAATTCGACTACCTGCCCACAGGAGAGGTCTACGCAAAATACAACCCGCCCCCGTGCGAAGCCTGGCCCGCGAAACCGCCCCGGACAAACATGTACGCCGACGACGACCTCCTCGCGCATCCCTTGGTGACGCTCCTGATGAGCCGTAGCTGGGCGGGCGCGCCACCCGTGTACATCTGCACGGGCTGGGAGCTGCTGGCGGACGAGGACAAGTACATGGCGCGCAAGCTGCACCAGGACGGCGTGCCCGTGATCTTTGAGGAGTACGAGGGGATGCCGCACTGCTTCGCGCTGATCCTGACAAAGATTCCCAACGCGAGGCGGTGTTTTGAAGGGTGGACCAACTTTATGAAGAGAGCTGTCACAAGCCCGGAGACGATCGATTCCAGGGCGACTTCGATCAAGTCCAAGACGCTGCAGGAGGAGGTTCTCGACTTTGAGTCGTTGAGTGCCGTGAGCGCTGAGGACGTGCATAAGAGGGTCCTCGCCAAGAAGGAGACGACATTGGCGGCTGCGCCAGAGACTGCTGCGAAACTTTAGAGTCCACCTGAAAGAAGGGGCTTTAGGAGATTCGCGTCGATGTCTAATGATCAGCTTTAAGGGGTTTCGATGAAAGGAGAGATTATTAATGATTTTATTGCATATTCAACATCAGACCATGTAATTATTTAAACGCCCCATGAAAAAAGGAATGATAATAGGGCGAGCAATTGCACAAATCAAAATAAGATAACTTCGCACAGAAAACGAGAGTCGAGTGTGTCCGTACTTGCCCTCGTTGCTGGGATCATCCCCTTGAACAAGCAGCGGACGGTTCTCTAAAGCCAAGAAGATTATTCATGTCCGCCCCGTTCTAGGAGCTATCTAGTATCACATGCGAAAGGGGCCAACGAAACGTGTATCACGAATACGGAGGTTTCTGTGCGCTGATCCACGCGTTCGTGACGATTGACGAGTTGGGAAATGCTCGGGCCGTGTTGCAGTGCAGCGAAGTGAGATGGCGGATTTGGTAAAGATCTCACCTTACACACCATGTTGTGTTTGCTGCATCGGCAACGGGCCGCAGCTCGTCGTGTCACCCTTCGCCTCATTAAAATTCTCCGAGAGTCAAGAAGCTCCCGCGTCGAGTCACACCGGGAGGTCGCTCACTCACTCTCACGAACTCCGAAAACCCACGACTGGGGATTGAAGATGTCAGATTGATCCCTCGGAGCGAAGAGGTTGAAGATGGCGTTAACGGTTGAGGCTGGAGCTACCCCTGCACCGAACAGCTCCGGGCAAGGTAGCACCCCCTGTCGGAACCTTGATTAAGTACATGCGGGTGAGCTAAGGCACCTACAGCCCCGAAAACGTGGCGCTGCGGCGCCGGCGCAACGTCTGGAAAAATCTCACCTCGCATCCGAAATCTCATTGACGTAGCTCTCACTCACATCTCATTCTCACTCTCACCCCGTGTTGGATGTGAACACACAGAGATCTCACCAAGATCTCACAAAACACCCCGACCGGAAAAGGGCAAAGGAGCTCACGGTGAATCATTAGTATAGTATAGGGGACAGGCACGACTAATAACGACTTCACAATGGAGCGCCACAAGAAGACCGTCTCCAAGATCGCCGCCGCGGTGCGGTCCTTCTTCGACCGCAAGGAACCCTACCGCATCTTCCACGGCTCGACAAACAGCACCCGCCCCTTCCGCCGCGACCGCGTCGTCGACATCTCGGCCCTCGGCAGCGTCCTCGAGGTCAACAAGGCCCGCCGCACCGCCCTCGTCGAGCCAAACGTCCCCATGGACCGCCTCGTTGAGGGCACCCTCCGCCACGGCCTCATCCCCCCCGTCGTCATGGAGTTCCCCGGTATCACCGCCGGCGGCGGCTACGCGGGTACCGCGGGCGAGTCCTCGAGCTTCAAGCACGGCTTCTTTGACGACACCATCAACGAGGTCGAGATGGTTCTCGCCGACGGCCAGGTCGTCCGCGCCAACCGGACCAACGAGCGCGCCGATCTGTTCCGCGGCGCCGCGGGAGCCGTTGGCACCCTCGGCGTCACCACCATGATTGAGCTGCAGCTCGTCGAGGCCAAGAAGTACGTAAAGACGACGTACCACCGCACCCACAGTGTCGCCGAGGCCGTTGAGACCGTTCAGGCCGAGACGCTCAACGCCGAGAACGACTACGTCGACGGCATCCTCTTCTCCAAGGACCACGGCGTCGTCATCACCGGCAAGCTGACGGACGAGATTCCCGAGGACCGCAAGCCGCAGACTTTCAGCGGTGCCTGGGACCCCTGGTTCTACCTGCACGTCAAAGACCGCACCCTTACCGCCGGCTCCGCCAACAGCGAAGCGACGACGGTGGCGACGACATCCTCGTCCGCCGTGGTCGACTACGTACCCCTGGCCGAGTACCTCTTCCGCTACGACCGCGCCGGCTTCTGGGTCGGCGCCGCCGCCTTTGACTACTTCAAGTACGTCCCCTTTACGCGCTTCACCCGCTGGTTCCTCGACGACTTCCTGCACACGCGCATGCTCTACCGCGCCCTCCACGGCAGCGGCGAGTCGGCCCGCTTCGTCGTCCAGGACCTCGCCCTCCCCTACAAGAACGCCGAGCGCTTCGTTGACTACACGGCCGAGAACTTTGGCATCTGGCCCCTCTGGCTCTGTCCCTTGAAGCAGACCGCTCCGCCCACGTTCCACCCGCACACGGGCGAGGTTGAGACCTTACCCGCTGCCGAGGGCAGCACCAGCAGCAGTGGTAGCACGGTAACGGCCCCCAAGCCGATGCTCAACATCGGCCTCTGGGGCTGGGGCCCCTCTGACCCGGCCGAATTCGTCACCAAGAACCGCGCCCTCGAGCACAAGCTCCGCGAGCTGGGCGGCATGAAGTGGCTGTACGCGCACACGTACTACACCGAAGACGAGTTCTGGCAGGCCTACAACAACAAGAGCTGGTACGAGGCCCTGCGCGAAAAGTACAACGCCACGACGCTGCCGACCGTGTACAACAAGGTAAAGGTCGACGTCGAGGCCCGCAAGGGCGAGAAGAAGGGGTGGCGCGACGTCGTAAAGTCCAAGCCGCCCATTGGCGGTCTGTATGGTATCTACAAGGCTATTCAGAGCAAGGATTACCATTTGCACCGCCGGGCCGAGTGGAAGTGGAAGGGTGACAAATGAGGAGAAGTAGAAATGTACGAGTAGGAAGGTGAGGCCGCATCATATAATGGATGTGACTAGTGATTCTCATTGTCGGGCGTAGATCATGTTGGAAACGGCCGCGTATATTACCCATAGATTGCCATGCGTGGCATGTATTAGTAGTGTAGCATCATTAGCATCACAGCCGACCGCAAAAGGGGGGCCTTTGGCATTTTGGCATAGATACGGGATTATAAAAACGAACTGTTGAAATATTTAGCACAAGAACTTGCGGCACATGATAATCTGAGAGTGATGTGGCATGATTCAATTCATTCGTCTATTCTTCCAGCTTCATTCGTCCTAAGGGACGCTCAAATACGGCTATCTGGTCCGGTATATACAATGCCCCCATTGCGAGGTGCATTCCAAGCGCCGATTCCTCTCTCACGACAGAATCTTCGTCTGTCGTGGCCGGCGGCGTCTCTGTATTTCCTCCTCTGATTAAAGTACGTAATGCTGGCCATGCTCCTTCAGCTATCATGATGTCGCAGGATCTATGCAGCCACCTCTATTTGTTTCGCAATTCCAAGATCAAAAAAGTCATTGTCGGTTTCATGCCTTGACGCTGTAGGAACGCTGGAACTTGTCGTTGACCTTCTCCAGGTAGTATGTACCGGGGGTGATGGTTGAGGCGTCACCCTTGGGGGTGAAGTCCTTCTGGAGGTGGGCCTGGTGACGGAGGTCGCAGAACTGGAGAGATGTTGTCAGTAAATTTTCACTTGGGGGCATTGCATTGGGGAAGGAAATTGCTTACAGCCTCGTAGGTCTCGGGGGCAAGCTTGGTGCGGGCCTCGAGTCTGGCGGGAATATCGAGAACCTTGGCGAGAGGAGTGACGTCTCCGTTGATGCGGAAAGACAGGAAGCTGGCAGCCAGACCGGAGCCGTAGCTGAAGACACCAACGCGCTTGTCCTTGAGGGTGGCAGCGTCAACGTAGGAGAGCAAGCTGGCAATACCGCCCCAAACGGAACCGCAGTACATGTTGCCGAGGAGAGTGGCGACCTGGGCACCGGGAGCGACTCTCTCCTGGTACTTCTTCTTGGTGAGACCCATGAAGGTCTTCTCGACGACCTTGTCGGTCAGCGACTTCTCGTAGTCCATATCGCGGAGCTCAGGGGCGACCTCGGCGAAGACAGGTGAGTCGGCATCGGCGAGGTAGTCGTGGTAGAGCAGGCGAGCGTACGACTTGGCGACGAGCTTGCAGTTAGGGGCGTGGAAGGAGAAGTAGTCGAATCTGTCAAGGCTGGTCTTGGGGATCTTGGACTCTCCGTTGGTGGTTCCGTTGCCGTTGGCGTGGCCGTTGGCAGCCTTGGCGAGCTTGGCCTCACGCTTGTTGTACTCGCGGTAGGCAGCATCCAGAGCCTTGGTGTAGCAGGTCAAGGAGTAGTGACCATCGACGTAGGGGTACTCGCTGGTGAGGTCGGGCTTGTAGAAATCGTAGACGTGGGACATGTAGGTACCACGCAGACCGGGCTCCAGAACAACGGGAGCGTTGGGGCCAACAAGCATGGCGACTGCGCCAGCGCCTCCAGTGGGGCGGGCGTTGCCCTTGGCGTAGAGGGCAATGTCACCAGCGACGACAATGGCATCACGGCCGTCCCAGGCGGAAGACTCGATCCAGTTGACAGAGTTAAGGAAGGCGTTGGTACCTCCGTAGCAGGCGTTGACAGTGTCGACACCCTCAATGTTGGTGTTCTCGCCGAAGAGCTGCATAAGCACAGTCTTGACGGACTTGGACTTGTCCAGGAGGGTCTCAGTGCCGACTTCGAGGCGACCAATGGAGTTGGTGTCAATGTTGTACTTCTTGATCAGGTTGGAGGTGACGGTCAAAGCGAAGGAGTAGATGTCTACAGAAAGCGCGACAGATTAGAGCAAGCACCGGGTTTAGGGAGAAGCAGGCGGAGCTCACCTTCGCGGTCGTCGCAGAAAGCCATCTTGGTCTGGCCAAGGCCGATGGTGTACTTGCCGGCGCTCACGCCATCGAAAGTCTCAAGCTCGGTTTGCTCGACATACTAGACGACGGGAAGCAAACAGGTCAGCACAATGCTCTCAGAATCTTGTGAGAGCTTCAACAAGGAGCGGCTATTTGACCCGCCCGAGCCTGAGTTGGGAGATTGAGGAGGGGTAATTCTCGCAGTGCTGGCGTGTGGATTGCGATTTCGGCGCTGAGGGGCAGCGCGCGGATTTTTTTTTCTCTCCCCTTTCGCTCTCCCTTTTCCAGCAATTTGGCGGTGGTGGCGCAAAAAAAAAGCATGGTGAGACCAACCTGGTTGGGGAAGTAAATTTCGATGGCCTTGATGCCAATGTTCTCAGGTCTGGAAGCCATTTTGGGCGGCGCGATCGAACAGACTGTGATTTTGGGAGAGTTGAAGTCTACGAAAAGATTGAAGAGTTAGCCAGAAAGACTTATTTTTGAACTCCCAGACACCATTCACCGCCGTTTCAACGCGTCTGGCAAACAGGTCGCCAAAGGTGCCCAACGTGC